GCTGGCCAGTTTGTTACCATCTTGTACTCATTTAAGCAGACGGATTGAACCCATCATTCAAGGGAACAAAACCACTATTCTCCCCGGGCTCCGGGCCTGAAGCCAAACAGCTGGCGGCACAAGGAAACTTGGACGGGCAGTTGCTTGGTCTGTGAATGGGCACCCTTTGTAAGCACGAGCTGCTACCCCTCCCCAGTCCTGGTGAGGAAGAGCACGCCCCTCCCTACCTCACTGACACTCTAAGTTTCAATGTCAAGGCAGGAACTGGGCCTGTTTGGCCTCTGGTGTCCGGAAAGCCTGGGCCATACACATCCCAGGGACCATTCACTGCCCTTCAAATGCTGGAAGATGCCTGTGCAGCCCATCCCAAGCACAGCCCCTGCCGTGTGAGGCTGTGTGGGGACATCTAGACCTTCTCTTCTGGGGACTGTGCTCTGGAGATGGGTCTTCTCAGCACTATGAGCTCAGACCAGTCCCTGCATCCCAGATGAGCTATCACATACATGCCCAGTTCCCTGGGGACATTGTGACTGTGGTTCGGATGTGAGTGTCATGTTACCCAGTTTCAGGGTAAGTTCAGTGAGTTTGAAGCCTTTTTTTTTTATTTGATTGTCATTGTATTTGGTTTGGGGCCACACCTGGTTGTGCTCAGAGCTTACTCTTTGTTCGACTCTCGGGGACCACTCTGGCAGTGCTCAGAGGACCATACGGGGTGTCAGGGACTGAACCAGGTCAGATGCATGCAAGGCCAGTGTCCTTCCTGTTATACTATCTCTACTATCTCTTCAGTCCTTTTTATTTTCGTGGTTGTTAATTTTTTTCTCCTCCCACTCCCCTCCCCCCCTTTTGGGGGTGGTGTAGGGATTTGGACCCAGAGCGAAGCACATGCTCTCCCACTAAGTGTTATCACTTTAATAGTCGAACTGGACAACTGGTGGGTGACATCACCAGACACACCCTCCCCTCCTCCCCCTACCTGTGAGGGGAACAAGGTTCAGCCTGGAAGGGCTCTTAGCAATCCTGTTTCTGTTTCCAGATCCCAACCCATTCAGATCCCCTCCCTGCTGTAAGACCCTCCCCGCATGGCTTCGTCATTTCTCTCGATGGGTCCCACCAAGGGCATGATCACAGGACCTCTCTCCTGACCAAGGGGATGAGGAATTTACCAGACATCCTGGGCTGGGAAGTGTATTCTAGACAGAAGGAACAGAAAGTTCCAGGCTGGTTCAGAGGGATGAGAGCGTTCCAGGCTTAAGGACGATAAGCAGCCTCCTGGCTGCTAGCTGGGAGCCCCAGGCAGGGGGAGAACTTGGCCAAGGAGCTCGGAGAACCACGTCAGAATCTGAAACACGCTCCTGCCCTCTGACCCAAGATCTCACACGCCTGGCATTTTTGACATTTGGGTCTGAATCTGTCTATGTGGGGGAGGGGCTACCTGCCACCGGGTGCATGTCAGCTGCATTCCTGGACCGTAGATGTTAGCATCCTCCTCCTCCCCAATCCATGGGCCAACCAAGAATGTCCCCAGGCCTGGCCAAGTGTCCCTGGGAGGCCAGATGCTGTCCTGAGCCCAGTCCTGCAGGGAGAACAGCTGTTTGGGGTGATAAGGAACCTCAGGTCTGGGGGACTGGGGAATGAAGATTTTGATGGATCGTTCTATGGCAGTCCAGACCCTGGATTTACAGAAAAAGACTGGGGGAGGAGGAGATGGAGAACTTTTCCATGAATCCCCCATGACCCCCAGAAGAGGATACGGGGTCATTTGAAACAGGCCATGGGGCAGAAGCGAGGAGCAGAGATGCCTTAGGGTCAACACTACTGGGTCTGCCTTCATCTGATGGGTCTGAAGCTGCGGCATCAGCCAGGGGTCTGAGGAAGGGGGAACTCGGGATAAGGATGAGGGACTTTGTAAGTCATAATGATCCTTTCCCACCCACCCTAGTGCTCCTTTACTCTCACAGGATCATATCATACTTTTTGCCAGCTCTCTGGTCTCTGAATACAGGGAAGCCCCATGTCACCCACTCCACAGAGTCACCAGGCTTCCTCCTGGAGTCCTAAGTGGAGCTCAGTCTTAATGGTCATGAAGTGACTCTCAGCTGGAGTTCTAGCACCAACTCACCTTTCATCATTGAATCCCCATGAGCTTTGAGCTTTGTCGTACCACGAGAATCATTGTTCCTCCAAGTGTCCCAGTGCCTGAGACCTCGGCTGGCCAGAGTCCTCACCCATCTGCCCACAGACCCCGTATCCAGCCCCATACATGCCCAGTTCCCTTGTGATGTACAGAAAGAGCTGAGGAATCAGTGGAATGACTCCAGCCACCCTGATACTGATGACAGGGCCCCAAGATGTCAGCTCAAGGCCATCTGATTCCAGTGACCCTACTGCCTTTTGGATTCCTCACATTCTTGCAAGACATCAATTTTGTTCTTTGATTTGTTGTTGTTGTTGTTGTTACACTTGTCTCAGGGTAGAGGTACTACAGGATCGTTCCCCATCCCTGTGTATTACAAGTGCCTGCCTCCAGAAGTCTCCTGACCACACACAGACACTTGGTTTTGTCTTGTGACAAGAACTTGTGAGCTCTTAGGAACAGGCAGCCTGGGACTGTTGGCTCTCGTAACCTGGCACCCATCACATCCTCCTCATTAACTTAGTAACTGGAAGTTTGTGTCATTGGGCCACCTTCACTTATTTTTTTAATTGAAGTCACATTAGTTAGTATCAAATTTGATATTAAATCAAATTCAAAGATATCAAAGTTAGATATTGAGCTTGAGTAGCTGAATGAATGGGTGAAACAGACCCTGTGTTGGTGGGAGCCACCACTCTTCATTGGTCAGGCAACAGATGACGCTTCTGCTTACCAAGTTCCCAGATGTGTCCACGGGGCTCACTGTATTCAGCAAAGTCCAACACTTCTGATGCCGGTGGCAGGGAGAGGTAGTCCACTCCCCGTAAGAGGAGCAATCCTGTCTCTGATATTATTTTATGGACTGACTAGAGACCCAGCCTTCCACAGTCATTCTAACCCACTTTTTAGGAGCATGTCCAAACCTCCTGGCTGAATTCAGAATGCCAGTTTAATTTTTCCAGGAGAGTAGAGGAAGTTTCTGGAAGCCTCATGTTGTCTCCACCTGCCCTTGGATGGGCCTGGAGTTTGGTGAGTCTTACCTTTGGCTGCCCCCTAGAATCAGCTGGGGTGCCAGATCATTTTCTTTTTGCATGTTTCTCTTAGAGGGGAAAGAGAAGGAAGAGGGAGAGAGAGAAGAGACAGACAGTTGAGTATCCATCAGCATATCAGCTGCAATCTGTGCAATGCCGCCATTGGCCTGTCCTTGGGGGTGAAAGCTGGCCTCAGAGGAAGAACAATGCCTGTGGCCTTTGAAATGACTCTGAGCTAAAACTAGTCTGCGTTGATGAATCAGCTGCTTTCGAGTGGGGCCCTGGCTTTGCTCAGATCCTAGTTGATTGATTCGCTTTGAGTTAGCACTTGAGTGATTTGTTTACAAATCAGTTCTGTATGCTGGTCCTGCATTATAGATGGAAGATACCCTTACAGTCTCATGGTGCCAATTTGCTTTTCTTGAAGAGGGACAGAGTAGATAGCCTTAAGGGGCATCTCAGTGGATACCATGTACAGCACAGCCATGGCAGTAGAGCCGGATCCAGAAACAGATGTGGTTGGTGTCCCAGAAGTCCCCCTGAGTGGGACTTTACCCCTCACCCCTCCCCAACTTACCTTCCCAACTTCTCATTCTTAGCCTGGATCTGTCTATTCTTTATATGAATGGACCCTTTGGGAAGTTGTCTTTGTGGCTTGAGTCCTTTCTAATAGTCATGTACAATCTATCCATGTAGAAAAAAAATCATCGTCAAATATTCCATTTTCTCCATATCTCAGTATCCCTCCCCACTCCTGCTCATGGGTAATTGAGTATTTTGTATTTGGAGTTATGATGTTGGGTAACACTGCTATAAGCATCCTGGAGCACATCCTTGGATGAACATGTGCATGCACTTCTATTGGTTAAAAAACCCACAGCACAAGATTTGTACCTCTTTACCTTTAGGAGATCTTCCCAAACAGGAGAGTTATTCTCTCTTGTCTGTCTCTAGACCCAGGATCCCTCCCCTCAGTCACCTGGCCATTATACACCAGAGAACACTTGGTTGCCACATGCTCTATGTGTATCTATCTATCTGTCCTTCAGAGCAACATTTGCCAAAGTCCACACCACCTCCCAGGGACTGCTGGAATGATCCCAGAGAACCCTAATGGTCTCGGGTACAATTTAGGGGAATTGTTTTCTGTTTGTTCACTTAAATAATGTCACTTTGAAGGAATGAGAATGCGAGGGTTTTTTTTTTCTTTTCTAAAAATGAGTCAGCAGGCCAGATAAGTTTGTGGACCTCTGGGAGGTGAGATGCCAGGATTCCTGCTTCCTTTCCCAGTCATTCCCCAGCACAGTCACGCATCATCAGTTCCAGGATCCCACCCACAGAAATCATCACTCCAGACCAGCATTTCTCAACCAGAAGCACCACCTGGAGGCCCCCAGGATATACCAAGGGGGCCACAAGTGGAAATTGTGAATATGAGGGACACAGTATAAGACTAGGGGGCAAACCAGTAGGTTGGGGTAAGGGTGCAAAGGAAGGAAACAGTTACCAAAGGAGTCCTGGACAGAACCAGTTGAGAAACCCTGTGTGGGTGTGCTTTGGGGGCAAAGCACTGCTTTACCATCCTTTCCCCTAGACCGGTACACGCAGCGCTCGAGATGCTTGGGAGACTGGACGTTTGTGGTGCTGTTCAAGACACAGGCTTTGAAGGGGGTCTCCGCAGATGATGGGTGGTACAGAGCAGACCCACGGGGTGCAGAGAAAGGGTGGTTGAGGTGACATCAATGTGCACTTTGGGGGACCGGCCTATGCCCAAGGCCCGTGCCCCACTCCCTGATGCTGTCTTCCGGTTCCGACGCCTCTCCTTCATGCAGGCGCGGTGTGCTCCACCTTCACGAGAGTGCTGGGATCCGCGACATCGGTCTGCCCCAGTGGCAGCTCCTGCTCTGCCTCGTGGTGGTTGTCATCATTCTTTACTTCAGCCTCTGGAAAGGAGTGAAGACCTCGGGGAAGGTGAGATCTTTGCTCCTCGTTCAGTTGGGAGGTTGGCCCCAAAGGACAAGCATCAGTTTTCTAGCTGTAGAACCAGCAGGTGTTGAACAAGGAAGGAACTGGAAGAACAAAAGCTGGGCTTGCAGAATGCCCACTTACGGAGGAGCTGGGGTGATCCTGAATGTAGCTCCCTTTCTTTCCCCCAAGCCCATCTCTCCAGCTATAGAGTGAGGGATGCAAGTGGGTCAGAGATCCTCAGGCTTTCTTCCTGCAGAGCAGAGACCACCAATGGGGTGCTCTGGGGCCCCAGAAATCTGTGTACACATCCTTCCTAAGTCTTACATGCTTAAACTGTTTGAAAAAGTTTTAAAACTTTATGCCAATAATTGCGTCTACCTTTAGGATAGAATCATGTTTCATTTCTAAAACCCATGGTTTCCTCTCCTGAATTTAAAAGTTAAGGTGAAAGTTCTTTAAAAGGATGTAGATGGTTCTTGACTTTGTGTTTCCTCTGATCCAAGGCTGAGTACCCTTTAAGTTCTTGTTGTCCTTGGGTGGGGGCTGGGGGGATTCAGAATTGGGTGACTTAGCAGAGCTTGGCGAGAGTTGGCTTTCTGACCTTGCAGTATTGCCCCATTGGGGTGGAATGTACTCAGATCATAGTCTATTTTGATTCTTAGGCTTAGTAGCATCAAGATAACCCCACTACCACCATCTGTACGCTTGCAGGGTCTGTCTAGAATTTGGTAATATTAAAGAGGTTATTGTTGGGAAATATTCTTTCCAGGGTTTGATTAGCTAGCACCATGAGCAAATTTCCTATATTAAATCCATGATTTAAAATAACATTTATGACCACTCATAATTTTGTGGGCCAACTGGAATTTTCTGGGTGGTTCTTCTAGTCTACATTGTATGGCCTGTGGGGTGGGGGGTCTAGCTGGAACTAGATGACAGCCTATGTGCATTGTCATAGCTGTTGGCTGGGAGTGCACTCTGGAGCAATAGATGCCTATTTGGGTGGTTTCCACATAACCTCTCCCCATGGCTGGGCCTCTTGCAGCATGGCAGCTGAGTTCTAAGAGCAGGTTCCAAGCAGACAAGCCCCATTGTGCAAATAGCAACTCTAGTCTCTACTTGCATCATGCTTGCTGCTGAACTCATCCTCATGCTGGCCAAGGTAAGTCTTGTGGCAAAGCCCAGAGTCATTTGTGGCCAAGTATGGATTCACTGGGGTTCACAAGTCAGCTGTATACCATCACCAGGTAAGTGTGAACATATGAGCATCTTCACTCATTTGGTCACTGATTTGGGGAAGTGAGATTGAACTGCAGTATTCTCTGGTGCTCCTGGAATCTTTGGTCATGCTCTTGACTAAAGAAGTGTTGAGGTCCAGGCCGTCCTTGGGAAAGACGTGTGCCAGGAAGAATTTGGAGTAGAACTCCTCTTGGCGTCTTGGAGACATAATGTTTGCTCTAGGAAGAATCCACACTAAGTGCAGATCACCCCAGCTCCTGACTCACAATAGGTCTTGAGTCAAGGTGCACTAAAGAATGAATAAGGAAAGGAGGGAAGGTAGGAAGAAAGGAAGAGTAGGGGAGTAAATCAGTTTAAAGACCTTCCTTAAATGTTCTTTTGGATTCAACTCAATTTTATTTGTTTTATTTTTGTTTTGCTCGAGCGGGCCCAGTAACGTCTCCATTGGAGACTTTGTTGTTACTGTGTCTGGCATATCGAATACTCTCGGTAACTTGCCGGGCTCTCCGAGAGGGGCGGAGGAATCGGGGGTCACAACTGGCAGAGGTCAGGGCTTTCTCCTGACTTTGTGCTCAGAGATCACTCATGGCAGACTTGGGGAAGCCTTTGGAGTGCCATGGATCAAATCTATGTTGGCTGTATGCAAGGCAAGTGTCTTAGCCGCTGTACTATCACTCTGGTCCCTCAAGTTTTTTGTTTTTTGAGCAGTTTGTCACCAACAATTTTTAGAAATGAAATAGGAAAGTTAAAAGCTGAGTGCATTGCACATGGTCCAGGAGGAGCTGTCTTGGGGGAATCTGTATTTCAGTCATCGTGGTTCATATGTTTATGGATATTTTAACATGTGGTTGACATGAGATACGACGTTCTTCCTACCACTACCACAGTCAAAAAAGGCACAAGATGTGGCATTGGTGGGAGAAGGAACCTCTTTGAACTGAGAGCATCTGCCATGTGGCACTTGGGGAGGTTTCTGAGGACAGAGGAAAGTAGAAGGGGAAGGACATTTCATGGAAGGAACTGCCTGAGCTAAGTCATGGAGATAGAGACACGCAGGGAGAACTTTCACCAACCTCTGTGGGTCTTTTCTGGGCATCGGGTGTGCGTGTGTGGTGGGGCGGGGGGGGGGGGGGGGAGGGGGCTTGGCGGGGCAGAATACTCTGGACCTTGGCAGGAGCTATAACTCAACAGAACTGCCTTTACTGCTGCTACTAACATGAATATGAGGCTTCTCATACTGCACCCAAAATTAAGTTCCTTACCATTGTTCACAAAGGGGATGTTCCATCTCGTGTGGGACTTGGCCAGAGCAGAGCCCGAGCTTTTGGTGCAAATGCCAAATGCACAAATCGTTTTCTCCCCTGAGGGGTGGGGACAAGAGTGTTGCAGGAAAAGTCCCCCACCCCCACCCCATCCCCGCCCCAGGCAGGAACACCAGGAATGAGAACTATGACCCCTTACAGGCATCAACTGATAGTTCACAGCAGGCACATCCTGTGCTCTGGCCTGAGCAGGCAAGAGCTACCAATAATTCTGAGAGGGAACTTTCTAGAATGGGGATCATTGCTTCAGACATTCCTGTGCCCTGGCTTGAATTCCTTTTATGAAGTGGCTCATGAGAAAACTGAGAGCAGGGGCTGGACGATGGCACAGTGGGTAGGGCATTTGCCTGCACATGGCCAACCCGGGTTCGATTCCCGTCATCCTATATGGTCCCCCGAGCACCGCCAGTAGTAATTCCTGAGTGAAGAGCCAGGAGTAACCTCTGTACATCACCAGTTGTGACAAAGAGAGAGAGAGAGAGAGAGAGAGAGAGAGAGAGAGAGAGAGAGAGAGAGAGAGAGAGAAAACTGAGAGCATTGTTGATTTCTTTCCAGATTGCATGTGGAACTCAAGTTTGACTTTCTTAGCCATAGAGCTGGTCTTAAAAAAAAATGGGTTGCAAATGTTCATATTTGCCCCTTGGCAAATGCAGGCTCTGCATCAGGGGAAAGGTATGTGATCCTGACTAGAGACAGTGAGAAAAGGGGTCTGATTATGGGAGCAGGAGGACCCCAGATCACCTCCTGTCCTTGTTCATTTTGCACACCAGGAGAGAAGGTGAATGCCAGAGCCAGGAGTTAGTCATATTCAGTGGAGGGAGAGGGCCAGTGTACACACAGGGCCACATGCAGTCCCTCCCCCCACCAGTAATTCTGTCATCTCTCCACCTGGGCATGCTTGGCTCCCAGCATGTAGCAACCACAGTCCTGTAAAAGGATAGTACAGCCAGTAATCTGATTTTGAGCTGCTGGCGGTACTCAGGGGCCTTCTCTGAGGACCCTAGGGGGGTGGAGAGGGACCAGGGTTTGCAATTGTCCTTAGCATAGCTAGGACTTGAACCATAGCCACAAAGACTCAATAGGTGAGCCATTAAAGGCATGGTTTTTCTGGGCTGGAGCGATAGGACAGTGGGTAGGGCATCTGCCTTGCCCTTAGCAGACCCGAGTTTGATCCCTGACACCACCCCCCAGAGTGATCCCTGAGTCAGAGTCAGGGTAAGCTCTGAGCATCACTGGGTGTGGCCAGAAAAGAACATGGTGCTTTGTTCAGACCACCTGGGTTGGAATCCTGGTACCCTTGCAGCTTAAGAAATACCTTAAGCTTCACTGTCCTCACCTACAAAGTGGGAACCATCTCAACATGAGGGTTGTAGGGGGAGGGAGAAAAGAATGTCCTGATGGGACTGGATGCTGGAGTTTGCTCAGAAATGGTCTTTGTTCCTTTAGCAGCACCCCTGCCAATGTCCTGCTCCTTACTCAGAGCTTTCCCACTCTGTCAAGTTCCTATGGGACAGGGAGGAGTGGACCAGGCTCCCACCCAATCTGCTAGCATGTGAGATGGAACTTCCAGGGACCCTAAGGCCCCCTCTGCCTAGAATTAAGTCAAGTCTTATAACTGCCCAGGACTAGCCTCCAGGCTCTTCTCCTTCCTGGCCAGGCTCTGAGCTGCTTAGGGGATGGGGAGAGACAGAACTTTTTCAGTGCTGGCAAAACTATTGGAATTGGGGAGAGAGAAAACTGGACCAACTCAAAAAAAACCCGAACTGCAGAATATTTAAGTAGAAAGAAGAAGGTTGGTTATATTTGAGTTCAGTGTTACTGTGTTTCACTGAATACTTGCCACTAATTTTTAGGGCAAATTTTAAGTCCAAAAGTGGGATGCAACCCTTAGGTGAAGCTTTAACAAAATGTTTGCCAGTATTACTGCAAAAAAAAAACAAAAAACAAAAACACCAACAGTGTTTACTGATTATGTGGTGGAGATGATTATACAGTGAAATATGGTAATTTTGGTAATTCGGGTCAAGTCTTGCCACTGGTGTATCAGTTGAGGCTGGTCCAGTCAGTCTCTGGATCCTAATGCGTGGCATCATTTGCAATGAGTCATGGTCAAATGCCTAAAGCTCAGTGTTTTAGTGGTTTTTTAAAGTGTATCTTATATCTGCCGCACCTCGTATGCTATGGTTGGGCTTTTTATGAATAAATGTCTTGAAGCCCAGTTCAGAGGATCGTATGTCCTGAATCAGCAGAGATTGTATTGGGAACATGAGTATTCACCATCTCCCTGTTAGAGTTGAGAATCCGGTGACACAGGGCTGAGCTTCTCCTCTTTACTGTACCATCGAAACACAAGCAGGGCTTGTTACAGTCCAATGCCTGGAGCCTTCTCTGAGATGTGACTCAGTATTCCAGATAGGGTTGGCACTGGAGACACATTCCCAAGCATTGCTGCCGCTGTTGCTCGCACCCGGGCTCTCCTTGATCCAAACAAATCTCTGCCTGAAGCCCTTATCCCTGCCATAGTTTCCTCATCTTCAGCATCAGGGAACCCGTAGCCCCTCTTTAGACAACTTTTCCATCTTTAGAGAACTCTCTTCATTGGGAAGTTTCTTCTTCTCTGGACTTAAGGTTTCCCTCTGTGTGATTTGATTCCTTTGGATTGAGTTTGACATCTAGAACCACAAACATTCTAACCAGAATCCACAGGGATAAGAGGTAGGTAGGAATTTAGATTTGAGGCAATGAAAAAAAATGTTTAATGACTTCCCTTAGGGATTAAGGGTACTTGCAAAACCCATGGGCTGTTTGTTTGGGCTTTGTTTTCATTCGGGTGACGCCGCCACCCAGCTGTTCTTGGGGCTCATTCCTGGCTCTGAGCTCAGGGGATCACTCCTGGTCGTGCTCAAAAGACCATATGGCTTGCCTGGGATCGAACCCAGGCCAGTTGCATGCAAGACAAGTACCTTGCCCACTGTCCTATCTGTCTGCCTCCCTGGGCTTCTTGTGGCTGCCTTCATCATGTGCGCAAGGAATGACCAAAAATGGGTCCTAGTGGCCAGAGATGCACTACCACGGTGAGACATATGAGAGCAGAGCTGCATGGGGTGGAGAGGCCAGGTCTAGTGTGAGCAGAAACAGGCTGGGGTGCCGGGACCCAGGAACCTTTCTTTGCAAACAAGACTTGAAGCAACTGAACTCACTTCCATCACCAGTTCCCAGAACTAACAGCTGAATTCACAGGGTTGAGCTTTGAATATGTGCCCATGAGTAAACTCTTCTCTCTTGGTGTTTGACTGCATTCGGGATGAGCTCAGTCATGTCCTAACATGTTCCCTGAGGAAATTGGATCCATGTTAGAGCCTCAGGCATCGCCAACTCGGGGCTTCTTCCAGACCCTATAGGAGCCTCCTGGACTCAGAACTTGGGATGTTGTTTTGAGATGGATGGAGTGTGAGCTCAGCCAGTCTTCAGGGATGAACAATGGAACCGCAGCTGTTGACACGAGTTGTAGGGGAACAGAGCAGTTAGGACCCCCCGTGAAGGTCCCCAGGCTCCTCTTCATGCCTTGCCAAGGAGAAAGACCTATTTGTCTAACTGAGTTTGGGAGGATAAACCCAGAAATCCCGTAAGTCCTCCTCTCACCCCCCCACCCCCCACCCCCAGATGTGGTGACTTCACTTGCCAAGGCTCCATCTCTTCCTCACTTGTTTTGGCTATTTGTCTTCCTTGTTTCTGCCCCCCCTGCCTCCCACCACCAGAGAAAACAGATGTCTGAGGACACTTTTGCAAAGATTGCTCAGTGAAAGAATCGCTGGTTAACGCAAGACAGTGGAGTCTGATTTCTCTCCTGATTCCTTCAGATGCCAGGACTGTGACGGATGCACTCAATTACATTTGTTCTTTCATTCACTTGCCACTTCTTTTATTCATTATTTGACCAACTAAGCCATTTATGAACCCTCTGAGGTATCATTAACCCACTCATCCACTCATTCATTTACCCACCTACCATCCATTCACCGTCGACTCAACTACATTCCTAAGCATGCAATCATCCATCCACCCCTCCTTCCAGTCATCTTTCTGTACCACTCTCCAGTCATGCATCCACTCATCCAATAAATATTATTTTAAGGCAACCATGTGTGGTGTGCCACAGACTAGGGAGACAAGTTTGAGAAATATGGAAATCTTGCAGCCAAGGAGCTGATGGACTAGGGAGAAAGACACGCAGAGAATAGAATCCCAGTCATGACTTTATTTTCCACATCTTGGTTTTTGTAAGGAGCCTGTGATTTTTCAGAATTTCCCAAAGAACTTTCTCTGGACTTTCTTCTCTTCCTCGATCTGGTGAAAATTCTGGGGGTGGGTAGTGCCTGAGCTCTGGGAGTTCAGAGCTTCTCTAGTACTTCAGCAAGTGTCTTTGAGTTGAGTTTTCCTTGGGAACAGGCCACCTGGGCCTGCCCCAGTGTTGTGCTTGGGGAGTCTCTGTGCAAGATCTCATCCACCATCACAGTGATTCTCAAGCCCATCTATGAATTAACATCATCAGGGAGCTTTCACGAGTGATGTGAAGTTGCTCCCAAGAACAAAATCTGGACTTGGACATTCTTTTTAGGTATGAGGGATCATACCTGGTGATGCTTAGGGCTTTCTCCTGGTTCTGCACTCAGGAGTCACTTCTGGAGGTGCTTGGAGATCATCTGGAGTGCCGGGGACCAAACCTGGGTCAGCCGTGTGCAAGACCAATGCCCTCCCACTGCACTACCGTTCAAGCCTCTGGACCTGGACATTCTTATCCTTAATCCCCAGAGTGTTTTAACGGGTGGGCAGGCTCCTGCAGAGCCACACGATGTCTCCTGCCCCCGTCCTCCTCCTCTGTTCTAACTCTGGCTGTCTCTTTGTGGTCCTGGGGTGATTTTTTCCCAAATGTGTTCAGAATCCATTGTCTCTGCCCCATACCTGTCCCCAGTGAGGTGAAGGATGGCAGAGCACCAGCTGCAACCGTGCACCTCTTGGCCCTCTAAGCATGGGAGAAGAGCTAGTCCGAGGTTTGCTGGGAAGGCGGGAAAGGGGCTGTTCTTGGTTCTACTGGGCAGTGTCATGCCATCAGGAAACGTGGCCAGAGGGCCATAGGCACTGTGCTGTGAGAACCTTGTCTTTGTCTTTCTGCCCTTCACTTTGGTGGCTTCTTTGTCCCCCTAGGGCGGGGGTGGGTGGGTAATGCCTTAACTGGGCTCATTTCCAGTTGCTCTGGGCTGTGGCCCATCCCAGCTGGGAGCTGTTATGGGTCATGCTTGTGCCATATGGGAAGGTGTGACTGGCTCCTGGAGAGTGCCTGCCACCACCCAGGAGCCCGCAGAGTGAAGCAGCCGCCCTCATGCCAACTTTTGTCCCCACAGGTGGTGTGGATCACAGCTACACTGCCTTACCTCGTGCTCTTCGTCCTGCTGGTCCACGGCATCACGCTGCCGGGTGCCTCCAACGGCATCAGCGCCTACCTGCACATAGACTTCTATCGCCTCAAGGAGGCCACGGTCAGTGCGGGCCCGGCCACGGGCGGAGGGTTCAGGTGGAACTCACCTGGGTGGCATGGCTGGCATGGTGGCATCTCTGTATAAGCCCTTTGTGCTTGGCACCAACACGTGATTTTCAGTTTTAGTGTCTGTGATTGTGGGGAGACCACTGAATATCCTTGTTCAAGGAGAGTGAGCCCCATACTCCAGGCCATGCCCCACCCTCCCACCCCCATTCACCACAGCCACTAGCTGAATTTCCCTCTCAGCCCCTGTAACCTTGGCCTTTTTGCACCACCCCAGAAACCAGCCAACACCAGGAGCAGCATCTGAGCCCTGGGGGGTACATGGCCCTGCTGACCCCCACAGGCAGCCTCCTCCAGCAAACCTCATGACCTGGGGGACACTGGGAGTAGAGTCTCAAGCAGGGGTGAGGGGAACAGAGATTGTCCTGGAGGGACCCAGGACATGGAATAGTTTCAAGTCACGTGAGACAATTGCTACAGGTAAGCTTAGAGCTTACCCACTGTATTCTCTCTCCGGCCCCACACTGTTTTTTTTTTTCTTTTAGAATGCTTATGTAATGATTGTACTCACACTTTTTGGCAAAAATTGTGGGTTGCCTAAGATCTGCACAATTGTGCAATAATATGCAGTCCTTAAAATTACCCCCCACTAAACATTTGAGGAAACTGCAATGGAGAGGAAATGGTCCAGGGCTAGAGCAGGAAGCCGAGAGGCCGGAGAAGGACAGACTTGAATGTGCAGACTTCAGTCTCTGTGCTCGCAGTACCCACCATGGACCCAGTAGAACTCCAAACCGCTGCCATTGTCTGCAGCCAGAGCAGGCAATGGGGAATCTCACCTTCTTTCCACAGATGCTGTCACTGAAACTGCTGGGATGGTCCCAACCCTCCTCCACTCACTTCATTCATCCTGTGCCTCTTAGCCTGGCGTTCCTCAAAACTCAGGGCAGCCAATGAGTGGGTCCAGGAGAGCGACTCCTGACCACCTGACCACCGCAGTCAGGAGATAAGATCTGGAGCCAACTCAGTCTCCCTCTGCCCTTGTTCTGTCCCAGACATCCGGGCAGGAGTGGGGGCTGTTTCCTAGTTCCAGAGCTCCCAGGGGCGCCTGACTGTCCTAGCATGAGGCAGGGAGGGATGACCCTGTGCTGTGGGGACCAGGCAGTCATGGTCAGTGCTGTGTCTACCCATCCCAGGTCTGGATCGATGCCGCCACACAGATATTTTTCTCCTTGGGGGCTGGATTTGGCGTCTTGATCGCCTTTGCCAGTTACAACAAATTTGACAACAATTGCTACAGGTAAGCTTAGAGCTCTGGAAAGCTCTGAATCTTGGGGCTGGCTCCTGGGGCCAGAGGTGGGGGAGGGGAGAGAATGCTCTGGGTTGGACAAGTTCATTTTTTTTTTCCTCCTTGTGTTTTCTGATCCTGTAAAATGGGGCAGAGGCGAGAGTTCTGGGCTTCCGAGGAACTCAAGGCTCGTGACTGCTCCCGTGGATGCGTCTGTCAGGGCGCCTCCTCACCAGAGACTGGGGTTAGGGGGAGACCAGAAAGCTGAGGCCACTGCCCCACAGGGGTCCTGGATGTGGAACTGGCACAGAGGCTCACTGTGAACCTTTGCCCCTCAGATGCCCACTGGTTGTGGGAGCTCAGGGTTTCCAAAAGCCCAAAGTCTCGCTGCCTCCTGTGGGCTGGGAGCAGGGAGGCTCCCACCATCAGCACCAACTGGGCCTCCTCCCTCAGTCTCTCTCAGAAGCTCCAGGAAGAACTGCCAGTTTCTTTGGTACGAGATAGATTCTAAGGAGGCTGAGGACTCTGGGTGATCTCTCTGCTGGGTCATGGGGGCGCATTTGGGGTGAGCCCTGGGGGGCTAGAGAGGGCACTGACAGGAGTGAGCAGCGTATGAAGACAGTGGGAGAAAGGCACTGTACTTTCTCAAATGTGTGTTGGGCTGGAGCGATAGTACAGCAGGGAGGGTGCTTGCCTTGCACGTGGTCAACCTGGGTTCAATCCCTGGTGTCCCCTAGGGTTCTCTGACCCCCATCAGAAGTGATACCTGAGCACAGAGCCAGGAGTAAGTCCTGAGCACTGGTGGGTGTGATATAAAAAAAAATGCATGTTGAGGCATCACATAGAGCATTCTAAAAGCAAGGTTGAGCAGTTTAGCAAAGTCCTTGATGACTGGGTGAGAAGGCAAAAGGACCCAAAGCTGGGAGGGTGTCAGGAAGGCTGAGGAGGAAGGAGAGCCTGGGTGTCAGCTCTACCACACCAGCCAATACCACACTCTATCACAATGCCACACCAGGGAGTTCCTGGTCCCCGCAGGCACTGAGCAGTGATCAGTGATGGAGGCACTGGGTGGGGGCAGCAGCAGGAAGAGGAGGCAGAGACGGGAGTATATGTGATGATCCCTAGAGGGCCCCAATAACAGGGCCTGGACCTCACCGTGCTTCTTCCCCAGGGATGCTCTGCTCACCAGCACCATCAACTGTGTCACCAGTTTCATCTCTGGCTTTGCCATCTTCTCCATCCTTGGCTACATGGCCCACGAGCACAAGGTCAACATTGAGGACGTGGCCACCGAAGGTGAGCAGGGAGACCAGTGAGACCAGCGCTGAAGGAGGAGGAAGGGAGGAGGGGAGGTGGGGAGGGGAGAGAGGAGAAGGGGGAGGGGAAGAAGGAGGGGAAAGAGAAGTAGGTGAAGAGGAGGAAGAGGAGGGAAGGAAGAAGAGGGGGGGTCCCCCCTCTCCTCTGCCATGAGGCATGCCCTCCCATGAGGCTGACCATGAAGCTGGTTTCCGCACATAGCCTGGGGTCTCTCCAAACTGCCCACTTACTGGGTTTCTCTGAGTCAGTCCATGGGGGATTCTGGCCATGCTCCTGGGTCCCAAGTGGGTCATGAGAACTTCCTTGGAGTCAGGCTGTGCAGGGCGGATGCTGGAGTCCCCACACTGCCTTCCGCAGTGCTGGGCCCCCGGACCCTGCACGGATTGCTCAGAACACAGCAAGACCGTGTGCCCGGCACCACTTCAGAGAGGGGCAGACCGAGATCCAGAGTCGCCTGCCTGCCAGTGAGCGACGATGCCCCAACACGCCCCTCCCTCAACACACCCCTCTTGGCGGGGCCTCCCCTGCCACTCCCATATGCTCAGAGAGTCCCAGTCCCAGAAAGCTGAGAGCTGAGAAGGGCTCCCCCTCACAGGAGGGACACACACTTCCAGAAGAAGAGAGTCCTGCCAGAGGTGTGCCCTGCAGCTGGTCACCCGTCAGCTCCCAGGGACAGGCTCTCTGGGCTGCACCGTCCTGAGGGTGTCTGCTGTTCTCTGTCCTCTCAGACCCAGCTTTGTACTGCCCACATGGAACTGAGCAAATAGACAGGCCCAGGGCAGGTTGGTCTCCAAACGCAGCCCCAGTCATCTACTGCGTGCAGCACCAGCCCCCGGCCCAGGCTCCCAGTCATCTACTGTATGTAGCACCAGCCCCCAGCCCAGTTCCCCAGTCACCTACTATGTGCAGTCAGCCCTGGCCCAGTCCCTCAGTCACCGGCTGTGTGCGGCTAGCCCTAGCCCAGCCCCTGACGAGCCCGTGTCCTTTCTCTCAGGTGCCGGCCTGGTCTTCATCCTGTACCCTGAAGCCATCTCCACCCTGTCAGGGTCCACGTTCTGGGCTATTGTGTTCTTCATCATGCTCCTGGCCCTGGGGATCGACAGCTCGGTGAGGACTTTGCTCTGCGTGTCAGGACTAGACCCCGCCACACACACACACACACACACACACACACACACACGCACTTACATGGACACACTTATGTGTGCACATGTAAACACATACACAGATGCATACAACATGCATACACATGCATATTCACCAGTGCACACATGCACACAAAATAGAGCACATATTTGCATGCACGCACAAACATGTGAACACCCACGTACATCCATCTACAAAATATGCCGCACATATGCAATATTTGTAGCACTGTCCTCCCGTTTTTCATCAATTTGCTCAAGCGGGCCCAGTAACATCTCCATTGTGAGACTTGTTACTGTGTTTGGCATATCGAATACATCACGGGGAGCTTGCCAGGCTTTGCTGTGTGGGCGAGATACTCTCGATAGCTTGCCGGGCTCTCTGAGAGAGGTGGAGGAATCGAACTCAGGTAAGCCGGGTTGGCTGCGTGCAAGGCAAACACCCTTCCCGCTGTGCTATCGCTCGTGATATATATTATTATATATTATTATTATATATAATATTCTACATATTATACATATGCAATATTTATTGATATATATAATAAGACCTCTTATTCTCTAGTTCTCGCTCTCAGAGAACCCGCCAGGCTACTGAGAGTATCATGCCCACATACATATGCCCACATACATATCCTGATTGGGAACACCTATAGAGGTAATTAGAGGCTGCTCTCCTTCTCGGAGAGCCCAGCAAGCTACCGAGAGTATCCCACCCTCATGGCAGAGCCTGGCAAGCTACCCATGGTGTACTCAATATGCCAAAAAGAGTAACAGTGATGGTTCTCATTCCCTGACCCTGAAAGAGCCCCCAGTATGTCATCGGGCTATACTAACACGTGACAGGGACGAATGGAGACATTCCTGGGCCCGCTCGAGCAAATCCATGAACAACGAGGTGATAGTAATAGTGATAGTGATATGCAATATGCATGTGTGTGTAAGCACATAGACATCCATGAGCACGTGTGCACATGCAAACATGCATGCATGCTACTCAGTCTGAAGTTCCCATCAGGGCCTTGTAGGACCCGGGTGCTATTTCCATGGAGGACAGTCCTAGGTCTGCAGAGGTAAGAAGTGGTTACGGTGTCGTTTTTCAACAGAACAATCCTGTTGAATTCCCAGCACCATGTGGTTCCCTGAGCATCATCGGGGTGCAACCCTAGAGGCCCCTGAGCATCACCAAAGTGGCCCAGGCAATCTCCAGCATCACGGGGCCCAGGAAACACCAAATCTCCAGGCCCTGGCACTGATCAGCACTCCCCCAGGATGAGCACTGGGTCCCTGAGTACCCCTCGGGGGCATAGTGCGCACTCAGTCCCTGGTGCTCCCCTCTTTGGCCCCCACATCATGGTGTTTTAGACTTTTGGCTTCTACTCCTGTGTCCAACTAGAGACTCGCCTCTGCCAATCCTGCGAGGCTGTGAAGGCAGGACCTTCAAACAGGGCACCTGTCCTGGTCCTTCTGGGTCCCCGGTAGGTGTTCGGACTGGCAGGCAGGGAGGACTCCTGGCTGGAGGCTGCCTGAGAACACAGGTGACAGCAGTGGCTGCAGCTGTCTCCCACCCTCACAGGCCTGGGTGTCACTTTAAACAAGCACAAGAACGTTATTCAGAGGAGGCCGTGGCCATCCTAGGGACCACCTGGTATTGGAGCCCAGGTGCCTGGGGGTGTGGACGTCTCCTTTCCCGGTACTCCAAGAAGCAGCCCCAGCCCCTGTCAGCAGCTTCTGTAGGCCTCACTCTGGCTGCTCCTCCAGGAAGCCCTAGTCCATCACCTACATTTGGGGTGCACTCAGGCCCCGTGGCTCTCCAGGGGCTCACCATGCCCACTCAGGCCAAGGGACAAGGACAGGAAGCAGGAAAGCAGCACCCACGGGCCCTTGTGGGTGGCTGCTGAGTCCCTTGGGGACTGGGGAGAGGAGAGGAGGGAAGCCCCTGATACCCCAACTTCTGCAGACACGAGTGAGTGGTCACATGTGAGTCTGGGGAGCCAGGCCCGAGACCGGGGCACCCTCACTCCTGCACCCCTACCCCCACCCGGGTCCCTGCAGATGGGAGGCATGGAGGCGGTCATCACCGGCCTGGCCGACGACTTCCAGGTTCTGAAGAGGCACCGGAAACTCTTCACCTTCGGGGTCACCTTTGGCACCTTCCTCCTGGCCCTGTTTTGCATAACCAAGGTGAGGAGGGGGTAGTTTTAGGGGTCACCTGGGTTGGGCTAGGAGCTCAGGGGGAGCCAAAGGAAGTCAGTCGGACCCTGTGAATGAAGGGGGGGATCAGTGGTGGTCCCTTCTGGCTCTGGGGAGGAGAGGGTGTCTCAAGCATCCCCTGTCCCTGGCCAGGGTGGGATCTACGTGCTGACGCTGCTGGACACCTTCGCGGCGGGGACGTCCATTCTCTTTGCTGTGCTCATGGAGGCCGTCGGCGTTTCGTGGTTCTATGGTAGGTCTGGGCGCCACCTACCACGGGAGAAGGCTGGAGCCTTCCACTGGAGAAGGGAAGGGAAGGGAGGGAGCAGCCGACGCTCAGAATCAGCTCGCCTAGAGCTCAGCTCTGCATGGAATCCTTGGACAGAGCTTTCAGGCTCAGCTGTAAAAACTGTAGCACTGCACGCACTATAGCACTGTCCTCTCATTGTTCATCAGCGGGCCCAGTAACATCTCCACTGTGAGACTTGTTGTTACTGTGTCTGGCATATAGAATAATTCACGGGTAGCTTGCCAGGCTTTGCCATGCAGGTGAGATACTCTCGGTAGCTTGCCGGGCTCTCCGAGAGGGGTGGAGGAATCGAACCCGGCTCAGCCGGGTTAGCTGCGTGCAAGGCAAACGCCCTACCGCTGTGCTATTGCTCTGGCCCATAAAAACTGTAGACAGAAGAATTAGTAAGGGGGTTAAGGCACTTGCCTTGCACACAGTTGAGCCTGGTTCAGCCCTCGGCTGCACATACGTCCCCCTGAGCTCTGAGCCTGGTGTGGCCCAAAAACACCTAAACAGGTTTTTTTTTTTAAAGAAGGGAATGTTACAGTGCTCCAAGCCCTTTCACGGGTGGTGGAGTTCTAAGAACAGCAGAGAGAGCACAGGGCTAAAGCACACACTGTGCCCCACAGTCCCCCGGACATAGCCCCGTGTGGTCCTGGAGGATCTGTGAGTGCCACGAGGGTGGCCCGGCTATGCCCCTGCACCTCCGGCCCCTCAGACCCGGGCACTGAACTGCAACAAGAGTTCTGGGAGGAGCCCCGGCACCCTCCCCCATAGAACAAAGCAAGTCAAAAACAATGGTGCCAAGATGCCCAGTTCTGCTGGACTTCCACAGAAGCGGCAGACCATGCTTCAGAGAGTCACAGATATTGCTCGGGACGGGCTCACACCACAACACGTGTACTGTGGGGCTCAAACTCCAGGGGAACTGCAGGATGAGCTCATCCTGCAGTTCCTTCTGGGTATGACGCCCGAGAGTGCCAAGCGGGTGAGTGTGGTGATGGGACTGTCCCTCTGCCCACATCCTGTCTGCCCTCGTGGGCTGGGAGCCATCACCCTGACCCATGCCAGGAGCGTGCCCGCTGTGTACTCGGGGTCTATTCCTGGCTCGGGGATGAGGTGGCTCTCCTGGAAGAGATGAGTGGGGGCAGACACGGTGCTGGGATTGGGGTGAGACAGCAGGTGAGGCGAGTGTCCTACCCACTGTACAGCCGCTCCAGCCCCAGAGAGGCCTGTTTGTAGAGAATGAACTGAGGTGGGCATGTGTGTCTTCAAATTAGCCTTATTGGGGTCCTGTGGGTGGAAATGGGCCCCTCCTTGGCCCCTTACTCTACTGAACCCCTATACTCTGCTGCTAAGAGAAAGAGTTAGGTACAAGTTGGCCTAACTTGTGTGGGCTACCGGACAGTGTTTAATTACCACCCCCCCCCCCCGAACCAGACCATGCAGGGGGTGCTGAGGACGAGGAGGGTCCCCTGGACCTGGTAGAAGGATAGTGACACTTTGGTGAACCCTAAAGCAAATGTTCATTCTTGCCAACTAATGCTATGGAAATCAAGTCAACAAGGAACTTGCTTTTCATAAAAGAAGGGGTCATGAGCTTGGAGCCAGATCCCTGGGTGCAGCCTGGGGCAGATGCCCCTGAGACGAACTCTGGGGGTCTCCGGGAGGCTGGGGGGGGGGGAACCTCAGTGCTGGACCTGTGTGTATGTGTGCAGGTGTGGACAGGTTCAGCAGTGACATCCAGCAGATGATGGGGTTCAGGCCCGGCCTGTACTGGAGACTGTGCTGGAAGTTCGTCAGCCCTGCCTTCCTCCTGGTGCGTTGGGTGGGCGTCAGGCGGACCGGGGGCGTGGGGGGTGTCCTGTGGGGGCTGGACCCAGCATGAGGGGGAGGGGTCCTGGGAAGGAGATGCTGTGCCCAGGGTGCACATAGAGTGGGTTTGTTTACACCTCAAGTGAGGAGGTTCTGGGGGTTCTGATTGCCCCGCGCTGGGCTTCTGCCACGGGAACCCCGGACTGTGTGCTGACCCTTCAGCCAGCCGAGCTCACCACCTCTCCTGGCTGCTGTCTTAGTCTCCTTTGCTCCCCTTCCTCCCTCCCCCACCGCCCCCCTCCCCCCTCCTCCTGACCACCCCCCCTGCACCCCTTCTCTGACGCCTGCTCTGCCCCCCTCCCCTCCCCCAGTTCGTGGTGGTGGTGAGCATCATCAACTCCAAGCCGCTCACCTACGATGATTATGTCTTCCCGCCCTGGGCCAACTGGGTGGGCTGGGGCGTGGCGCTGTCCTCCATGGCGCTGGTGCCCACCTACATCGTGTACAAGTTCCTCACCCTTCGGGGCTCCGTCTGGGAGGTGAGCTGGAATGGGGTGGGGGGTTTGCTGTAAGGGCGGGAGAGGGCAGGAGGGGCGTCCTCCTGAGTCAAGCCTGTAGCAGGGGTGTGTGTTGTGGGGAGCGGGGCACACGGGCCACTAGGCCAGTCCACCTCTTTGCCGCCCTCCCCCTCCCGCCGCCAAGCCATGGTTCTCACATTAGAGGAATATATTCGGGGGCTGGTGGTATCAGGGTATCACTGAGCAGCCTGGGGTGGGTGGGGGGGCTCCTCCCTCCCTCTCTCACTCACAGAGGTTGGCCTACGGTGTCACGCCAGAGAACGAGCACCACCTGGTGGCCCAGCGCGACATCAGACAGTTTCAGGTGAGCGGGGATGTCCAGGTGTATGAAGTGGGGAGGGGGGAGGGGGCTTCTGGCTATGCCCAGTGCCCAGGACAGCACCCAAGAAAGCCCAGGGCAGAGATGCATGTATGGCAGGGGTGAGGGAGAGAGAGACAGGTACTCGCCCTCCCTTCTGCACCCTGACCCCTCGGATGCCCCAATAAGTATCACCCAACCCGGCTGAGGATGCCACAGGACCTTGTGGGTCTCAGCTTCACCCTTTCCCAAAATAACTGCCCCCTGAGGTTGGTGCCCACACAGCCACACCAGCTCCCAGAATGAAGCCAGGACCCCAATTTCTGGTCAGGCTGCCAGCAACATTGGGATGTTGGGGGTGGAGGGTCCCAGGGAGCCGTCCTGCTGCAGATGGGAAAGTTGCTTTGCTGTAGGATCCCCCAGGAATTCCCTGCCTGTCCTGGTGCCAGGTGAGGGATAGGGTGGTTCCCGTCCCTACAGTACCCCTGTTCCTCCACAGCCCCTGACGGGCACCCCACCTTTGTCTGCAGCTACAGCACTGGCTGGCCATCTGAGCTCGCCCACAGAGACCCCCGACAAGTACCTGCACCGCCGCTCCCCGGACGGACGCCTTGTCGGGGTCCCCTCCTGGAAGATGTCCTCTCCCACCCCTCCTTCTCTTGTCCTACTTGCACTTGGTTTTGTGGTTCTTAGTCACCTTCTGTTGTCTGGCCGGGAGTGTGGTGGGAAAGCTTACAGGGAAGAGGGGTGGGAACCGGAAACCGGAAGTTCTCTCGAACTTCTTGGGTCTAGGGGAGGCATCAGCCACTCGGGGTCTGTGTGTGTGTGTGTGTGTGTGTGTGTGTGTGTGTGTGTGTGTGTGTGTGTGGTGGGGGGCCAGCTGACAGAGTTCAGCTTGGCCAGACTTTTCCTACCACGTGGGCTTGCACTTTGGGCCCCAGAAGAAGCCTTCGGAGCCCCCAATCGGAGAGAGGGTCCAACAACCCCCAACCCAAACCCCCTCATGAGCAAGGCTGGGCCTGGGGACAGGAAGCACCTACCCAGCTCAACCAGGGGACCTGGGATACTTGTCCCTTAAGTGAGCAGGAAACATCACGGTTTTCACTGTGGTTGATCTGTACCTCTTCTGGAACATTCTTCCCTCTGCAGGTGGCCAGAAGATCCAGAGGCGGGGGTGGAACAGGTGGAATGAGGCTGGGTCTCCTTAAGCACAGGCAAACCTTCCTCCTGCCAGGCCAGGGGGGCACAGAGACCACCACCCCAGGCCCCCATGCTTGGCTCCTGAGACTCCTGGGCAGAGAGGCGGTGGAGGGGAGGCTGCCTTCACCGTGGGGGGGTCTCTGCTGGCCTCACAGGGCCCCTGGGTTCCCCGGGGAACAGGCAGTCCTGTTTTTTCTGTCTAGACACCACAGAGTAACTCCCTGGGACATCTACAGGGCAGACGCCCTGGGCTCACAGGGCCAGAAATGGCTCTGCAAGCTGCCTGGTGTCTTCTCCTGGACTCCCCGTGGCACCTTGGTGGGCAGGGAAATCATTGAGCAGCCCCAGGGGACCCCCTCATGAAAGCGCGATTCCTAGTGAGACAGGTGGGACCCAGTTAGAGAATTCCCCACCACCACCACCTTTCTCTTACCTTACAGGTGGCGCCCTCTGGTGGGGAAGCTGGTGCTTTGTTTCTGTTCCTTGGGAGCCGTGTGGGCGCTAGTTTGGCAAAGTGGGTCGTTTTGGTTGGGGGTTTCTGCTTCAAGTTGCAGAGTCTTGGGCCCTTGTTGGGAATCTAGACCCGTAGGGTCTTGTGCTGATGGTGGGGGAAGAATCTTGGCAAAAAAATTAGCAAAACAAGAGGCCACTTCCCTTTGAGGGCGTCGGAATATACAACCTCAAAACTGCCTAGAATGAGGGTGTCCCCGAGACCCGCCTCTCCATGGGCAATCTCTGGGGAGCAGCGGGGAACGGGGAGGTATTTCCTCTCGGAGGCTTACAAGTCAGAGTTCTTAGGTAATTCTTTAGAGAAAAGAAAGAGGGGCTCTGTCTCTGAGACAGACCCAGGGGCTCTGAGCCCTCCCCCCCCCCACCCCCCGCCCAGAAGGCATATCTGGAAATGGACAAAGGAAGTGGAACGAGAAGGTGGGGTCTGGGATCTGAGCAGGAATGACTGTCCCTGGGGGTGTGGAACTGCCCCCAAAAGTGACCTAAATCCTCAAGGCAAAGCTCATTTTCTCCCTGGGGGTCCTGGGACCATGGAGGGGGGGGGGGGGCTGTGTGCCGGTGTCTGTAATCCCCAGGGGAGAAGACCAAGGCACAGCCTTTCATTCATTCCCATTCAAGATCCCTCAGCTCCTAAGGGACCCATCAGCACCCCCAGGTGGGGTCCCTCAAAGTTCAGCCCAGAGCAGATGGAAATTCCCTGCAGGCTAAGTCTCCTCCCGAAGCCTCAGTAGGAGAGCCGAGCCTGAAGGAAGGATGAGGAGGGGGTCCTCCATGCTGGCCTCCCCCGCTGCTGCCTTTACAAGAGAAGACTGCTTCTTGGAACAGCAGTCTGGGCGGAGGGTGGGTGCTGGGGGCTGAAGGCACCCTGAGAAGAGCCTGGGGGTCCTGGCACGCCCCCCATCTGCACATCTGCATTTCCCTCTTTCAAAACCCACCTACCCACCCCCATACACACAAATACCCGTGTGCAGGTGATTTTTCTGTCCTGGGACAAGGCAAGTATGAGATGTGATGCTAGCCCACCCACACCGAATCACGCAATGGTGCTGCCTGGCCACAGACAGGGGCTCCGGAGTCGGGGGGAGGGGGGTGCACCCAGGAATCCCCAGGGACTCTGGCGGAGCTGCTGGGAGTCCTTCCCCCCTCCTTGCATCCACTTTTTTTGGGGGAGCGTCACACCTGACAATGCACAAAGGTTACTCCTGGCTCTGCACTCAGGAGTTACTCCTAGCAAAGCGCAGGGGACCATATGGGATGCTGGGAATTGAACCTGGGTCGGCCACGCACAAGGCAAACGCCCTACCCTCTGTGCTATTGCTCCAGCCCCCAGCATTCACTTTTAAGGAGAGAAAATGTGTGTGTTTTAACTCTGTCATAATTTCACTTTTTTTTTATGGTAGAGAATACCCAAGGTCGGGGTGCTTCTGAGTATATGATGTTTGATATTTTATCCATTTTTTTAAGCATTATGTGCCAATCTATTTCTGACCAGCACATTCAACTTAGCTATTCTGCCTCCCTGTTCCTCACGCTTCTGGAAACCCAAGGAGACAGAATATGGGGCCCCTGCCAGCTCTTGCCAATATCCTGCCAGATCAAAGTCCCCCGAGCTGCCTTAATTCTCACAGGGGGTTCCTGCCAAGTCGGGGTAGTCACTGGCTGCCATGACGTGAGGCTACAGGAAGCCTTCTTACCAAAGAAGTCAGTTCTCAGAAAGGAAGCCCACCAGGCGCCTTTCATTTGTAAGTTTGTTTTCTTGAAGGACCCTGGAATGGAGATGAACAGAGAAGGTGTGGGGTGCACTGAAGCAGCACAGCACTTAAGACACACAGATCCTGGTGGGCTGTGTGCTGATGGGGGTGGGGTGGGGAAGGGGAGTCCTGTGGTGAGACACTGCAAGTCTCTGGGCTTCCGAATTCTTTGTCCATCACAGCAAGGACTGTGTCTGTCCATCACTCAGAGGATCCGCCCATCAGAAGTAAATTCACCCTCTTCCGGACAATGCTCTTGTGCTCCTGTACCTCCTGTACAAGGCTGGAAATGTACCTTTCAGCAGAAGACATGCCAAAGTCAAGCCCTCAGTCTCCCGTGCAGAAGAACGTCAGATTTCTGGTCACCAGAACTTTGATTCCCCCCTCCCCCGCTCCCATCTAAGCCAGGAAGAATGAGTAGTAAGAATGAAAGTTCAGTCTTGGTTTTTGATCCCGGGGTGCCTTGTTGCCATTCTCTCGTCTGCCCCCAGGATGCCCGGTTCTGTGGATGGGGCACTGAGTGTGCCCGGTTGTCAGGCTTGCCACAGTCCGGAGTCGGGGGACACTGATTGGGCGTCCCTGTCTCCTCCCCCAGCCCCTCCACCTCCGTGTACATAAGGACAGTTCAAGGGCACCGCCTCTGGGTCACGGGCTGCTCCCAAGCCATGCTGGTATCTGTGTCTGGTGTGGATTTCTTTTAAAAAGCTGTTGTCTTCATGGAAAACCAATCTGTGTACAGAAAAATAAAGGGTCTCCCCGAGCCGTGTGTCATGAGTCGGGTTCTTTGGGCCAAATGGTCAGATGCTCCCAACCAGTGATGGGAGGTTAATAGGTCTGTCTGCAATCAGCCACCAGTGGATGACAAAGAGTGTCTGACCACAGTGGCCCACGGGTGGCCCACTCTTATGACTGTCCGCTGGAGGCTGGAGGAGGGGAGTCTGTGAGTCTTGCTCTGAGATGGGCTGTCATTGGGTTGACCTCGAGCTGAGATGCCCAGTGCGGGGTCTGCCTGCGTCTGCCTATTTCCAGGGGCTCCGAGCCTGCTGTTGCACCGAGTTTGCTGCTGGGTGCTGTGTGCATGTTTGGGGAGAGGATGCTCTACCATGAAGGCCCTTCCTGCTGAGGACTGGGCCTGCCTGTGGTAAGGTGTTGGCGTAGAGGGGTCTTGTGGTGGGGGCCTCTGAGCAGTGCTCGGGGGGGGGGCCTGGGCCACTCCCAGAAAGACTCAGCCCAACTCTGCAGGTCTGAAGGTTCAGTACTCGGGCACAGTGGAGCTGGGCACACCCTACCCAGTCTACACTACACACTACCCAGTCCACACTACATATCTGTCTCAATCTACACTACATACCCTACCCAGTGTTCACTAGACACCCTACCCAGTCTACACTACACACTATACACCCTACTCAATCTACACTAAACATCTTACCCAGTCTATACTACACACCCTACCCCACCTACATTACACAACCTACCCAGTCTACACTATACGCCTTATCTAGTCTACACACCCTACAGAGTCTACACTACGCACCTTACCCACTTTATACTATACACCTCACCAAGTCTATACTATACTCCTTACAAATATACACTGTGCACCTTACACAATCTACACCCCTACCCAGTCTACAATATACACACTGTAAGTCTCTACTAAACCCTACAAGAACACATTACACACCCTATGCATCTATACACCCTACACAATCTAAACACCCTATATGGTCTACATAGCCTACCTAGTCTACACACCCTTCCCAGTCTACACCCCCTGCCCAGAATCAGTACACACCCTACCCAATCTACAACCCTACCCAGTCTACACTATATATTGTACACAGTTTGCACACCATACCCAGTCTACGCTACACACTATTCCGGCCGGTACACTCTTCATACCAATACTATATACCCTAACCAGTCGACACTACACACCCTATAAATCTATATAACATACCCAGTCTACACTACATACCCAACCTAGTCTATTCACCATCTGAAGTCTACATTACACATCCCACAAGTCGACACACCCTACACAATCTACACTACCCATTTCCAGGACCCGTTATGTGTCTGTCCTTGGCCCACCTCTTTCCAGAGGTCCCCTGTAGTCACCCTGGAATCCTGAACCCGTCTCCAATCAACACCCCATCAAGAGCAGGAGAGAGAGGGTAGGACTGATGTTTGAGGTCTTCCCGGGACCCCAACGTAGGGGGATGCTCCACAACTGCCATTTCTCATGCCCCACCATGGACCACAAGGGTTGGAGGGAAGATTAGGGATGTTTGCTGGGCAATACAATGTAGAGGGACATTTTGGGAACTGGAACCAGTAGGGAACAGTGACCAAGGAGTCTCTAGAGTTGTTGAAAGGGAATAGAGTGACCCCAGGGTGAGCAGCCCTGGAACCGCAGGGCAGAGACCCAGAGGATATCAGCACCTTGGACAAGGCCGGGGCCCCAGGCATTTAATTAGTAGACCTTGTTGGCCTGCTAGTGACTCTGTTACTAGAACTTTACACATCACATCTCATTGGCCACCAGAGGGCGCCAACATATACCCTGCAGCCAAACAGAGATGCAGGAAGGACTAGGGGGAGTTGGTGGGACCCCCTGGATCTATTTGAACCCTCCACTCTTCTGTGAACTCAGGGAGTGAAACCGATTGTTGTCTAGTTGAAAAGATCCAGTTGATTCTGTGTTGTTACATCCTGGGTAGATTCTTTCATCCATTCATTGCCAGAGTCCCACTTGGTACCAGGAAGGAACTGGAAGCCACAGAAGCTCCTGGTTCCAAGAAGGAGAGAAATGGTGGGAGGTGCCGTGTGCCAAGAGCCAGCTGCAGGCTTCGGAGCTCCGAGGGTGGATCCAAGTCTGTGTGCATCCAAGCTGTACAGGAGTCCAAGCTCTGTGAGGGTCCAAGCTCCATGGGGAAATCCAAACTCCATGGGGTGGGAGGTTTCAAGCTCTGTGGGGGTCCAAGCTCCACGAGGGTCCAAGCTCCGAGGGGTCCCAGGCTCTTTGCCACCTCCCCTCCCCTTCCCCTCCCTTCCCCCTCCCTTAGCTTCAATCACCCCTGCAGGTGTGTGTCCCACCCTACTCTACCCCCACCCCCGGGCTGCACCCCATGGCCAGTCACCATCTCTTTAAAAGTTGTCTCTCCTTTAAAAAAATCAAAAACCAAACCCAAACCCCCCACCTTCCCTAATCTGTCATAAACTCAACCACCACTTGTTGAAACCTCTCAAGTACCAACGACTTGGGGACAGAAGGCACAGCCACCATTTCTTCAGTGTCTGGGCACATGGCCAGCTGAGACGAGAGGAACAAGGCCACCTGTGTAGAGGTCTTGCACAGACACCCTCTCTTCAACATCTGCCAAGACTCGAGAGGATCCCCAGGGCCCTAGAGCTGAATCCTGAGTGGGGAATCTCAGGTCAAGAGAACAGGGGCAATGACAGTGGGACGGGGCTGCCCAATCTGTAGGAGTTCAGCGGGAGGGGGGGGGGGGGCGACGGACAGAAGACCTGCTCAGGAGAGTAAGATCTGGAAGGTGTGGGTCCTCCCAGGACAAGAAACTTTCTTCTGGAATCTATGGAGAGACAGAAAAGTCAGACATTTGGGTTTTTATGTAGATTTGGGCCATACCCAGTGGTGCTTGAAGACTACTCCTGGTTCTGTGCTCCCAGTAGTATTCAGGGGACCATGTGGTGCTGGGGATTGAACTCAGGCTTCCTGCATGCAAAGCAAGTGCTCAACTCATTGACCTCTCTCTCTCTCTCTCTCTCTCTCTCTCTCTCTCTCTCTCTCTCTCTCCCACCCCTCTCTCCCCCCTCTTTCTCTTTCTCTCCCTCCCTTTGTCCCTCTGCCTTCCTCCCCCCACTGAAAAGTTTTAGATTAGATGGCGGCTGTGACTGGCAAGGTGTACTTGACTGTTATACACTGTATCTATGAGCTATGCTGTGTAACAAACTAGCACCCCACCCCCATCCCCATAAGATTCTGCAGATGCCGAGGCTCAGCTCCTGGATTGGTCCGTCTTGTGTGCTCACAGCCGGGCTGAGCCTCATCACCCTGGGTAGCAGGTTTTCAATAATCTACTTTGGATTAACTCCCGGCCACATGGTGCCACATTGTCCAACAGACTGGCCTGGACTTGGTCACATTTGTTCACGAGAGTGAGAGGCCTGGAACAAATCTCAAGAAGCCCAAGCTGAGAGCTGGTGCCCCGTGTTGCTTCTGCCATATTTGGTGGCCAAAGCCCATGGCAGGGACTGGTCCAGACCCTTACAGAGTGCAGCTTCCAGACCCCCCAGGGGCAGGGCATGGACAGAGAAAGGTGAAAATAGAACTCTGTGGAGGAGCGTAAGAGAACACTCGGGCGTCTGACAGCTTCCAGGTGTCACCAGGGCGACACCTTTGCAGAGAAATACTGTGAGAACTGCATTTTCCTGAACCTCAAAAGTGCCAGAAACTGGGTTTGTTCTGTCTTTCAGGCTGGAGAAGTCACAGGAAACACTGAATCTCCCTTTGCAGGAGAGAGAGCAAAAAAAAAAAAAAAAAAGATGGGGTGGGGGGCTCCTTCCCAGCCAGTCCCTGCATTAGGTCACAATCTAGCAACTGCAGAAGGCTAAGAGGCCAGTCTGAATGTGGGGATTCCTGGCCTGTCCGGGACTGCGGCTTATCAATGCCACGTGGTGCAGGGCCTGGAATAGGGACTCAGGTCTGGGATAGGGTCCTGGCTGCATCTCAGAAGCAAGCGTGGCTAGGTGGACCCTGGCCACAAGAGGGCAGCAGAGACTCATCAGTCAGCAAGGGGCCGAGGTGGTGAAGCCGGAGCCCAGGACAAGCCCTAAACCAGACCATCACACGACTTCCGGTGTGGGAGAATACGGCTGTGCACTCTGGCGTTGCACTCAGGAACGTGGCGTTGCAGTCAAACAGCAGAGGTGACCCCCCCCCACCACCACCACCACACACCACACCCAGAGTCCCCACAACTGCTTGAAGGCACTGCTGTGTCTTGAAAGCCCCAGTGATTTTCCCCAGTATTTTTCCTAGAGTTCTTTGTTTGGGTCTTGAACAGAAGGGTTTTATTTCTTTTCCATGTGGGGACCACAACTGGTGGTGCTCAGGGCGTCCTCCTGGCTCTGGCTCAGGGGCCACTCCTGGCGGGCCTGCAGGGACCATAGGGGGATGCTGGGGATCGAACCAGGGTCAGTTTCAGGTAAGACAAGGGCCTGTACTATCTCTCCGGCTGCCCTCCTGGAATGTGGAGTGTCCCTATGAGCAGGGGGCACAGTGCCTTCAGGAAATAAGGACAAGGGGAGGAGCCAGGGGTCTTGGATCAGGCTGGGCATTTCCTGGGCCGCTGAGGTGGACAGACTGGGGTGCTTCGGGGAGACGAGGCATTGTTGAGTCCTTCCCAAGGGACACGCCAGAGGGGACAGTCCCAGCCCTATGCTGGAAAAGCCTGGGCGGAGCACACTACCCCACAGATCCAGGGATCCTAACCACGCTCAGCCCAGCAGGGTGAGTCTGACTGCGGTCGGCTCGCCAGGGATGGGGGCCTCCGCGGCTAACTGCACCTGGGACACAGCACCCACATCTGGTGGCAGGATCAGGGCCAGTGTGCAAGGCCACACCCTCCCCATGGGGGCCTTCCACTGATGGGGCCTTCCTCCTCTCCTGCCTCCCCTTCAGCTTCCCCTCTTTCCCTCTGTCCTACCCTTCCCTCCTCCCCTCCACCCTTCTCCTCCCTTCCTTCTTCTTTTCCTCCTCCTCCATCTTTCCCTCCTCCCCTCTCCTTTCCCTTCTTCTGTCCCCCCTCCCCTCTCTTTCTTTCCCTCCTCCCCTTTCTGTCCCTTCTCCCCTTGCTCCTCCTCTTCCTCTCTCTCCTCCACCCTTCTCCCCTTGCTCTCCCCCAACCTCCTTTCCTTCCTCGCCCCTCCCTCCCCCTCACTCCCTCCCTCCCTCTCTCCTTCCCTCACCCCTCCCTCCCTCCTTCCCTCTCTCCCTCTCTCTTTCCTCTCTCCAGCCCAGACACACAACTCAGACTTGGTCTCCAGATGATTTATTCCCATGGAGGACACAGACATAAATTCCCTCTCTGGCGTGCTCACTGTCCAGCCTCCCTAGTGTGACACCTCTTTGACTCATGAGCACCGTGTTGTGGGCTCCCCCAGCCCCCACAACCACCGGCACTTCTGTTCACAGCTCCACGTGCTCTGTGTGAGGGGGCATCTCTGCTGCCTCCCGGGCCAAGAGCTCGGTCCAGAAAGCCACTTCCTCATCTTTGAGTTTGTGCGCAGCCTCAGAGGTGGCGCCGATCTTCAGGTACCCCTCCTTCTTGTCGTAGGCTGGCCACTGGGGCAGCCCATCGCCGTTGGGGTTCCTGTGGATAGAGTCCAATGAAAACCCCGAAGGAGAAGGTGAGCGTCCTAGCCACCTCCTGGGGCAGCCAAGTTCCCCTTCCAAAGAAGAGGCTCCCTACTGTCCTGGTGGCCCTCGCGCCCTGTCACTATGTCAGTCAAGGTCAGGGGTCACCATCCAACATTCCACGCCACCTCCATCCACCACCCCTCCCCAGCCCCACACCTTCAGGGTGGCCAGCCTCACCCATTTCGAGCAAAGTTGGCCCAAAATTTCATCATCATCTTGCTGAGTTCAGTCTCCTCCTTGGAGGCACCACCTATGGGGACGAAAGGGTGATAAAAAGGCTTTGCTGGTTCCAGCTGGCAGTTGGGCATCACTAGGGGACTGGCTAGAATATATCACCTGAGGCTTCCTCCAACCCCCAGGGGGATGGGTGGATGGATGGATGATGGATGGATGGATGGATGGTTGGGTGGATGGGTAGATGGATGGGTGCGTGGGTGGGTGGGTGGGTGGGTGGGTGGATGCGTGGATGGGTGGATGGGTGGATGTATGGATTGGATGGATGGATGGATGGATGGATGGATGGTTGGGTGGATGGGTAGATGGATGGGTGCATGGGTGGGTGGGTGGGTGGGTGGGTGGATGCGTGGATGGGTGGATGGGTGGATGTATGGATGGGGTGGATGGATGGATGGATAGGTGCGTGGGTGGGTGGGTGGGTGGATGCATGGATGGGTGGATGGGTGGATGTATGGATGGGATGGATGGATGGATATATGGATGGGTGGATATATGGATGGGTGGATATATGGATGGGTGGATGGGTGGATGGTGGATGGATGGATAGATAGATGGATGGATGGGTGGGTGGGTGGATGAATGGGTGGATGGATGGATGGATGGTTGGGTCAATGGATGGATGAAATGGATGGATGGATGGATGGATGGATGGATGGATGGATGGATGGATGGATGATGGATGGATGGATGGTTGGGTGAATGGATGGATGGGATGGATGGATGGATGGATGGATGGATGGAAGGATGGATGGGAGTCAAACCTGTGCTTTAAGAGGATCCAGGTCATGGAGGGGCTGGAAGACCCCATCCTCTGTCCCCACCAGCCCTCCCTCCCCTTGGGACAGCAGGATGCCTGCCTCCCTCCCCCCACAGGATTTCTGTGGCAGAGTCCCACCTCCATGTGGCTCTGTCCCCTGCTTCCTTCATCCACTTGCTTCTGCAAATAAGGGCCTACAGACTTAGCAAAGTCAAGGCCTTAAGGGGCCTCTCAACCTGGAAATGGGGGCCAGTGGCCACAAGCCATCTGTCCTGCCGATCCTGACCTGCGTGAAGGGTTTCCTCCAAACAGCACATACGCTTACACCTTATGCTGTGTGTGACTGTATCTTTATGCTCACACACAGCATTTATATAGGGCTCCTTAGGTGTGTGATGAAGAGATGGAATAATGTTTGATGGTTGCCTAGAGAAGCAGACCACAGCAGCCTGATTCTAGATCAACACCAGCTCTCACTTTGTTGCTCTCATAAACTCCTGAGTATAGTCCAGCCCATGGGCAGAGCACCCCTTACCAGGAACCTGGAGGGCGCAGAAACTTTTTTTTCTTTTTGGGTCACACCTGGCACTGAACAGGGGTTACTCCTGGCTCATTCACTCAGGAATTACTCCTGGCGGTGCTTGGGGGACGATATAGGATGCTGGGAATTGAACTCGGGTCAGCGGCGTGCAAGGCAAATGCCCTACCCGCTGTGCTATCACTCCAGCCCCAGAAACTCTTTAGAGCAGGAGTGATGGTGTGAAGTTGGAGGAAAAGACCCAGAAAGAAGGTCCCTGCCCAAAGACCGCCAACATTTCCCCAAGCTGGCAGTCAGGAGACAGTCATCACCTTTCAAAAACGGGGCTCCGAACACCGAGAAGATCTCATCCCCATGGTCTCCCGCCACGGTCTTGGGTCTCATGTCCGAGCAGAAGCTGGGTCGGTACTGGAACTCATACATGTAGGTGGGGGCTCCAGAATCTGGAAAGACACAGGGCCAGGCATGGTTCATTTCAACAGACACACCCCTGGCTGTCGCAGGGTATCTGGGAACTATTGGCTCAGTGGGTCCGGGATCACAGCAGCCCTTTCTGAATACCAGTCACATGCCAGCACCCTATGGCCCCAAGTAAAAACCTGCATTGATAAATGTAACAGGATAACAGGTTGAGAACTGTTAGGGACTTGAATTAGGGTGCAGAGCTGGTGTTGAGCTGGGTAACCTATGGGTCAAAGATGGATGGGTGGATGATGAGGGAATGATGATGGAGGATGGAGGATGAATGAATTGGAGTATGGGGAATGGATGATGGATGATGGAATGGATGACAAATAATGGATGGATGATGGATTGATGGATGGATAACAAATGAATTGATGATGGACAAGTAGGCAGACAGATGGGTAAATGGATGGGTAGATGGATGGCTGGATGGTGGGTGAATAGATTAGGTGGATGTGTGGAGGGATGGACAGGTTGGTGAGCAGGTAAATAGGTGGATGGGTATGTTGGTGGATGGGTGGATGGATGGGTAGGTGGGATGGATGGTTGCATGGGTAGTTGGGTAAGTGGTTGGATGGGTATGGGTGAATAGTTGGTTGGATGGATGTCTGGATGAGTGGATGGACCGATAAATGGATATTGGAAGTCTGATGGTAAATCCACTTACAAGATCTCTTTTATAGGGCATTGGGCCAGTTCACACTCACACACACACACACACACACACACACACACACACACACACACACCCGCCATGGCCTGCTGATACACACATACACACAAAGAGCACCTGCAGACACAGTTCATGCTGCCGTATCTCACTGAGCAACACAACCATATTACACTGTATCTCACTTATTTTCCACCACTTTACATTCCTCTGGAGAATATCTACAGCTCGCTGCCAGCAAATACCTACAGGAGTTCTCCCAGCCTGCTCTCACCTATTCCAGACGGAAGCAAACCTGAGCAGCAGGTCCAAAGCGCGGCTGTTCCAATGAGACTTAGGGAATAATCCATCTCTTGTGACTCAGAGAACCGCAGACTTGGCATTACCTCTCCCTGGCTCCTGGCTTATCTTGCTTCAGGCTTAGCCAGGGGAGGAAGGGGCGAGAGATAAGGGGTTGTGTATGTCCTGGCCTCTCTCTACTCCTTGCTCCTTCCCTCCCCACCTCCTAGAGAACCCACAAGAGAGAAGATGCCCCTTTTCCTGCTAACTGCTTCATAAGAGACACACAACGCTGTTCCTCGGGACTAAGTCCTGGGTTGCCCAGCCTAGGAGCGCCGAGGTGTGCATCAATCATTGTGCCCATGGCAGCGCGGCCATGTCCAGTAAAGCAGTCCCAGGCTGTGGCTCTACCCAGGACAGTGTCTCAGGTTGGGCTGGTGAAGAAACCTGACAACCTTACAATCCCCACATTGCAACATCTTCAGAAAATGCAGAGAAAAAATGAATAGAACAATCATACTAACACTCAGAGAAAACAGTGGCCACATTTTAGCACAGATCCCTTGTTTGTCACTGGAATAACAGCATATATATTAATTTCTAAGGTCTATGATGATTTCTAGAAATGTATGTCCACAGAATGACTTAGTAACATATAACAGAAGGAAGACTAGCTCAATTCACTACTTTTACTCCCGGATCACTAGCTACATCTTGGGTTTTGCCAGAGAAGTTCCTGGCGAGAAGCAACTTGAGATCCACTTGATAAACAGCTGCTCCAAGCCCGGTAGAAGCTTCTGGAAGAGCAGATGTTTTGATGGCCTCTGTCAGTCAAAAGTTTTAGAAAGGAAGTCAGCACCCAGCACAGAGAAAGGACCTTTTGTGGAACCAAGAACTTATTTTTGATAGCGTGCTGCTTCCCACATACTTTCTCTTTAAAAATTTCTCTCTGAAACTACTGACACACGTGACATTCCTGTTATCACAAGTCGTTAAAGGATTTGGCTGTTTGGATAATGATAACTAGTTATAAGAGAAGCAAAGGAAAAGAGAGAAATTAAAAACAAGGCCACTCAACCCATACGGGGTGGTCTCTTTAGCCAAGAAGGGCTTGTGAAATTGGTAGCATAATTTTTAATTTTATTAGCTCAGCTGAGAGAAAGAAGAAATTCATATTCCCGAGAATTGGCCATTGCTATGAGCTTACACAAAGCTGGTTCACAGGATCAGTGAACGCTTTAAAACACTCCTCAGAGCAGCCTCAGAGTTTCTGCAAACCAAGCCTGGCAGAGTGCTTAGAGATGTGGTTCCAAATTCCTGCACATCAGGCTAAGCAAAAATGGTTTTTGGGGCAAGAGAACATGAGTGGTCAAGCCTCCATACCCAAGAGGACAGGAACGCTAAGTTACAAGGCACTCATCTCAAAAACAACAGAAGTTTTCGATGAGTTTATTTTTCTCAACCCACAACCCAAAGCATATTTTAACTGATACGTAAGGCTTAGAAGAAAACATGCCAACATTTTATAGCAGATACTTCTAGGTGAATAATTGAAGGCAATTTAATTTGTTCTTTACCTGGGCCAGTATTTTCAAAACATTTAATCATTTTAACACTAACAATTTTTTTTTTCAAAAGGAAAGAGACAAGGACCAGGAGAGGGGACAGCTGTACCCAACCCGGGTTCAAGTTCCAACACTGTGTAGTTCCCAAACACCACCAGGTGCAGCCTTGAAGGCTCCCAGTCCCTCTGGAGGTGACCCGGAGGGCCTGGGCAGCATTGCATCCTTGGGTCCTTACACTGACCCACTGGTCTGGTTGGTTGAGAATCACCAGAGGATCCCTGACCTCCTGAGAACCATTTGGTGTCCCCCCCAGGCCCCCCAAAAACAAATAGAAAATTGAAAGAATAAAGGAGTGAAAATAATCTCTCAGAAAATCTTTGAATTCAAAGGCATGAGATATTACATAAAAAGACAGTTCCAAGGACTGAAGAGCGAGCACAGTGGGTAGGGCGCCTACCCTGCACGTGGCTAACCCACTGGTCTGATCCCTGGCATCCCATTACGGTCCCATGAGCACCAGTAGGAGTGACCCCTGAGTACAGAGCCCTGAGCATTGCCAGGGGTGGCCCTAAAAACAAGTCAAGTCTCACAGTCCTAGTGGGGACCAGCAGAAGGTGCAGGAAGAAATCCCACAGATACACAACAAGAGGCAAGACCAAGTTTATGAAAATGTGCCTGACCCTAGGTAGTCACTGGCTGACCAGTTCAGTAGACCTTGGTGGAGAGGGAGGGTGGAGTAGTATTGGGCACCACCTGCGTGAGTCTGTCCTGAGTCTCAGGGCACAGCGAGGCAGATACAGCCATTTCCCCTCATGCTTCTACAGCCATTGTTTTCAAATGTTCCTCAGGGCCAGGACCTGTGGGGTGGCAGAGGGCCTGTCTCACAAGTGTGAGGCCATGAGTTGGGTCCACACCCCCGCCCTTATCAGCCCCATCCCCGCACTGCCTCTGTGTCCTCTGCCACCAAGAATGCAGTCCCCAGACACTGGAGCAAGAGCCCCCACAACACAGGGAGATGTCAGAACCAAAGTGCAGCCATCTTCGTTGTGGTAGCCATTTTGTACAACTGGCAGTTGAACTGGGCATGAACCCGAGACCACATCTTGGAAAAGAAAACAGACCAAACAAAAATCACAATACTTGGCCGATCATGCCAGCCAATCAGTAAAAAGAAAGAATCTAGTGGTCGGTCAGGCATAAAAAGAAGAGAACAAAAGGGCACACCCACAGGTGGCCCTAGGCAATCAGCTGACAGGTCAGTTAGGAAGAAAGAACAATGTGGACAGCCAAGGATGTGGTTTTAGACTACCTAAACCCTTCCCCGTGGTTGTGCCCTGTCCGTTTTTCTATGGGGTGCAGCCCTGGCCGGCCAATATGGAACAACTCTCTTTAATAAAATCTTTGAGCTCCTTATAGGTGTCTTGCGTGCAAATCACAGCCCCTAACAGAGAGAAGGTGGGGAATGAATCCATTTTTACTAAAAAAAAAACACTGAGTCAGATGCAATGAGAGAATATTTTGCCTCAACAACAACCGCACCAACCTAAAACAAAAGGGGACTGAGGAACTGTGGACCGCGCGAAGCACCTGGTGTTTGCATGCAGAAGGTCAGCTCTATCTCAGCACTGTACGTTCCCCCAAGCACAGCACCAGGGAGATCTCTGGTGTGGCCCAGTAAGTAAAAGCCAAACCAAACCCAAACAAAGAAAAAACAATAAAAATAAACCCAAAAGGCTGCAATTAAAGGAGAATGGGATGTCCATATTGAGGAATGTCCATATTGTTTTCCCAAAAGGCTGGACCAGTCGGCATTCCCACCAACATTGAAGGAAAGTCCCATTCTCCCCGCATCCATGCCAGCACTTTTGTTCTTGTTCTTTTGAATGTGTGCCAGTCTCTGCGGTGTGAGATGATATCTCATTGTTCTTCTGATTTTCATCTCTCTGCTGATTAGTGATTAGCATTTTTTTTTTTTTTTGCTTTTTGGGTCACACCCAGTGATGCACAGGGGTTACTCCTGGTTCATGCACTCAGGAATTACTCCTGGCGGTGCTCAGGCGACCATATGGGATGCTGGGAATCGAACCCGGGTCAGCTGCATGCAAGGCAAATGCCCTACCCTATAGCATTTTTTTCATGTGTCTTTTGGTCATTTGAATTTCTTCTTTGAGGAAGTTTCTGTTCATTTATTCTCTTCATTTTTTGATGGGGATGGGGTTTTTTTTTCTTGTAAAGTATATGGACATTCCTCAAAAAATTAGAAATTGAGCTCTCATTTGATCCAGCAATACCACTTCTAGGATATACCCTGGGGGCCCCAAAACACACATCAGAAATGCCATCTGTACTTCTATGTTCATTGTAACTCTGGCAGAATCTGGAAACAACCCGAGTACCCGAGAACAGACAATTGGATAAAGAAGCTATGATACATCTACATGATGAACTATTACATAGCCATTAGGAAAAATGAAGTTATAAAATTTGCTTATAAATGGATGGACATGGATAGTATCATGCTGAGTGAAATGAATCAGACGCAGAAGGACAGATATAGAATGACTGCACTAATTTGTGAGATATAAAAAAAAATAATATGAGACTAACATCCAAGATCAGGGAAAACAGGGACCGGGGGAATGGTCAATGGCTGGAAGCTTGCCACAAGTTTGTGCGGGGCAAAAGGCAGTTAGGATAGAGAGGGGACCAGTATGACAATAATAATTGGAAATGATCACTTTGGAAAGAAACTGAGTGCTGAAAATAAGCAAAGGGACAAACATGATAAACTTTCGGTATCTTTATTGCAAACTATAATGCACAAAAGGAAGGAAGGAGAGAGAGAGGGAAAGAGAAAGGAGAGAGAAAGAGAGAAAGAGAAAGAGAGAGAAGAAAAATGCCGACCACAGAGATGGAGGGGGTGGGTGGGAGGGAAACCGGAGGCACTGATGGTTGATGATGGGAAATGTGCACTGATGAAGGGACGGGAGTTGGAACATTGACTGAAGCCTAATCATGAACAACTTTGGTATCTCACAGTGATTCAATTAAAAAAAATTAAGATAGAGAGAGTGAAAGAGAGAGAGCGAGAAAGAGAGCAAGAGAGAGAGTGACAGGGAGAGTGAGACAGAGAGACAGAGAGAGACAGAGAGAGAGAAGAGAGACAGAAAGACAGGGAGAGAAGAGAGAGAGAGAGAGAGAGAGAGAGAGAGAGAGAGAGAGAGAGTCATTCCCGAGCTCACAGACAGGCAAGTGAGTGCTCCAAGGGAAGGAAGCTTGTAGAAGGACCCCAGGAAGGCTCCCCAGGGACATTCCCTCTCGAGTTGCTTCGTCCATCCCAATCTCACCACCATCTCATCCAGTATGAACCAGCATCGGAAAGTCGGGACAGCCCACACACCCCAGGACACACCATGGTGTGGGACACGCCACGGTGGGCCCCAGACAGCGGCCCTCTCACCTCCCACTGCTTTCCATTTCCTTGCTCCGAGGTCCCCTCCTGAGCCCTCCTGCCTCATCCTCCACTCACCTCCGCTGATCCAACGAGCCTGCAGGGAGCTCTGACCTTGGGAACCTTCCAAACCCACCTTCCAAGATACCTGCCAGGAAGCTGTTCCCCCCACCTCTTTGCAGCTCTCAGGAGAGCTGTGCCACATGTCTCGGCCACTAGGGGACACCTGGCCCCAGGGGTAGGGGGGTGGGCAGCAGGTCAGGGCCCCTGTGGGGGTTATCAGTCCTGAGGGGCAATCTTTACTCAGCCCAGGGGAACTGGAGAATGTGGACCCCAGCTCCCAGGTCACCAGCCTCAGGCCTCTCTGCTCCCCTTGCTCAGGGTGGACATCTGCTGGGCTGGGCAGCACTGACCGGCTCCCTGGCCCCTCCAGCCACTGGGATCACCTCCCAAAGAATCAATTGGCTGCATCCAGACACTTTTCAGAAATCCAACTCAGATGGGGACTCCCATCCCTGAAGTCACACAGAATCAGCCTGCCAGGGGTGGCCGGGTCCTCAACAGTGTCCACGTGTCTGCCAACGCTAAAGATGGGCAGGACAGACACCAAAGCTGATGGGATGAGTTGTCCACCCGCCAACCCCGACCCCCACACTGCCCAGCCACCCAGACTCACCCCGGTGGCTGCGGGCCACTGTCACGGAGGGGACATTGAAGATCAGATCGGCCATCATGTCCATGAAGCGGTCTTTTTTCTGGACAGGGTCATCCGTCCCGCCCAGGTACTTCTCAACTGCTGCTGGAGTGAGAGACTCAGGAACGCCCTGGAATGGCCCGAGAGTGGGTGTGAAGGCCAGGCTGTATTTGCTGGCAAAAGGGCAAAGGGATGGGAGAGGGGTTGTTCAAGCAGCCTTGGCTGGCCCCCCTCTAGGACAGGTCGGATTGGGGTAGGGGGTGGGAAAGGCAGGAGAAGGGGGAGATGGATTCAGATTCCGCCTTTGGTCTGTCATGTCTGGGATCTGGGACAAGCCCTACCCTCCTCCAACTCAGCCACTTCCTGTTGTGCCCCAGATACTTACCACCATGGGGTAGGACTTCCACAAGAGTGAGGCGGCCGTCTGGTCGTCCAGCTTGCCTTCCGAGAGCGGGTACCCCATCATCTGTAAGACCACGGAGAGCACTCAACGGTGAGTCTCCAGGGATGAAGGGGAAGACTCATACCCACCAGCTGCCGCAACCCTGCAGGCCGCAAGACCCCACGCTCTGCCATCCCACCTGGCCTTGGAGTCTTGGGGACTCAGGCAAAGCCATCGCAGGGAAAGGACTTCTCCAGAAACTCAGAGGGGAATGTGGATGTTTACAGGGTCCCAGGCGGCCAGTACATCCCTGAGGTCTGAAGGTGGAGACTAGGCTGGGGTTGGGAGTACAGGGCTGATGCTATAGACATCACAAATGCCTGGTCCAGTCTCAGGCCTCTGAGGAAACCCCACATTTCGCCTTGGCCCTGGGGTCGACCAGAGAAATCATTCTAAAGTGAACGCCAGCCAGTTTGGCACACAGCACTGTTCTCCATGGGACCTCCCAAGCATGGCTTCCCTAACTCATGGCTGTGTCCCTTGGGAACCCCGGGTGCCCTTAAAGCACTAGATAGCTCCCTGCCACCAAATCTTACTGTTTGTCGCAGCCAAATCCTGGCTCGAGGCAGTGAGGACTCCTGGAGCCAGAATTTGTAACTATTAAACCTGGCTCAGCCCTGTGGGCTATCAACTCACCAGCCCAAAGTCCTGTTAGGAGAAGCCTGAGCAGGCTTCTGTTTGAGTTGAGCCTGCCCCTTCCCGGTCCGAGGCTCAGGGCCAGGGTTCAGGAGTATCTTGCTTCTACCTGCACCACTCCCCATCATAAAGACAGAGGGGTGCCATGGAAGAATCCCGCAGAACAATCCCGCGCCCTGGGCACAGGGCAGATTCCTCCCTACACCCCTGTGACCTTCCCCTTCACACCTGCCAGCCCTTCACATCTCCAGCACTGGCTGGGCCTCAGGGATCTGAGCCCACTAGACTCTCCCCACCAGCAGCCTGGCCTGGCCACCTGGTGGTCGGAGGCCTCTGTGGGACTGGCAGCAGAGGAAGCGCAGCCTTACTTTCCCAAGCCAAGCAGAAGCTGGATCGTCGGCAGCTTCCCCAGGGTCAGAGGCAGAGCCTGTGCAGGGAATGACGGGGAGAGCATAAGAGCAGCCAGGCCAGGGGGTGGACATGCCCACCATGCTCCCATTTGTCTTGGGACGTAAGAGCCCGGAAACATGCACACCAGGGAGCTCCTCCTTCAGTTCTGCTGCACAGAGGGCCAGTGTTTGTTGGCCTCTGGGGTCGTTGGTTTCTAGCCCAATAAGTCCCAAGCACCTTGGTTTTCCTCCCCCAGGACTCCCCAGCACCCACGTGTCTGGACCCTGGAATTAAAAGCCCCAGGGGAGCATGATTGAGGGGCCCCCAGGTACCTGATGCGCCAACCCAGAGAAGGTTCCCAAGGAAAACTCACACCATCTGCCCTGGAGAAGGTCTGTATCCCCACTAACAATGGAAGGGGCCACGCGTGTCTGCCCCATGCTCACCGTTGGGAGAACCCAGCCAAACTCCTGCTTGTTGACCCCAACGATGAAGGGGACCGCGTTGAACTCCTTCTTGGCCAGGAGCTCTTCAGGGGTCTTGGGCATCAGGAAGCCGTCCACCACCGTGGGCACAAAGGGGTGACTCTGGGGTGAGGGGAGCAGCGGGTCAGCCCCTCTCCAGGCAGCCCCCCCGCACCCCACACCCCTCCAGAGCAAAGCAGCGCCAAGCCCCTACGGCTGAGGTCTTGTCCCCCCACCCCCTCCCCTGGGTCCCAGCCAGGGTGGCTAAGGCTGTGTGACCTCAATGACCCGGATGTGGAATCAGGGGGTGAGAGAGGGCCAAAGTTCACGCAAATGGAGACATGAAAAACATAAGCTATTCTGGGGAGTAACGGTGACTCTATTCCTCGCTTCCGTTGGAAATGGACGTCACCCACCCCCTCTGTGGCAGTCAGTCCCCACTAGGGCTGGGGCAGGGGGGGGCTTTGGGAAGCAACCCTGCAGATGTGGAATCAGCATCCAGGAAAATGTGGGCTTGGGACCCCCCATGGCCTGGCCTCTCCTTGCCATCACTTTGTTTTTGGGGTTTACTTGAAGACATTTTCTCACAGATGCAGCTTCAAGAATCTGTTATTGACTCAGAGTCAAACTCCTGCTGGGCCGGGATGGACATTGTTCTGGCCCAGGGTGAGGCAACTAAATCCCAGCCTGCAGCCTCACCACAGTACTGTTCCCTTTACTATTTTTAAATTCTTCAATTGTGCAGATTTGGGGGCCGCACCCAGTAGTGCTCAGGGCTTACTTCCTGTGCTCGGGGGTCACTCCTGGGGATGCTTGGGGGACGCTATGTGGCACTCAGCTGTGTGCGAGGCAGTTACATTAACCCCTGTACTAGCTCTTGGGCCCTCTCTGTCTTCTGATTTTATTTTTATTTTTTTTAAAAAATTGATTTTATAATGCTCAGAAGAAAAGAGAGATCGAACGAATGAAGGCAAGTGCCCGCCATAGAGGGAGACTGGGCAGGAGTTGGGGATGGGGGCAGTGGCAGGAGGGAAACTGGGGACACTGGTGGTGGGAAAGGTACCCTGGTGAAGGGATGGGTTGTGAAATATCCTATGACTGAAACCCAATCGTGAACAACTTTGTAACTGCATCTCATGGTGATTCAATTAAAAATAAAAATCGGTTTGGGGGCCACACCTGGCGATGATGCTCAGCGCTTACTCCTGGCTCTGCACTCAGGGAATCACTCCCAGTGGTGCTCAGGGGACCAGTTTGGGTGCTGGGGAGAGAACCCAAGTCGGCTGTGTGCAGGGGAAGCGCGCTACCCATTGTGCTATCTCTGGCCATGCCACTCCATTATTTAAAAGCCCCTCTCCCCCTCCTGTAGCCACAGAGACTGTTTCTCTGCAGCTCTATCCAGTGCTCCACGAGCACTTCCGGCAGCAGCTCCGAGCACAGAAGCTGCCGGTTTTCTGTTTTTCTGGCTGTGCTGTGTTGTCAGTTCTTAACTCTGAGGTGGTAATGCGTCAGTCCCCACCGCATGGCGCCAGTGGACATAGAAAGCACATCCCAGCATCCACATGCTTGGGACACCGAGCACTCTGCCAGGAGCCTGGGAGTGTGTGATAAATTTTATTTAAAGGAAATTTTGTCAATGAATTGCTGTCTTTGGCTCTCGATTTCTGGGAGGGTCGAGAACAATAATGATTCTGGACAACCAAACGATAATGATTTTGGACAACCAAAGGTGCTCTCTGGTTTGCCTGCCAGTTCTTTCTGCACAATTGTAATCTTATTGTTACCCTTTCTGTTAAGTGGGGAAAGGTCACAGCAGGTGTTAGTAATGTGATACTGAAACGGAACTACCAAAAGAAATTGCACCGGAATAGCAGCACTGGGCCATTTTGTGGGGTTTGGGGAGAGGAGGCTAAAAGGGACTGAAAATGAGTCCACCCTGAATGGATGAGACCCGTTAAGTCACATCTCATACTTGACAGGATTCAAGTATGGCCCGGGGGCACGAGTCATCCTTCCCTTCCTCTCATGCCCCCAAACTATGCCAGAGCAAACGCTGACGGGCTTCTGAAACACCCAGACACCAGCTAGACAGACAGGGCAGCAAGTGGGTAAGGAACTTCTCTTGCCGGCAGCTAACCTGGGTACCATCTCCAGCACCCCATATGGTCCCTGAGCCCTCCAGGAGTGATTCCTGAGCACAGACAGAGCCAGGAAAAGCCCTGAACACCACCAGGTGTGGCTCAAAAACCAAAACCTAAAATACATAAAGCACACCGTCTCCAGCCCCGGGGACCCCATGGACTCTGCAAGGCCCAAGTCTGAATAGCCGCAACCTCAAGCCTGGGTTACTATAGTCCAGTGGCGTCCCCGCATGCATCCCTGTGCCTGCCCAGCCTCTCTGTCCCCCGCATCCACACAGTAGAGGCCTCTGTGAGACCCCAGCCAGGTCACTGGGTCCAAAGCCCTCTTCTGCTTTCCCACCCAGAAGGCAAGAGCAGCCTAAGACGTTGGCTTGGCCACCTGCTTCCTCCCTTCTCTGCATCCCGCTCACTCTCCTCACTCCCTGCCTCAGCACCACTCCCACACCCCCACTCCATCCCCAGCCTCAGCGTCTGTGCAGATGCTGTTCCCATGACCCCATCCACCCCCCTCCGCCCCACACAGCTGCCTCCCTGCTCAGGCTCAAAGGTCCCTTTCTTCCTGGCCCTCCTCCCTCCTCCCTAAATGCCTACAAAGGCCACCGGGCCTCTCCCTCTCTCTGCCAAGCCCGAGCCCGCAGCAAAAGCACTACAGAGTTCCATGAACTTGTGTCTCCTGCGACTTCCCCAAGCCAGCGGTTAGAGGCGGTGTCTGCCGGGCCAGTTCCGCAGCTGCTACCGTGTGTGCTAGTAACTGTGCTGAGCGGGAGCAGATGCCGTCCTGCCTCGAACACCTCTAAGGCACCAGCTCCTCTCTGCAGAGAGGACAGCGGGGACGTAGGGCACAGAGGCTGTAGAGGCAGCAGGTGTCATGGCAGTTGTCAGAGCTTCCAGTGAGATTCAGGGGGGACATGGGAGTCCCTTCCTGATAGCTCTGCAAACAGTGCATCTCACAGTACCCTGTAGCCTCTGGGGAAAAGGTCTGGGCTGCTCCAGGAAGGTTCTGGAAGAAGCCCCTCATCCATCAACTCGGCTCCTGCTGGGGAACGGTTTGAGACCAGCCTTCTCTGCGTAGGCCGGTAGCAAGAACTAAAGAAGGGGGTTGGCCTGACCCCGGGGGCACAGATGGATGGTTAGGAGTCAGGCGAGCAGGTCCCAGCCCACCCTCTGTCCCCCAGGCAAGTCACTATCCCTCTCTGGATCCCATCAGAGAAGCACCAGGAGTCGCCAGGGAGAATTTCTCCAGGCATGCTTGACCGCAGCTGGAGCGTGTGAGGCTTTAAGACCTGGAAGGGAGAAGTCTGCAGTCCTTACCTCTCTGGGGTCTTCAAGCAAATCGAGGGCGAAGAATTTCTGTTGAGACAAAGGCAGAGACTGTGGGTGGAGGTCCCCTGGGAGAAGAGCTGATCCTGGGGTGACACAGGCCACAGTCTCGGCTTGTCCTCCCCGAGCCACCCTGGCTGGACCAGGAGGGAGAGGGTAGGTGGTGGGTGGGGCGGCCCGGGCACAGGAACGGGGAGTAGATGGAGCATGAGGTCGGGGGGCTCTGGGGAGTGTTTGGGGCCCCCCACACCTACATGCAGGTTGTCTTTGGCACCCCCAAGCAAAAGCACCCTGACTTCCCTGAGGGGCTTCCCTCTTCCCAATCCTCCATCCAGGCTTCCATGAGGGGGGCCCCGCCCCCCTCCCCCCACACCCATCCCCCACCCTGTGCCTCTGGTCCCAGTCTTGAGTGCAGGGATGGGCACACACCAGTGTAAGTCCCAGAGGCATTTACTCCAAAACCTTGTCAGTAATTTTCAGGATAGACAGTTTTTTAATACAGACAGGACATGAATTGAGGGTGTGGCTGTTGTCTTTGCAATCTCCCCAGGAGGCAAAACCTGCCTCAGAGTGAAGCTAACACAGCAAGAGAAAAAAGAAAAACTGAAGGACAGAAACCGAAAAGGCTGAAATAGCACAGCAGCATCTGGATCCAGCCACGCCTGAAGCCACCTACCCCCAACTTTCCAGTTAGTTGACAATTCTGTTGCAATATATTCCATTTCCTTGTCAAGGCATATTGAGATCTTTTTTTCCTCATTGAAATCCACCACACCCCAGGCTTCTCTTTGTCATACACATTCACGACTAGATTGTTCTGGTTGTAGCCAACTTGTCTGACCAGTAAAAGCTTCCCCGTTACAGGTTAGTGTGTGTGTGTTAGGGGAAGTGTTTGTCAAAGCAGCACTTCCACATGATCTCAGAAAATCTCAGAAGAATAACACAGGCTCGTAACTCCTCTCATTTTCCCACACTGACCACCTCTCCCTTTCTGAAGGAATTACTTCAGTGCCAGGGGGAGAACCGTTGAAATAAACATGTCTTTCCAGACGTCAGAAATGGTGCAAACAAGTATGTCTCGATTCTTGGAGCACACCGGTCTCCTGACCTGAGCTTGGGGACCCAGGCTCTCAGGAACTTTTTGCAAAACTAGGCTCCAAGCCCCAAGCCATGCTGGACTCAGCCCCATCAAAGAGAGCAGAGACCAGCTCGGGGGTCTGGCCCTGGGGGGATCTCAGGAGTTGAGGCTGCTCCTCACCCAGGGTGTTTGTCCCACTGGAGCTTCCTGTGATAACACATTGCACAGGCTTCCTCTGGAAAGCATCCTTCCCGCTGATAGGTCCTGCTTCCCCTCTCTCTCTTTGACCACCACACACAACCAAGGAAGCACATACAAGCACTTCTCAAGGGACAGTTCCATGAAGCCAGTGACTAGAGTTGATTCAATGCACCATAACAGCTGAGGTGGTGGTCCATGATACCCTCCCTACTGCTCCCCACTCCATATGTCATGGATGGACGGGAGGGGTTGGTCAATGCGAGGAGTCTGGGAGAGTTGGATGCATAATGATCGGATCGAGCAGGCAGGTGATGGATGGAGCATTGATTTTAGAAGGATGGGCAACAGGGAGGATATACAGTGTAGAGGTGTTCCATGGGTGATTGGTAATAGAGGAATAAAAGCCATGGATGTGTTGGTGGGTGAATTGATATCACATATGAAAGAGAGGATATTGATGAGTCAGAGAGATTAATGGAGGGAAAGAAAATCATGAATGAATACAGAGTGGATAGATGATTATTCTAGAATCAACGAAAACAGCGTTTCAGCAAATCTAGGACATTAGACTCTAGTGGAACATAATGATAGTTTCCCAATTAACCAACATAAGAATGTGACAACCTTTCTCAAAATATTTGTTTGAACTATCTTCATCCTCAAAACCTGGATGGCAGTTTTGTCTGAGAATATATAATGTTTAATGTCCCCCCAAAATATATCTTAAGACTAAGAGTTGCAAAACAGTTAAGTTTTGATAGAACGGAATTCTCCCTTATGTTATCTTAGACTTGGCTCATGGTGATGCTATTTCATAATAAAAAGGAAATGAATGTTTCCCTCACTCAGTTCCAGACACCGACACCCCTCTTAGAGGCAGGGAATTGTCTGCCCTGGGTGAATGAACAGCTTAAGTGCTGGGCCGGGGGCCCCATTTGCGGGCTGGGGGGCTAGTACGACTGCAGAGAGGGGTACCTACCATTTTCAGCCCGGTCTCCAGAAGCTCCTCCTCCGACTTCTGGCGTAGGCAATGCACCATAACAGCTGAGGTGGTGGTCTTGCACCCAGAAAAGACGGCAATTTTCTGTAAGGAGAATAGCGCCAGCAGCATTAGGAAGCCACATCCCTTCCTTCCATCCCTAAAGAGGCAGCTGGTGCTGCCCCTGGGCCTGAAGTCTGGGGTGGGGGGTGGGTAGCAGGAAGTCTTGCCCACCAGCAGGTGTGGGCTCTGGCTCCCTGCCCCGGGACTGGTGCAACCACCACTGTGACATGTCACGGCATCCCTGCAGTCTCAGAACAAGAAACAAGCGGAGTCACAGAACGAGGCGTCACCCCCTCCAAATCACAGCACAGCCCCCAGAGGATCCTGTCCATGCCTGGAAGGACACTCACAGCGGGGGTGGCCAGAGGAGAGGATGCAGAGGGACTAGGCTGGCCCCAGAGCAGGAACACACATGGGCTCCACTATCAGGCAGAAACTTATGGCAGAAACCAGGCTAGATATGCTGGCTGAATCATGGAAGGCTCAAGGAGGAGGAGCGGAGGGAGAGAGAGATGAGGAGGGGAAGGGGGAGAGAAAGAATATGACTTGCAGAGAGGGGAGCCAGAGAGCTAGTACAGCAGGTAGGATGCGTGTCACCCTCTCTGTCACGCAGAGTCCTCCTCCAGCCCCAGTGCCTTTGCCCAGGCAACATTCCTCTTCTGGAACAGTCTTTTCGCAGCATCTAAATGACATAGCATCCTTTGGATCTCAGTTCACTGACCGCTCTCCAGGAAGTCTTTCCAGCCAATGCCCCCGGGGCCCCTGGCATGTCTCTCCCCTCTAGAATTCTGGGACCACATCATCACCTTCCCTGCTTTCTCTGGTCCCAGTTGACAACTAAGTATTGGCAGGACTGCATGGCAGTCAGTCTGCTCGCTAGAACAGAAGCTTCCGGAGGTGACTCATTGTCTCCCTCTATGAGAACTGTTGTGTGAGGGGATGAGTGAGTGAATGAATGAATGATTGAATGTATTCTACAGGATCTACAAGGCCCCAAGGAAGGAGTGGTCTGGGCCCCCTCTCTGAAAGGTCGGGGTAGGGACAAGACAGGTCATGCCTCCGCAAGGCTCCCCCTCACCTGGCAGGCTTTGGGGGTGAGGTCAGTAGCTGGGCATGGGCAGGGACACTGCCCTCCTCCCAGCTCTTCCCCTGCTCCCTGCGGCTCTTCCCTGCACCAGCTAACTCAGGAGCAGGGCTGGAGACTGGGTCAGCCCTAGCCCTGCACCCTCTCCCGCTGCTCTGCGCCAGGTCCCACGGAGAGAAGGGGCCCCAAGGGCTGCAGGTGAGGCTGAGCAGAGGAAGGCGGCTTACATGAGCTGCAGCCTTCATGTCCTTCTTGGTCAGCTTTCCGGTGAAGACCACGCCGCTCTCAGCGATGGCCCGGTGGAAGAGGCCCTTGGCCAGAGGAGATAAGACCTGCAGGGTAAGGAGGGGAGGCCAGCGTGTTCACAGAGGGGGTCTGCAAGAGCCCCTCCCCCCAAATCTGCCCCAGCCTGCCATCCCACCCCCACCCCCCACAGAGACTGGGGTTCTGCCCTGTTGCCCAGGCTGGCCCATGAAAACCCTCCAGCTAGCCCAGGGAAACCTCTAGAAGGAAGGAGCCGGGAGCAAAGAAAGGAGTGAGGGCCAGAGGAAGTGGGCTGCTGGCTGGAGCCACAGAAGTGTCCAGAGGACACTGGGAAATCAATTCTTCTGCTCAGACACTGCTCCGGGCTCCAGACTCTGGGCAGGGCACTGACTTGGTGCGGGCACCCGGTGGTATCAGAAATGAACTCGGCACCTCCCTCCTGCAGATCCGAGCTCTGCTTCCTGGTGCTCTCTCCCTAGCCCAGATTGTCCTCAACAGTTTTTGTTGTTTATTATGTGTGTGTTTGTGTGTGTGTGTGGGGGTGGGAGGGTTCCCAAGCAGTGCCACAGGGCCTGGGTATCCAGGAGTCACTCCTATCACTTGGCCAAGCAGACGTGGAGCTTCAGTGTTAGGGATAGAGGATGCAAAGCTGTTCAGACCTGTGGTCCCAGGGTTCACCAAGGCTACCTCCTTGGGGTGCTACACCTAATGGTACCAGCCTTGAACTTGGGTTCAAAGTATGCACCCCCACCACTGAGTTCTCTTCCCGGCCTGACATTTAAAAAACAAGGTTCTGATTTACACTATGTCATCAGGGGACTGATCAGGGAAGTGCACGATGGTTTCTAAGATCTTCATGCTGTGGAAACTAGAAACAGTCCAGGGTATCCACAGCATGTGCCTGGGGAACATCCCGTGTAAACTGGCTTCCTTTCTTTATGTGGAGTACTATGCAACTATGAAAAGGGTTGTGAAAAGGTACTGCATGATGTGGGGATGTTTAGCCACACTGCTAAGGAAGGTTTGAAAAAATAAAACAAAACCCCTCAGCAATCAGTAAGGACTGTCACAATGCAGACAATGGAAAAAGAGATTAGACAAGTTCATGCTTAAACACGCACAGAGAGCATGATAGGCTTGTGAACACTATTTTCTGTTCTGCACTTCTCTATATCTTCCTTTACCTCACTTTTATAAAATATAAAAATGTTTTCCTGGAGCTGGAGTGATAATCAGTAGGTAGGAAGCTTGCCTTGCACGAGGCTAACCCAGGTTTGATCCCCCACACTCCAGATGGTTCTCCAAGCCTCACTGGGTGTGGTCCCTGAGGCAGGAGTCAACCCAGAGCAGCCCCAGGTGGGACCCCAAAATAGAAACAAAAGATAAAGTTTTCCTCTGAGCATTCAGTGATGAAAACCGTACTTGTCTCAAAAATGCACAAACGGTACAAACAACTCTGGAGCAGCTGAAGGGTTTCTTAGAACCCCTGATGCCTTCAAATGTGCTTTGGGGTTTCACTTTCCCTGGTGGCTCTGCCCCAGCTCCACCCCATCTCCTGCCAGACCCCTCCTCCATGGTCCTGGTGGTACCTGGGTCCCCAAGGCCCTGTGCCATCCTTCACTCCACCTTCCCTTCCCCGCCTCCTGTGGCTCATCTGCAACCCTCAGTCTCAGAGTCTTCTGCTCTGCGTTGTGGGTATAGTCCAGCTCAGAGCACTCCCGGGACAGTGCTCACGAGGGACCTGACTTGTGGATCTGATTACCGAGCCCACCCTGCACTCAGGGCAGCCTCTTCTTCCTCGTCCCTAAGCCCAACCCTACTTCCTCTTGAACCTGGAGATGGAATGATTAGGATGTGGGGAGAAGGCTCCATCAGGAAGGAACAGGAGCAAAGGCATGCATGATTGACGGTCCCTGCAGGGTCAGCTGAGCACTGTGCTTCCGGGCACCATGGAGCCTTTGGCCATGAACTCTGCCTCGCACAGAGCAGCCAGCCCCATACCCAGCTCTCTGGGAAGTAAAGGACCCGATGGCCTCCATGGGACACTGAGAGCAACCCCCTGCTCGCCCAGAACACTTACGAGAACAGACACACTTTCACCTCCTGCTGACTCCCCAAAGATGGTCACAGAGCCGGGGTTCCCTCCAAAGTTGGCGATGTTCTCCTGCACCCAGCGCAGGGCAGCCACCTGGTCCAGGTGACCCCAGTTCCCTAGGCAGTGCTCATCCCCCGTGCTGTGAATGAGAGAACAGAGTGGAGGGAGTGGGGCAGAGGCCTCCTGACAGCGGTTTCAGGGCTGTGGAGGGGACTCAGGGCTCAAGGCAAAGCCTCAGGACTGAGAAGGGGAAGCCCAGGCCCTGTACTAGGGGTTCACTTGCCTCTGTGTCTGCACCATTGCGCTGTGTTCACCCCTACAGCCTCTGCTCACTAAATATCTGCTCTAGGCCAAACCCTGTTCTCAGGGCAGGAGCTCAGGCTACGCAGAGGTCAGGCCACGGAGCAGAAATAAACAAGCAGACACAGAGATGAGCAGACAGTCAATGTGCTGCCAGGAGACAATAAAAGAGGGAAAGAGAAAAACAGTGGAGGGTGAGGAGGGCCAGAGGGAGGGTCCTTTCCACATCACATGACCAGGGAAGGCCTCGTGGAGGTCAGTGATGTTTGAGTTGAGGCTTGAATGAAATGACCATGAACGACATCCAAAGAAGTGAATCCCAAGCTGAAGAAAGAAATGCAAAGGACCTGGGGCTCCGTGAACAAAGGAGTGTAGTAGAAGTTGTGGCTAGAGGGGCCCAGTGGGTGTGAACATGGAGTGTAGTAGGAACTGTGGCTAGAAGGGCCCTGTGAAGAGAGGAGTAAAGTAGGGGCTATGGGTAGAGGGACCCTGTGAACAAAGGAGTGTAGGAGCTGGTGGCTAGAGGGGCCCAGTGGGGGTTGGTGGTACTGTATAGATCCCGATAACCACTGCAGAGGAATGGCAAGGGGCACTGATGTCCTCAAGGATCAATCTGGTCACTGTGGGAATCAGGCAGGTATAAAAGCTGCAGGGTTAGGAAAGTAGGTGATTGATTCTTGTCAAGATCCAGTTGAGAGGCCCTGAGGGCCTTGATTACAGCAGGTCCAGGAGAGGAGTGAGAATAGGTTGGATTCTGGCCAGGAGACTGATGTTACAGGGGTGCCATCAGGTCTGCTGGCCCAGGGGTGTGGGTGTGACAGTAAGGAAGCCCTGGACTGATGTGTCTGGGGAAGGAGAAGGAAGGAGGAGCCCAGCGAAGAGGACTGGGAGCTCTTGCTAGGGAGCTTAGCCAAGATGCCCTGGAGCGCTCACAGGCCCAGGGCTGGCCTAGCACCCCTAGCGGGGCAGGGAAGGGAGTGCAGTCTCTTACCTGAAGAATCCCAGGATGCCCAGGCGGTACTGGATGGTCACCACCACCACATTTTCATGGGCAGATAGGGCCAGCCCGTCGTAGGTGGACGCCCCACCCGTTATGAGACCCCCTCCATGGATCCACACCATCACCTGGAAGAAGAGCAAGGAGAAATGGATACAGGAGGGAGCACAGGGAAGGACCTCAAGGGATGCTTGCTTTAGCCACTGGCACTGGCCCACAATAGCCAAAAACAAGGATCCCAGGCAAGTGCAAAGGGTCTGGGACCCCATGAACAAAGGAGCGAAGTGTAAGAGATGTAGCTAGATGTATTGTACAGACCACAGGTGCCACTGCAGGAGAATGACAAGGAGCATTACTGGGAATGACCATAACCCAGTATGGTCTCCCATGTCCCTGCTGCGGTCCAGAACACCCCTCAGTGTTCCCTAGAGATCCCCACTCTAGAACAGTCGGGGTTAGGGGTGACAGCTTTTCCTCCAAACTCCCAGCATTTCCTACTGGACCCTTCACCCAGCTCAGCGTACTCTGCTGAAAGAGGCACCCTGTCTTGAATCTTCACCTAATTGACCCTGTGCTGGGAATAACACTTCTTTCCTGCCGCAGCTAAATCTACACACCCCGGAGATATTCTTCCTCTTGAGCCTTCCCTCTGTGGCCTCTGCAAGCTGCAAATCCCACCATTCCTCCAGGGAGTCACCCATCCTTTGATTAAGAGGATCTGAGAACCGGCATTGTACCATCAACGAGTGTGATCAGCAATGAGAAAGAGTTGGGAGAGCCAAGAAGCGTGGCTCAGTAGAGTAATGCACCCAAAAATGTCATAGGAACAACAAGAAAGAAATGCAGTACTCATACATTGAGAAAAGATGAAGGCCAAAGAGCTCTTATGTCTTATTTACACTCTAATAACCCTTCACTGAGTAATTGGGTGAGTGAATAAATGAATGTTTCATGAAGTCTGGGAAAGAAAGCTGAGAATAAACACTATTTTTTTTTTTTGCCTCAAAAAAAAAAAAAGAGTGGCTCAGATAATTATATTGGAATCATTTGTCACTTAGGAAAATAAGAAAGAAAAAAAAAAGAACTCGTAAGAAAAAGGGCTGTGCCCAGGACCGTCCTGAGGAAGGAACTACTCTTGTCCCTAAGGGACAGGAAGTGGGCGACTTGGTACCTGCCTGCAGAGTAGTTCCCAGTGGAGGAAGTAGGGCCTGGACCGCCCGGCAGGGGGCCCCAGAGTCTCACAGGCCAGTCGGAAGCCCTGGGACAGCAAGTTGGCTATTGATGACCTCAGGCTCTGACCGGTCTCTTTTAAGGGAGCACTTTCCTGACTTACTTGCCCAGGACCTGAGAACATGCCTGACAGAGTAAGTAAGCAAGCAAGAGAGAAACCATGCCGCGAAGGTATTTCTTACAAGCTCTCTCCCCGCCCTCTCTCAGTCCCGAGCGACCTTCTCAAGTCTCATGTTGATGCTAGACTAAGTCCAGAGGCGGTAGGTGGGAGGAGGCTCTGAGAACACTCCCGCGGGCTTAGCAGGCCCAAGGACTCCCCGAGCACCCCGAAAACATTTGACAACAGGTCCTCTGGAAGGACTCTTCAAGGTCACCCGCTGCGGAGCACGGAGAAGGACCTGACCAGGTCACAGGGAACAGATGCCATCCTCCAAGGATCCACCAGCCCCTGACGCAAAGGGCCTGGGAACAGAACACTCTGCTCTGACCATAACCATCAACTTCAAGCTGACTTTCCTAGCTAGCCCTGGGCAAACCCCAAGTGCCAACTTCCGGGGAAGGTGGATTGGGTGGGGGACACAAGGTTCCACCCGCCCCCGTGAGTTAGCTCCTGAATAAACTCTATTTCTTGCATCAACCCTTGTCTCTTGAGTAATTAGTCTTCCAGGGACTAACACCCGAACTCAGGGCTCATTGCCGAGAACAAGAATGTAAGTGTTTTTGGTTGCAGGCCAGATAGTGTCTGAGTCTCTCAGCTGATTAGATGCAGAAGCAAGAGCTCAGCCCTGAAGGGTCCCAGGGTGGCTGCTCCTTCTGCACCTCCAATCCCTCCCTGGTCCCTTGAAGGGAGGAGCTGTTTGGCCACAGTCTCATGGTCCTCGCTCCAGCTACCTCCCAAGTCTAACTGTGTTTGGTCTGCAGGGGAGCTGGGAGGGAGGAGGCGAAGAACGAATGAAGGAATGAGTGAATGAGCCCTGGGCCCCAGCTCAGCAGTGCTAGCATGTAGCTCCAGGTTCACAATGGCCCACTTCTGGGTGACTCGCCAGGGGTGAGGCTAGGAGATGGTGTCAGTGCGCCCTTCCTTCTCTGTCCTCCCCAGGGGTCTCCAGTGGACCCTCCCCTACCTCTAGCCGTGGCCTGGGAACCGGTCTCTTCTCAGAGCCTCTGCCTTGTAATGGAAATGCTGACTCATGTCTCCTGGGGCTGTGCCAATTCAGCCACAATATACTCCCAAGACTCGCCCCGTGCTCCTCTATCATGACATGGGTTCAGAGATGATCTGTTTGGCAGGGATGTGTGTGTGTGTGTGTGAGTGTGTGTGTGTGTGTGTGTGTGTGTGTGTGTGTGCGCGCGCGCGCACGGGGGCAGAAATGGAGAGATGGGTTCAAACCCAGGGTGTCCCACAAGCAAGGCAGGCAGGGCCCAGCGAGCCACTGAGCCCCATCCACCCTCCCGCCCAACCCTGAGAGTGATGGGGGGCAAAGGGGTAGGCAGGATCCCCCTCGAGGGCCTGGGTCTCCCCGCCTGTGAGACAGGCTTGGGTAGCTGGCTTTGCTCTGAGCATCTGTCCACTATGGTAAATTGTTCTGTCTGCTCGGATTCCTAATATAGCCACGGAGAGTAACCAGTCTTCTCTCAGCGTGGCAGAACTTGCTGTACTGGCCAGGGCGGAGGAGGTCCAGCAAACTCCCTCCAGGGTTCAGTCCGGTCACTAGGGGAATGAGAGGGGGGCAGCTTGCTGGGCATGTGCGGTCAGGCTGCGGTGCCATCCCCCTGCTCCCTGGCCTTGCTGCCTCCTTGTTCCTCCACCGGAGGCTCAGCCCTCTAGTGCTCTCCGCTACTTACCGGCAGCCTGTTCTTCTTGCTCAGATCAGCGGGAGTGTAAATATTGAGGTAGAGACAGTCTTCGGAAAACTTGAGAGGAATGTTCTCTTTTCTGTTGGTGATGAGCTCAGACAACACCTGGCCACCCACAGCATCCTGGGAGCACCTGGAGGGGCCAAGGGAGACAGCCTGGGGGTCAGCAGAGCTAAGGAAGGGTCCAGGGCTGTGGACTTGGGGCGCTAGGGTGCAAAGAGGCCAGAGCTATCCAGCTGGAGGCTGCCTGGAGAGGTCCGGGCGGGGAGGCCGGAGCTGGCCAGCTCTCCCCTCCAGGAACCTGCTCCATGCCCTGACAGCCTGCAGCCTGCAGCCTGGAACCTCCTGAGCCCCGCCCCAAAACTAGGAGAAGCCACTCAAAGCCAAGGACGTTGGGGTCCACAAGGACTCAACGGGGGGGGGGGGGGGGCGGAGGTGGGGAGGTGGGACGTGCAGGGGAGATAGGGAGGCCTGATCTGGTCCAGGCTCAGCCATTCATCTGCTGGGTGACCTTGGGTGAGTGCCCTGCCTGCTCTGGGCCACAGTTTGCCAGATCCAAGTGGAAGGCCTGATTTCTAGACAGTCTGGCAACCCCGAGACATGAAGATTCCCTATCAGGCCACAAGCACAGTGGACTGTCCCGACACAGGCCTCCCAAAGGCCACACGATGCTGCCTGAGCCTTCCCAGCAGGTTGGGTACTGCCACAAGGTCCCCTCATATGCCTAATCACTTAATCCTCACCCAGCCCCTGAGCTGACTATCAGCCCCATTTTGCAGAAAAACTGAGGCAGGCACAGAGAAGTTGGCATCCCTGCCGACACTCTCATGGCCAGGAGACACCCTGATATGCAGATTCAATTCTTTTCTTTCAATTTTTTTTAGGCTTAAAAAAAAAGCATTCCTTTATTCATTAATAATTAAATCGGCATCAAAGTTTAAACCCAGGGTCCTATCCATGCAAAGCAAATACTCTCTCTATCATGAGATACACCCCGGCTCTATTTTTTTTTAAATTGATTTTGATTGAAAAACAATGTGATTTACAAAGTTGTTCTTGCTTCCAGCATTTAGTGTCCCAACACTACCAGTGTAACCTTCCTCTTCCATTATCCCCAGTTTTCCTCCCAATCCCAACCTGCACCTTTTGACACATTCAGTTTGCAAATGAAACATACCATCACCACCCAGTTTACAACTAGGCAGCTCAGCCTGGAAGTTGAGAACTTTTCCAGTGGATTCCCCAAAGCACTCCCCTGGCCCACACCATTCCCCAACAACAGCCAAGTTCAAGTGAAGAATGAACTTTGTACACAATGTGTCCCCGAGGCTGGCCCTGCCCGCAGTGTGCTCTCTGCTCACCGGGACAGGAAGGACCCAATGTGGTGACTGGCTATCACAGGCAGAAGGCCAATGTGGCCTTCCCGATTTCCATCCTGGAGAAACTGAATCCAGACCGCCAAGCACAAGGACCATAAGGAGGAAGCAAATGTCCAAAAAGGGGAAATGAATTCAGTAACACTAATATTGCCCAAAAGGCAGATATATGTCATTCAAATCATACAGAGGGATGATAATAATGAGGATTTTTATTATTATTACCAGTTTGCCTCTGTGATAGCTTTAAAAAAAATCACTGCAAGCATGGAAATGGGAGTTTTCATATATTCATAGAGTGTGAATGACATCTCTGGAGGGAAACTGAACATAATGTCTATATTCTTTGACTTAGAAATGCTATCTCTCGGAAGTTATCCAAAAGTTCTCATGAATATGCATAAAGACTTAGCTGTAAAATGTTTATCACAATGTTGTTTTATTATTAAAAGCAACTGAATAATCCTCCAAAGAAGAGAGCAGGTAACTGAATTATGATGCAATGCCCAATATGAAATGCCACAATTAAATGCCAGGCTGTGACATTTAATGACATAGAACAATGTTTGTGACATACTTATAAATGAGAAATGCAGGTGTCAGAAGTATCTGTGTATTGCAATTCTATTTTTAAGGAAGGAAATATGCAACCAAGACCAGGGAAACAATCCACAATATGAACAGTTTTCTCATATGGTGGCAGAATCCTAAACGATCCTACTTTCTTGCATTGACTTGCTTGTACTTCCTAACTTATCTGTAATAAGGCTGAATTACATTTCCAATCAGGGAATAAAAACAGTGACTGTTATTTTCCTAAACGAAGAAGAGGAAAGGAGAAGGGGAGGGAAGAAAGGGTGCAAAGGAGAAAGAGGAGAAGAGGAGGAGGGCAAGAAGAAAGTGGAAGAAAGGGAGAAGGGCTGAAGAGAACAGTGGGAGAAGAGGGGAGGTGGAGGAAGGGAGGGAGAATGGCAAGACACAGCCCTGGAAGATCCTACAAATGCCTCGTTGAGATGAGGCCAAATCTGCATCTTTCCCTGCAGATGTCCGGGGTGCCCTGATGAGCAGCTGTGAGATTCTTGGCTGAATCAGGACAACTGAAACATACCGTCACCACCCAGTTTACCACTAGGCAGCTCAGCCTGGAAGTTGAGAACTTTTCCAGTGGACTCCCCAAAGCACTCCCCTGGCCCACACCATTCCCCAACAATAGCAAAGTTCAAGAGAAGAATGAATAGAATCATCAATTCCTGGGGCCCCCCTTCCCTGCTCAACCTCTTCTTTCTTGCCAGAGCGCCCACTACTTTCTAGCACAGCGCCAAAGGGATTTGTTGGCTAGTTGTGTTTGAGGGACTCCCTGCTGCAGAATCCTTCGAACACTAACAGGTGGAACCACTCACAGACCCCAGGACCTTGGAATGTGCCACAAACAGGAACTGTTCCAGCAATAGTGGTTGAACACAGAACTCTAAAATGCTGAGAAAGTTCTGAAATGTTTTTAAGGATCTACAATATCTTGAGGGTTTCAGAACACATTAAAAGAAGAAGATCCTTGGCCCTTTCCCACCTCGATCTGCGATAAACACCCCCACCCCACCCCCCGACCCCCGGTATAAGATCCACACCCCTGGCTTACATAGGCGGGTAGGAGGTAGTGTTCTTCACGAAGTTCCATGGTGCTGCAGGCTCTGGTGGAGCGAACCTCAAAGACCCCAGAGGGGGCTTGGCAAAGGGGACTCCGAGGAAGACGCCCACGGGCTGTTCAAATCCCTCCATGTGCACATATTTTCCCAGGACCTTGCCTTGTGCGGTGTCCACCACGGGCGGGGAGGGTGCATGACCTGCTGGACATGGAGAAGAACAAGGACATGTCAGAGGTGAAAGGTCACCAGGTCTGACCCAGATTCTTGCCGCTTTCTGCATTTGACCTTGAATGGGTCATTCCATCTCTCCAAGTCTCAGTTTCCTCTTGCATTTGTTGTTGTTGTTGTTGTTGTTGTGGGGGGAGGGAGCTCCCCAGTGGTGCTCGGGAGCCTGGGGAGGCCATTACTGGTGCTAAGGAGCCTGGCTGGCCTGAGAAGCGTTCGCTGTGCAGGCCTGGCATGGCTGGTGGGCACCAGGGCCAACCCTGCAGTGCTGGCGGCCTAGGGGGGGCACTTGGAGCTAGAGTACTGAACACAGGAACTCACTCGGGCAAGGTGTCATGTGAAGGAGCCAACCGGATTCAAAAGTCAAAGGGCCTCAAAGCAAGGAGCACCCTGGACCCCAGTTTCTGGGAACTTTCAGTCATTCTCCGTTAGGCACCTAGGCTGAGCTGCAGGCAGGTATCAGGGTGAGGGATACTGAGCTGTGCTCTCACCTGGCCTTCTGCTGGGGTTCAGAAAGTGGTCAGTCCCCAACACGGGCCCAACAGCAAGGGGCTACAGGAAGCCGGGGAGGGGGTGGGGCCTTCTACTGGGAGGTAACACACAGGACTCGACCTGGAATGGGTCCTCCATTCAGAAGGAGGTAACGAGGGGACACAGAGAACAGCGGTACAAAGCAAGGCCTCCACAGCGTCTGGGGAGCAGGTACCACCTTACAGAGAGCACCATGTCTGTCCCAGGGGCCGGGGACAGGGCCAGGCTGAGAGTCTGGGCTTCCTGTGGTGACATCAGAAGCAGCCATGGACAGGTGCTGTGTGTGCGTGTGCGTGCGTGCGTGTGTGTGTGTGTGTGTGTACGCATCCATGGTGGTAATGTGTGTGTATCGGAGGGCGGGGGGCCATTGTTCCCTTGGAGAAGATTCTCCTGGTAGCTCTCCACTGGGGAGAGAAGGACTGGGCGGGGGCAGAGTCTGCCTCATGCTCTCTATAGAGCAGAACCTTCGTATTCACACAGCCCGAACGTATCTCCCTGCAACTTTCACCCCATGCTGGTGACAGCTCTGTGGGATCCTTCAGGAAAGACACTGCCACATGCCCACCCCTGGAGTCTCTGCTTGTCTGCCCTCAATAGCCTCTGCTGGTCAATGCCCTGCTCTGCAGAAACGATTCCAGTCCTCAGCCTCCTGGACTGAGACAAAAACGTCCACATCTCCCTTCCAGCCCACCCATGGTCTTAGGAAAGGGACCCAAGGATGCAGACGCCACGTGAGGTGCAGAGTTACAAAACAGAACCCATGTCTCAGGCTATTAATAGCCAGGCCCTCACTGAGGCCATTAAGGTCACTCCTCTGTTACGGTTGCTGATTATTGCAAACACACTGAGGTCAACTTCGTTAGAAACATCTATTTCAAGATGTCCTGGGGGAGGGGAGTGGGGGGTCACGGGGGTTGTCATGGCAGATGACCTGTTTTCTGAATTTGTTGCATTGAACAAAGATTCTCTTTTCTCACTTTAAGGCACTTTGATAAAGAATGTGGTGAGGATCTCTTCCCCAGATATGGGGATCACTGAAGAAAAGAATGATCGGAGGAGGGTTCTGGGTTCCATCCTTAGACAGGCCACAGGCAGTGCCAGGGAGACACCCGGGTGGGAGCGATAGTGCAGCGGGGAGAGCGTTTTCCTTGCACGTGGCTGACCTGGTTCTGTCCTCTGAGCACTGCCAGGAGTGATTCCTGAGTGCAGAGCCAGTACTAATCCCTGAGCATCCCCAGGTGTGACCCAAAAAGCCAAAAAAAAAAAAGAAGTTGGCACCTCCCATGCCCCTGGAAGGCAGGAAGGAGGGCAGGGCAAGGCAGATGCAAACCATGAATGATCGGAGGGAGGGAAGGGAGGGAAAGATGAGGCGCACAGGACAGACATACAGACCTTCCGCCAGGGCGGGTGGGACCCAGGTGTGGGGGTAGGGAGCATCTGGGGAAACCCGGAGTTAAGGAGGTGAAGAAGGGTAATAGACAGCCAGCACTCTGGCTGGACTGAGGCCTGCCTTTCGGAGCTCTGGAATGGGGTGACTGACCCGCAGGAGGACGGAGTGATCGCAGCTGTGGGTTTTCCCAGAACAGCTCGGGGACTGCTGCCTGGAGCCAACTGTAAGCGGGACTGAACTGGGGCAGGGGAAAGCCAGACCTCAGGTCAGTGGGCGGGGCCTACGAGAAAGGGGCGGGGCATATTCACAGAGGGCGGGGCAGTCTCAGCGCCAAGGGGAGGGGCGGGGCCTACGTGAAGGAGGCGGGGCCTACACGCTGGGGCGGAGCCTACCCACGGAGCAGGATCTACCGGGTGGGGACCCCCCCAGCAGAGTCTCAGACCTAAGGGAAGGGCGGGGCTTGTGTACTGGGGGCGGGGCCTACACGCAGCCGGACAGAGTAAAGAAAAAAACAAAGTATAACTGCATGGCTGTGGGGTTGGGTGCTCCTGCACTCCCCAGAGTGGCCCTGGACCCGAGACCCCTGTCCCTGGGGCTTCCTTTGCTGTACTGGCAGGTCTTGTGAATGCAGCCTGCCAACCGCTTGGGGTCCCCCCAGCCAGTTTCCACAACCGAGGGAGGAGGCTGCTGAGGCTGCCCAACCAACGTGACCCTCTGGAGAAGGCACTTCTGATATCTGCCGGCTCCCCCTCAAAAGCCCTCCCATCCCCCTGTCAACCAGAAAGGGAGAGAAGGAGAGAGGGCGACTGCCAAGAGTGAAGCCCAGAGGAGGGGAGAGTAATGGAAATGATGGCAGTGGTCACACGTGCTGTTCTGTAACCTGTTGGCACACTGAGCACTTTCTATGTGCCCACGTGCAGCCCACTCACATGGAACCCTCACAGGAACTGGCCAGGTAGGGGTTAGTGTGCCCATTTTACAGGTGAGGAAGCAGAGGATGGGGAAGCAGGCCATAGGGACCTTGGAACGAGGAACATGGAATGTCTGGGGCTGAGTAGGTAAGTCAGTGGTCAGAAGCACAAGCAAGGGACCTGGGTTTGAAGCCCGGCACTGCATGGCCTCCTGAGCACTGCTGGGTGGCTCCCAACACCTCTAGGTTCAAGAAACTCTGCCCTGGTAAGTGCAAGCATTAAACCAAGTATGGCTGGGAGTCCCCCCACCTCCCGGCACCGCAAGGCAGCCTGAGCATCTCTCAGAGAGAGAAGGAAACGGGCGCCAGCAGTCAGGGAGGCAATGCTCTTTCCTGATATGCCTCTTCTCAGTCGGCCCTGGCCTTCAGCTCCTGGCGGTTCCCAGGACCCGGGAAGCAGAACGCAGAGAAATGCTGGCGAGGCCTGAGCAGATAAGGCGCCACCCTGCCGGAACTTGCTCTGGAACTAGGGGCACGCAGGTGCCTCCCGCTGACCTTGGGCAAGTGCATATCTCTCTCCTGAAGAAGCACATGGGTTCTTGGGGCCCTCTCTGCACCCTGGATTCACCATGCCCCAACTCTGCATTCTGCAGTGCTGACATGGGCTGCTTGGCTGATCCTGCAGGGCTCACCCCCTACCCCCCACCCCTTCCTCGTGCCCTGCAGGGCTAACCAATGCATAGAGTGGGTCAACTTGAAGATGTAGGATCCTGTGCATGAGCCTGTAGGATCCTTCCTCATGGGCACATCTCCAGCAAGGGGCCAGGTCATTCTTGTCCTAATCACCCCGCTGGCCCAGGGCTGGTGACAGGGAAGCCTAAACCAGCCCACCTGTCCCCCCTCCTGCAGGGCCTTCTCCCTTTCCAGGGCTGGGCAGCTCCCACTCCATGGACTGCCCGGTGCCACACCCCAATCCCCTTATCAGCCCACTGACATTGCAAACTTTATTGCAAACTAGCCCCTTTATTTATGGAGCCTTTTTTTTTCGGGGGGGGGTTGGAGGGGGGTGAAAGGCGGGTTCACTTCCTGTGTACCAGGAGCCTCAGGCTTGAAAACAACCGTTTCTTTCATCCTCAGGGTAGCCAGGTGAGATTGGATTAGGCCCAGAGAAGTCACGTGTCCCTGGCCCACAAGAGCACCACAAGCTAGGGGCTGAGCTGCTGAGCTGGGACTCGACCCCACAGACTCTGACTTCAGAGGGGCAGTTTGAATATTCTGCTCAGCTGCCCTACCCTGCAGAACTTGGCCGGTTCTGGCATCCTAATTAAGCAGAAACAAAGGCTCTCCCGGGCACATGGTGGGGCATGAGGAAAGTGGAGAGGCTGCAGTAGGAGGATGGGAATGTCTGGGAAGGGGAGAGAGAGAGACAGAGAGAGAGAGAGAGAGAGAGAGAGAGAGAGAGAGAGAGAGAGAGAGAGAGAGAAAGAGGGAAAGAGGAGGAAGAGAAAAGGGAGTGAGAGACAGAGGGAGGGAGAGTGTTGTGTTGGGGCGGTCCTGTCTTCCTGGTCCAAATGGGGTGTTTGTGTGTGTGGGGGGGGTGGGAGGTTGTGTATGTGAGTGTGTGTATATGTGTGTGAGAAAGAGAGAGAGTGAGGGGAGAGAGAGAGAGAGAGAGAGAGTGTGTGTGTGTGTGTGCTAAGGGGAGGTCCTGTCCCCTGTCTAGGATGGGGAGAATGTGTGTGTGTGAGTGTGAGTGTGTGAGTGTGTGTTGGGGGTCAGGTCTTGGGAGTGTGTGTATGTGAGAGAGAATATGTGTGTGTGCAAGAGAGAGAGAGAGAGAGAGAGAGAGAGAGAGAGAGAGAGAGAGGATGTGTGGGTGCGTGTGTGTTGAGGGAAGGTCCTGTTCCCTGGCCCAGATGGGGAGTGTGTGCGTGCGTGCATGCATGCGTGAGTGTGTGTGTGTGTGTGTGTGTGTGTGTGTGCGCGCGCGCGCGTGCGTGTGTTGGGGAGGGGGGGTCCTCTCCCCTGATCTAGGCAACCACAGAGCCAGGGGGGCTGCGGGCCCAGACCTGTTTGCTGTGCGGCTGCTGCTCGCGGACTCTCCCGCGCATCGGCTCCCGGACAAAGGTTTCCCCGCGTGCCCCCAGTGCCCGCCCGCCCGCCCGCCCGCCCGCCGGGGACTCACCGCAAGTCGCGCCCAAGGTTGCGGAGAGCAGGGCGAGCGCAAAGAGCCGCATGGTGCCGGGACAGCCGCGCGCCGGGCTCTGCGCCGAGCCGGGTCGGGCAGTGGTGCAGCCCCCGCGCAAACCCCGCCCCGGCCGGTCGGGAGAGCCTTCCAGAGCGGGCTCGGGGGTCAGTGGGGCGCTCTCGGCCACACCCACCCAGAGTTTGCCCTCCTTTATCTAAACAACCCGGGCCGAACTCTCGGATTACAGACAGGCGCGGACGCCTCAAGCACCCTCTTACATAAGGGTTTTCCCTTTCCGCCAGTAACCTTAGCGCCCCGCGAGCATCCCACACCTGGCACCGGGCCTCAGAGGCCTTTCGACCAGGGAGCTTTGGCCCCGGGGTCCTCAGAACACGCTGGACGATGTTGAGAGCAGCCCCCAGCCCCTCTGTTGCTCCTCTAAGGCATTTAGGGCAAATGTCTGCATTTCCCCTGGGTTTCTATTGCGTAGACATCTAGGCTCTGAAGTTTGGGATACTCTTACCTCCACCCCCTGCAGGCATGATGGTCAGAGGCTTGGTCCTGCTTTGAGGTGCTGGGGGTGGGGTGGGGGGTCAGGGGGTGCTCACACCACACTCCGACCAGGTGCGTGCCAGCCCTGTGCTCTAGTTCTTCCAAGGATCTCCCTAGACCACAGTCCTTCCTGATACCCAAATTAACTCTACCACTTTTCTGCCAAGTGACTCAGTGTACTGTTGTTACCTCCAAAGACAGGGAACTCAGTGCCTCTCCAGCAGGGACCCTCCTGTTAACAGACTGTTCTTGTAGTGTAGGAAGTTCGTCTTTCCATGGCTCTGGCTCTAATAGAATCCCTCCCTTCCTCCCTCCTTCCCTCCCTCCCTCCCTCCCTCCCTCCCTCCCTGTCTGCCTTCCTTCCTTCCTACCTTCCTTCATTCTTCCCTCCCTCCCTCTCTCCCTCCCTCTCTTCCTTTCTTTCTCCCTCCTTCCTTCCTCCCTTCCTTCCTTCCTTTTTTCTGTCCTTTTCCATCCCTTTCTTCTTCCTTCTTTTCTTCCTCTTCAGTCAATTCCTTCCTTTTTCCTTCCATCCTTCTTCCTTTTTTCTTCCTTCCTTCTTTCCTTCCTTTCATCTTTCCTTTTTCTTTCTTCCACTTACTTTCCTTCCATCCTTCCTTTTCTCCTTCCTTCCATACCTTCCTTCTTTCCTTTCTTTCTTCCTTCCTTCCATCATACCACTTTCTTCCTTCATTATTCCATTTATCCATTACACCTCCAGACACTCCCTAAACCACCCTGTGTTGGCCTTTTGGATCTAAAGATGAAGTCATGTTTCACCTCGTCAAGGAGCTCACCAGGAGAGTTGGGAAAATAAGAGAAGTGGGAAGTGGGTGGTGGCCGGGACGCAATTTGAAAGCATCAAACAGGTATGAAGCGCTCTGGGTGTGCCATTTACCTGCATGGACACAAGGAAGCTGCTCAGCGCCTGCTTTATTGACTGTTTACCTGCTCAGCAGAGTGTGTGTGTGTGTGTGTGTGTGTGTGTGTGTGTGTGTGTACGCAGAACAAGTCACTCTGGTACCCCCCACCCCCACCTGCAGCAGTATCCTCTCCCAGCTTTGATGTAGGCCTGCATGTATCAACCAGGGAAGATGGGCAGGAGCGGAGAGCTGTGGGGGCGGTAGGAAGATCTGCCCAGGGAGCTGCACTTTGGAAACAATTAGGCAGTTTCTCAAAACCTTGAAGATAGTGCCCTGGATTCTACTCCTCAGTAAGCAGGCAAGCAAAAAGAAAACAAGAGCCTGCGCAAAAAAATAATAGCATTATTCATTGCAAAGAGTGGAGATAGTTTCTAATGTCCATTGAGAAATGGACAAACAAAACGGCTCTAGGTACACCACAGCATGTTCTGCTTAATGGAATGCACACCGGCTGAAGAGGATTAGACCTGGGAAGCAGGGGGCTGATGAAAGAAATTACACACACACACACACACACAACACACACACACGCAGCGGATTGGAGGGTCTGCCACAGGAAATAAGCCAGAGACAAAGGGCATTCTCGGCTGCTAGGGGCTCGAAGAAGCGGGGTAAGGGGAGACTGGAAATGTGGCAGGGTTTCTTCAGGGGCAAGGCAAGCATTCTCTGGAGAGTGGTAACAAGCACACAGCTTTGTGAACATCCTGAAAACCACTGAATCTCCCACTTCCCAAAGGTGGATTTTGAATTTGAGGTGCATGAAAGAAAACATTTCAATGCACTCAAGTGGGAAACATTCTGGAAGGAGGTGTGTCTAGTGTGTATTACAAGGGTCACTTCTTCCTGCTGGATTAACTAGTTTTCCTTATTGGGGGCAGGGAGGGAGATGGGGCCACACCCAGTGGTGCTCGAGGGTTACTCCAGGCTCTGTGCACAGGGATCACTCCTGGCAGAACCGTTGGGACCATTTAGGATGCTGGGGAATTGGACACATGTCAACTGGGTCACCTGAACCTGCCCTTACTTTCTGGCCCCAAGAAGTCACTTTTCTTGTCTTTGTTTTCTGCTTTCTTCCACTCTTGCCTTCATCTGAAGTTTGCCTCAAGTGTTTACTGGCTGGCAAATACCACGCTGAGTGTTTGTGTGCAGAACTCACATGGTTCCTGAAGACGCCCACGAGGAACCTGAGCATTGCACAGCGGGTAGAGCACTTGCCTAGCAAGTAGCTGACCCGCATTCGATCCCCAGCACCCGTATGGTCCCCTGAGCACCGCCAGGAGCTTTTCCTGAAAGCAGAGCCAGGAGGAGAAACCCCTGAGCATCCCCGGGCATGGCTCCAAAACAAAGACACCGTGGGCCAATGCTCTCATCTCCTGGACTCGGTGGAGCAAGGTGCCATCACCTACAAAGCCCATACTCTGAACTTTCCTGCCCGGGTGAAGAACTTTCAACAGGGCCAGGAGAGTAAGGCCAAAGGCCCTGAGTTTGATCACAGAGCCCCTGAACCCCTGAGCACTGCAGGGCTGGAGCAGCACCACAGCATCTGGTCTGAGCACCAAATCTTCGGGTCCGGCTGACAGAGTGTCACTGGGAGTGGCCCCTGTGTCCCCTAAGCATACCTTGGGAGCCCCCAAAAACCGTCTTTTGTGGGGGTGAGGATACGAGGCTGCACCCAACAGTGCTCAGGCCCTACTCGTGGCTCTGTGCTCAGGACAACTCCTGTCCGTGTGCAAGGGACTGACCGGGATGGAACCAGGGTTGACCTCATGCAAAGCAAGTGCTGCACACCCTGGGCTGTTTCTGCCCCAGGCCAAACAACTCTTAGGATGGACCAATTCTGCATGGCCCCCAAGCATATACTTGATTTGCCCCTCCCACATGTCCATGTCCTCCTGGGCACTCGCTGCCTGGAAGTGTCCTTGGGCCCAGAAAGGAGAGCTCCCAGGAGAGATGGTGCGGGGGAAGACCCCAGTTTCAAGGTCCCCTGTCCCGGTGTGATTTGTGCCTGAGAAATTTCTGTCCCAGTTTCTGTCCAGAGCCATGCGCATGGCCGGTGGAGAGGGAACAGGTGTGAAGTGGACTGTCCCCAGGCCAGCCGGGCCAAAGGGCAGCTGGGTCTTCTTTGGACCCCACATGAACTTGGCAAAACTGTCCTTGTCTAGACCATGTTCATGCTGAGAACAGGGCCATCAGCAGCAGCCACCTCAGTATGCACCCCCCTCCCCCGCCCCGGGCCCACGGCAGCATGGCCAAGGCTGTAGGTGCGGGCTCAGAGGAAACACTGGGGATGTCCCCCCCTTCAACGAGGAGTGTTCCTCTGCGCTCATGAGTCCCTGGGACTGCGGCCAGGGTGGACAGGACTGGGTCAGTGCTGAAGGTCGCACTCCACAGACACGTGCATGAGTTCCTCCTTCACGATCCCAGTGGAGCCACAGGTCAGAGACCGCCTCACTGTCCTCTCTTCCACACGGGCTCGCTGGTGGGCTCCTTAGCAGACAGACACACCATCCAACCACTCACGTGCACACACACACACACACACATTCACACTCATATTCACTCTCACACAACACACACACTCACACAAAACACACTCACACACTACATGCCACACACACATTATTCACACTCTCCTTCCACAGCTTCACACACCACACACACATATCACACACACTCTCACACAAAACACACATGCCACATACACATTCGCGCTCTCCTGCACAGCCTCACATACCACAGACTCACACAAATGCACACAGTCTCATACACACTCTCACACAGAACACACATGCCACATGCCACACACACATTCACACTCTCCTACACAGCCTCACATACCACACACTCACACACACAAACACTCTCATACACACTCTCACATGAAACACACTCACACGCCACATGCCACACATGCATTCACACTCTCCTACACAACCTCACACACCACACACTTACACATATCACATACACATTCACACTCATACATTCTCATGCACCACACAAATATTCACACACACACTCTTGCACACCAGACACTCACATTCATACTCATACACTCTCACACAAAACACACTCACATAGGACACATTACACCATTCACACTCATACACACTAACACACCCTCACACCCTCATACACACACTTCACTCACACAGTCACTGCCTCTGACATCCACCTCCACCACCAACACTCACCACCCCACACACACACTCACCCACCACACACACATACCACACATGCTCCCACGTACACTCACACAGACACACAGCCCTCCCCATTAGGACATGCCCATCCTGCCTCTCTGTCCTGGCCAGCTGACCTTTGCAGCCTGGCGCCATGCCCTCACCCTTGGCTGGGAAAACTGTAGCGTGCTCTCTTCAGCCCTGGATTGAAGGTGCTGGTGACATCACCCAGTTCTGCCAACAGCCAAAGTCTCTCAGGGCCCCGGGCAGGACTGGGTGCGGCCTGCAGGTGGTGGCCTCCAGTCTCATCGTGACTCTGCAGAAGGGCGGATGAGGCGGCAGAGGCTCTGGACACGGGGCCAGAGCTGAGCTCAGCACCGCACACTCAGAGGTCACATGAGGTGATTGTCAGGCACACAGTGGGTCTGTTCCCACTGTCAAGGGCAGAAAATGATCCCTCTTCCTCCCCCGTTGGGCCCACCCCTGTAGGAACAGCCTCGCTCCTCTGCCCCGAGAAAGATACTCTCCTGGGAAAGCAAATTCCCAGGAAGGGGCCTTTGCACTCAGGAGGGAGGATCCCAGCACCCCATTCCATTAATTCACTTAAGAGCTGAGTGGGGAGCCTGTTCCAGAACCAGCACTGGTGATGAGTCCGTGTTCGGCCTGACCAGTAACTATAGGACTCACCGGACAGACTTTCCAGCTCTGGGCCACCCAGCTGGTGAGGCACAGGGGTCCTTTCTAGAAAGAGGGGAGGGGAGGCAGGGGCGCTAGGAGGGAACTGACCACTAGCCTTCACCCTGGGTCAACAGTTTGTGAGTAGAGGCTTTGATGGCATTGTCCAAAACAGCTGCTGTCTGGAGACCTCCTGCCTGTTCGGTTACCCTCCCAGTAACCCCGACTCCTGTTCCAGCAACCTGCCGCCCATCCCGCTATGAGCAGCAGGGCAATTCTGTTGGACATGAGCACACCTGCTCAAAGGCAATGCGACACCATTGCCATAAATGAAACCCCAACGTGACTCCCCAGGAATTAAAAGAAAGCATGGAAACTCTGCCGCTGTATTTTGAAGAATTACAAGCATGGGGCTGCAGCAATAGCACAGCTGGTAGGGTGTTTACCTTGCACGCGGCCTACCTAGGTTCGATTCCTAGCAACCCATATGGTCCCCCGAGCACCGCCAGGAGTAACCCCTGTGCAACACCGGGTGTGACTCAAAAAGAAAAAAAAATAATTACAATCATGATAAAGAGTAATTAATCCAAAGAGTAATTAAGAGAGGAGGCTGGGGTGGCGAATGCCTTCCCTGGGCAGCCCCAAGTGAGGAGCCCAAGTCTGGGTCTGCCCCCCAACCCCCATGGTAGTGGTGGTGGTAGGGGGAGGAGGGTGCCCCAAGATTTTGATCCTGGCGTGGATGTGGCAAGAAAGGGACCCTCCTTCACTGCTAGTGGGAATGCCAACTGGTTCAGCCCTTTTGGAAAACAGTATGGACGATTCTCAACAAATTAGAAATTGAGCTCCCATTTGAGCCAGTAATACCACTCCTGGGGATATATCCCGGAGAGGCAAAAAAGTACAGTCGAAATGACATCTGCACTTCTATGAACATTACTGCACTGTTCACAATAGCCAAAATCTGGAAAAAAACCCAAGTGCCCAAGAATAGATGACTGGTCAAAGAAACTTTGGTACATCTACACAACGGAGTACTATGTAGCTGTTAGAAAAGATGAAGTCATAAAATGTACATACAAGTGGCTCTACATGGGAAGTATCATGCTAAGTGAAATGAGTCAGAAAGAGAGGGACAGACATAGAAAGATTGCATTCAACTTGGCAATATAAAGTAACAAAATAGGAGACTAACACCCAAGAATAGCCGAGATAAGTACCAGGAGGTTCATTCCATGACATGGAGGCCATCCTCACATGCTAGGGGAAAAGGCAGCTCAGGTAGAGAAGGGAGCACCAAGTAAAGGGTGTTGGGAGGATCATCCCAGGATGGGAGATGCTGAACATGATTGCCACTCAATGCCTCTTTTGCAAACCACAGCACCCAAAAGGAGAGAGAGAGAGAGAGAACAAAAAGGAATGCCCTGCCACAAAGGCTGGTTGAGATGGGTTTTTTTTGGGGGGTGGGTGGGAGAGATACTGGGATAATTGGTGGTGGAGAATGGGCACTGGTGGAGGGATGGGTGCTCCATCATTGTATAACTGAAACCCAAGCACGAAAATATATAAGTCTATAACTGTACCTCATGGTGTTTCACTAATAAAAATTAAAAAAATAAAATAAAATATAAAAAAAGGGTAGAATGTTCTTAAAAAAAAAAAAGAGTTTGATCCTTTTCCACCAGGTGTGTCTGAGCCCAGCCCAGGGTTCACTGTGTCTGAAAGAAAAAGTTATGTAAACACAGCAACACTGAAGGCCATGTGCTAGACTGTTCATGGCGTGAATTCAGGTGTGTTCTAGAATATTCTGTTCCTTACTACCGTGATAGATAGCCAACAACAGCAAAGCGGATGCTTCGTGGTCCAGAGACGGAAACATTGGCTCTGTGGCGGTAAGCGAGAAGTCACTGCATGCTTCACGGCCAAGTGTGAGAAGTGGGATATCAGGAGATGCAAAGGCGATGCCAGGGGGCACACTCTGGATCAGAGGCGGAGCTGGGACAGAGCACAGTGTGCTCCTGGCCATCAGTAGTGGGGTGATTCTGTGGGCAGATGGGGCGTGGGGTGGGCAGGGTGAGGACAGGGTGCGGGGGCAGGAGGATGGGCGGGGGTCAGGCAGGGACCACCTGAGCTCAGATCTGGATGCTGCTGAGAAGCATAATGAGTTTGTGGCATTTCTCGCTAATCATTAATATCTGCCTTTGCCTGCTTTGTATACTGTCTCCTGAGTTTTTACCGGACAGCTGAGAACACAATGTCCAGTCTTTTTTTTTTTTTTTTTGCTTTTGGGTCACACCTGGCGATGCTCAGAAGTTACTCCTGGCTCTGCACTCAGAAATTACTCCTGGCGATGCTTGGGGGACCATATGGGATGCTGGGAATCGAACCCGGGTGGGCCACGTGCAAGGCAAATGTCCTACCCGCTGTGCTATCGCTCCAGCCCCAACACAATGTCCAGTCTTAAGAACTTATTATCAAACAGGTGAGACAGGATTGCTAGAGACAAAATTCCTGACCATCTACGCTGACGGAGAGAACGTAAATGGTCCACTCGCCCTGGTTTTATTTTTTTTAATTCATTTTTTAACTTTGTTTTTAATTTTTAAATTTTATTTGTATAAAGTTGGCCACAATAATTGATTATTATTATTCAATATTTCAACACCACCATTACACCTTTTCCCATCACCATTATTTGGAAGTTTCCCACCTCTACTCAAGCCTGCCCCACAGGCAGATGCTAGATAATTTATTTTGTATTGCTGGTTATGAATAGTATAAGATGTCTGCAAGGGACTATCTCACAGTGATTCAACAAAAAAGCAAAAAAATAAATAAGTAATTTGAAATATCGAAGGGGCTGCAAAAGGGGCCACGCACTCTTGGGATCCTAAAAATTTAAATAATTGACGTCTGGCATCATCTCTGCAGCGAGTGGCCCGGTTTCAAGAGTCATTTGTGAGTCTCTGGATCATGGCCATTAATGCGCTTAAATGGCACCCAGTGGCAGTTCGTGGGCGTGACAGCCAGTCACCCTGGTTCTAAATACGCGATCATGATTCTATTGTTTCTGCTCATAGGAAGAAAGACAGCATGACACTCAAGCAAAGGCTGGGTTGCACTGGCTCTAGCATATGAGAAGTTAAGGAGGTGGCTAGGTATAATACAGCATAAATCAGAAACAGAGCACCTCAGTAGGAAGTAAACGCAAATGTGATTATAACATGCAATGATATATAATCACATGAAATTAATCAGGTAGGTAGGTAGATATAACAGATGGCCAGAGAATGATGGGTGCCTGGGCAGAGATGCTCAGACCAATTCCCTTTTATTATTATTATTTTTATTATTTTATTTTATTTATTTATTTTTGCTTTTTGGGTCACACCTGGCAATGCACAGAGGTTACTCCTGGTTCTTCACTCAGGTTTTACTCCTGGCGGTGCTCAGGGGACCATATGGGATGCTGGGAATTGAACCCTGGTCTGCCGCATGCAAGGCAAACGCCCTACCCTCTATGCTATTGCTCCAGCCCCCCCCCCCAATTCCCTTTTATTGACCAGGCCCCCATCCTCGGTTTGGGTCTGAAGCTGGGTTCCTCCCCCGTGCCCAGGCTGGTCTTCCTGCCACTGTGCGTCTGGGGAACAGCTCGGCACACCCTCTCGCTGGCCTTTGTCCTCCTGTCTGTTCTTTGAGGTTCCACCCAGGGCTCCGGAACCACCAGGTAACACGCAGTCTTGCCAGGAAACTTCCTGGCGTTTGGAATCAGAGTGGCCCGTGGTAAATGGCTTCATCCCGCTCGCCCGGTTCCTGCCTGCCCAGGGAACCACGGAGATGAACGCAAACTCTAGCAGAGTGCTGGGCTGTGTGAGGGTCCTCTGGAAGGTGCTTTCCTGGGACCTGAGAGTGGCTTCCTGATGCAGCCCTGAATGCACTTCCCGTGCCGCCCCCCGCCCCCCCAGGCCCCATACCCACAGGAAAGACTGAGGCTTATAGCCAGGGCCTGGGGGCCGGAGAGGGGAAGCATTGAGTCTGGGCAGGAAAGTTTAGGGGGAAGATGAAAAGGAATAAGGATTCCTTTTTATTCCATTTTGCCCACATGCTGCAGGTTCCTAGGTACTTGATAAGAAAGTATATAAATCAGAAAAGACCCAGCATGTGTAGGTGTGTGTTCGGGGAGGGGTGGTCCTTGGAGCTGTCTCCAGGGACTGAGCGTAGGTAGGGTGTGCCCGCAGGAGGCTTGGTTTCATCCCCAGCACCACATGGTCCCCTGAGCACTGCGAGGAGCAACCTTGGGTTATTGAGTTGGAAGGAGGAGCCCTGGCACCAGTGCACATAGCCCTGAAACAAAACATACAAAAATTAAAAAAAAGTGCAAAAGACCCAGGACTAGTGAGATCTCTCAGAGGGCTGGAGGACAAGTTTTACATGCAAAAGGCCAGGGTTCAGGCTGGAGCGATAGCACAGCGGGTGGGGCATTTGCCTTGCATGTGGCCGACCCGGGTTGATTCCCAGCATCCCATATGGTGCCCCAAGCACTGCCAGGAGTAATTCCTGAGTCCAGAGCCAGGAGTAACCCCTGAGCATCGCCGGGTGTGACCCAAAAAGCAGGAAAAAAAAAGACCGGGCTTCAATCCCTGTATATCCTCCAAGCACCAACAAGGGCAACACCCAAGCACCACTGGGTGTAGCACGGAAAAAGAAAACAAAAAGAAAAGAAAAGAAAAGAAAAGAAAAGAAAAGGAAAGGAAAGGAAAGGAAAGGGTAAGAAAGAAAAGAAAGAAGAAAGAGAGAGAAAATGAGAGAGAATGAGAGAGGTAGAGGAAGAAAAAGAAAGAAAGAAAGAAAGAAAGAAAGAAAGAAAGAAAGAAAGAAAGAAAGAAAGGTCCCAAACCTCACCCCTGTTCCACCTTTGAGAGCAGACTTTCTGGTTGATAGATTGCATCTCTTCCTTTCCCAGTGTTTCGGGGGAAGAAACAATGATACCTGGTATTGGTTTGGACGTGAACGATTTTGTCTTATTTTCTTCTTCCAAGGTCTGGGATCCCATCGCCAGCAAGTCACAAAGCCTGAGATGAATGGGTTTTTTTCTGTGATCATACTGCCCTCTGCTGGACATCAGAAAATTCGCAGACGAAGAACGGTTAATCCTTTAATTCTATTTTGGTTTGATTTGGTGATTCCGGTCCAAGATGGTTTAGAAAAAAAAAAGTAAACTGTGTATTTCACAACAAGGATTGGTTAACTATGTTCTGGTTTCATAATAATGAAAAAGCAAAGAGGATTGTGAAATGCATGTGTCTGTGCTGCTGACAGAGTGTTTTGTTGAACCATGGACAAGGGGTGACGTTGGAAGGGCATGGCCTTTGACTCGGTTCATACTTCACCGACCCAGATGTGAAAAGCAAAAGCGTGTTGATTCAAAGCTGCTTAGGAAATTGTACTCAGCAGCATCCAGGGTAGGTAAGTGTTGAGGCTGATGAGAGCCATCAAACCTGGCATAGCTGAGCACCTGGTCCCTGGAACTGCATGGTTTTAAGTGTGGTGGGTTATGGCCTTGGTGTGCCCCAGCACAACCAGGCGCCAGACTTACACCACTGGGCAGGGAATTACCATGAACGGCCTCTGGGTCTTGGGCTGGAGTGATAGCACAGCGGGTAGAGTGTTTGCCTTGCAAGCTGCCAACATGGCCGACCAGAGTTCGATTCCTCCTCCCCTCTTGGAGAGCCTGACAAGCTACCGAGAGTATCTCACCCACATGGCAAATCCTGGCAAGCTACCCGTGATGTATTCGATATGCCAAACACAGTAACAATTGTCACAATGGAGACATTATTGGGCCCGCTCGAGCAAATCGATGAACAACGGGAGGACAGTGGCAGTGGCCTCTGGGTCTTAGGGCTTACTCTTGACTCTGCGCTCAGGCATTACTCCTGGTGGGGTTTGAAGGACCCTATGAGATGCCAGGGATTGGAACTAGGCCAGCTGTGTGCAAAGCAAGTGCCCTACCCACTATACTATCACTCCAGCTCTAGATCTGTACACTTTGGGAAAGTTCTCTAAGTGGTTTTCCTACTTAAAACTTGATTAAAAATTTAAAAAAAATAACACTTTTCACTTTTAAAAGAAAAATGCAAGATGTCAAGTGGTATTTTAATTTTAACTTCAACTCAACAAAACTTCTAATGCCATGTGACAGGCCCAAGGAGGGAGAAGGTCCCACCCTGGGTGGACCTGGAGCTGTACTTCCTCCTGTGAGACACCTCTGACAATGAGAAGGCGAACTGAGGACACGGGCACTGTGGGAGGGACATAGGGCACATGTGCACTGATAGTCAATGGTCATATCTTAAAAATGAATTTTGATGTTTCCTGGTCTGCCAAGTCAAAATTAGCCTTCTTGGACCAGAGAGATAGTATAGGGGTAGGGCGCTGGCATTGAGTAAGGCCGTTCTCTGTTTGATCCTGGATACCTTATAGGGTCCCCTGAGCACTGCCAGGAGTGACTCCCAAGCACAGAGCCAAGAGTAGTCCCTGAGTAGCCCCCTGGGTGTGGCCCAAAGTCTCTTCCTCCCCACCATAAAGAAACAGGAAAGAAAGCCTTTAGGATAGGTCTGATAACCTTTCAGTAGCTATATTGCTAACTATAAGGCCCAAAGGAGAGGAGAGGAGAGGAGAGAGAGAGAGAGAGAGAGAGAGAGAGAGAGAGAGAGAACCTGTCATAGAAGCGGGTGGGGTGGGGTGGGGTGGATGATGGGAGGGAAACTGGGGACATTGGTGATGTGAAATATACACTCGAGAAGGAACAAGTGTTGGAACATTGTATGACTGAAACCCAATCATGCACGATTTGGCAGCTAGCTTGTATCTCTTCAGAGGGCCCTGATGCCCTGATGCAGTTCCAGCATCTCCCATGTTTCCCTACCACAACCATCTCAGCAAGCAGAGACCCTTTGATATGTAAATGCTCAATCCAGGGAGATTAGCATGAGAAGGGCAGCCGTGCCCACCTCCCACAGCTGCTAACTGCTGACTCACTCACCTGCCCGCCACTACAGATTCCCGACTAAATCTCCCAGGAGATGCATACCAAGCAGCTGAACTACACTGGAAGTTCTAGTCCCAGCGGTCAGCTCATTGGCCCAGACCTTAGACCCTGAAGTCTCTGTCCTGGCAGCACCTCTCAATTCCTCAATCCTGACATCCCAGTTGGTACACGTCAAATCTGATAGAAAAGTAACATAGAAGCCAATGAAACTCAACAAATAAAAGCAATTACACAGAAGGCTCAATTAGCCACAGACAACTTAATAAATCTTAGATAAGGCTTGACCCAGTGATCAGATATGACAATTTTCATATTTAAAAAATTAATTTAAAAAAGATTAGCATGATAGACAATTGGCTGTAGAATGCTGCCCCTGTCCTTCTGATGATTGTTCGTTTACAGCAATAAATATCAAATGTGGGGCTCAATCCATATGGCCCCACACTTTTTCTCTTATTTCCTTAACCCCATGGAGCAACCTGCTCCAACCCTTTTCACCGAGGGCTGGCCCCTGGCAGTCCCTGACTTGTGAGTTCCTGACCCCGTATGGCATCTGCTTTCCGTGACTGACAGAAGTTGGCTCTTGGACATGTCCCAATCCCCCACACATGCCCCCAACCTGAGCATCTTCAGTAATCCAAGGTCCACGTCACCTTGGGTGCTGAGGGGAGGGAGAGCAGTGTTGGGGGTGGCAAACTTTTCAACACAAAGTCAAATTCTTTCTCTTTATCTTACATTTTTATCTCATTTTCAAATGAGTAACAAGATCACTATTAGGTAACGAATAAGTCAACTGCCCTGGAGATTCATTGAATCTTTTGAATCTTTTATTTTTTCTTTTTGGGTCACACCCGGTGATACACAGGGGCTACTCCTGGCTCTGCACTCAGGAATTACTCCTGGCAGTGCTTGGGGGACAATATGGGATGCTGGGAATCGAACCCGGGTCAGCCACATGCAAGGCAAACGCCCTACCCGCTGTGCTATGGCTCCAGCCCCCCCGGAGATTTATTGAGGAGATCTGGAAACCTTCCAAGATGAGCAAAATTTATTAGGATTAGGATTATAATTATTTCGATGTCAAAAAGAATTATCTAAGGATGATTCCTCAGTCCCTAAAACAATGAACATCATCATAAAACATCATGTCTGATGACACAAGGATCCCCGCAGAAATGTGGCAGATCCCAGATGAAGCTAATGATGATTCTGGAGAAGGAACTCCCCACTCACACCGAGAGAGCTTCTCAAGGAGTGAAAGGGGAAAAGGAGATGCAGGGAGAGAGAAAATACAAGTAGGGGAGAAAGCGGGTCGTGGACGACTCCGGCGGACAGGATGGCTGGGAAGGCTCTGCTCCAGAAGGCCACCGGCCGCTCCTTCAGGTTCCTGCCCACACTGATGTTCAGGTCCAGCTGCAGATACTCTTTGCTGCCGTTGAAGGCCGGCCACCGAGGTAGGCCTATTCCATTAGGATCCCTGAAGGGAGGAGAGCAGAGCCCGGGTGAGACGCTGGTCCTGGGACACGGGTGCTGGGGCAGATGCAGAGGGTTACTCACCCACTGCGGGCAAAGTTGGCCCAGTATCTCATCATCTTCCTGCTGAGCGTTTTTTCCTCCTCTGTGGCTCCCTCTGAAGCAGAGAATCACAGTGAGGGGCCGGAAGTCACAACCTCATCTCTCCCCATGCCCCACTCCCCAGCTTCTCGGCAGCCCAAGCCTCATTCTGTGGGTCTCCTAGTGGACAAGGCTGAGCACACACTTCCCCAAGCCCCTCCCACCCCCAGGACATGCCAAAGTCTCAGAGGCTGCAAGTTTCTGAGGACAGGGACCTCCCTCCCTCCTCCTCTTCCCCCCTCTCTCTTTCTCCACCGATAAATTAATATTACTTATTAGTCACTTATCAATTTTTATTTTGTGGCTTTGAGCCACATCCTGGAGCTACTTCCAGGTTAGAGTTTGGGGGTCATCTCTGGCCTATCTGGGGCGCGTGTGGTGCCAGGGACTGAACACATGGCCCTTGCATGCAAAGCCTCGCTCCAATCTGTTCAGCGATTGCCCCAGATCATCAAATACCTTTTAGTTTTTTGTTTCTGGGTCATGTTCCAAGCTGCTCAGGGCTTACTCCTGGCTCTGAATGCAGGGATCACTCCTACTGGGGCTTGGGGGGAACCATATGGGATGCCTGGGATCAAACCTGGGTCAACCACATGCAAGGCAAGTGCCCTACCTGCTAGCTCTTTCTCCAGCCCTATCAAAGATTTCTTTATTTGAAAATATACTGTGCAAAGAAAAAAATCCAAATGCAGAACAGATCTCTAAGGAAAGAACCTCTCTCTCTCTTTTTCCCATTCCAGATGACTAGCCTCAGAGACAAGCCTTGCTCCCAGCTATTATAGTGATCATTAAGGACAGGATTTAAATTGACATCTTATTTTTTTTGTGGGTAAGGCGGGGGTCATACCCAGCAGTGCTCAGGACATATTCCTGGCTCTGCACTGAGGGATCACTCATGGCGGGGCTCAGGGGAGTATATTTTTTAATTATTATTTTACTTTATTTTTATTTTTTCTTTTAGGATCACGCCCAGCGATGCACAGGGGTTCCTCCTGGTTCTGCGCTCAGAAATTACTCCTGGCGGTGCTCAGGGGACCATATGGGATGCTGGAAATCAAACCTGGGTTGGCCGCATACAAGGCAAACGACCTACTCGCCCTACTTGCTGTGCTATCGCTCCAGCCCCTCAGGGGACCGCATGAAGTGGCAGGGATAGAACCTGGACTGGCCACAAGCAAGGCAAGTTCCCTACCCACAGTACTATCTCTCTGGCCCCTAAGTCAACACCTTTTCACACGCTTGATGCATTAATACTCATATATTCAGCATTTTTTACTTTTTGCTAAATTTTCCATCAGAAGGCACTTCCACATCAACACTTATAGTTCATCAATGTCTACTGGATAAATGTACTTACACCCAATTGCGTCTAAGTAAATAATTTCTTTATCCAGCATAAGGATGTAAAATGGATTTTTACATTACTTTCATTGATTTTTTTGCTGATAAACATATTGTGTGTGTGTGCATATGTTTGCACTTATGGAAATAAAAAGTGCAAACTTGTTACTTGTGGAAGTAACTGCACAAGAAGTTTTCCATGAATGTATGAGGTTGCCTGTTTCCTCACATCTGCCTGATATGCTATCATCATCATCAGTAAAATGTATTATTCTTCCAAAATGAGCAAGGAGTCCCTGCTTACTCGTCACCCTCGTGAGGAAAGAATGGTAGAATGAGTTTTCAAAATCACTCATGCTTCCTTCCTCATAGACTATTGGTACCAGTTCCCCCATTCTTTGGCTATTCCTTTTTTTTTTTCTTTTTGGGTCACACCCGGCGATGCACAGGGGTTAGTCCTGTCTCTGCACGCAGGAATTACTCCTGGCAGTGCTCAGGGGACCTTATGGGATGCTGGAAATCAAACCCGGGCCGGTCTCGTGCAAGGCAAACGCCCTACCCACTGTGCTGTCGCTCCAGCCCCTCTTTGGCTATTCTTGTTTCATTGATGTTAGTGCTTTAGAGATCAAGGAATGGGATCCTCTGGTTCCTGGCTTCTTCCTTCTTCTGGGTCTGAGGATCCATCTGCCCAACGTGTAGTAAGCCTTAGACATTGGTGCCTGATTCATAATCATAACATCTATTTTTCATTTTCTTTTGGTTTGGGGGGGCCACACCCAACAGTGCTCAGGGCTTACTCCTGGCTCTGCACTCAGGGATCACTCCTGGCATTCTTATGGGGTGCTGGGGATTGAATCTGGGTGGGCGCCTGCAAAGCAAACTCCCTACCTTCTGTCCTACTGCACCAGCCCCCGTAGCGACATTCATTAAGCAACCTTTGTGAGATTTGTGGGAATTGTTTCAGCTAATCCGTATAGCAACAGGGAAGGGAGTGATTATTATCTGTAGCACAAGATGGAAATGAGTAATGGAAACAAAGAGTAAGTCACAGTGTGTGAACCAGTCATGAGCCTGTATCATGTCATTCCCGCTGCCCCCCAACAAACTCTTAAGTGACACCTCAGGTAGGCTTTTCCCATCATTTATCGACTCACCTGACCTAATTGGTTAATGTTTTTTTTTTCCGGCAGTAAACATGGCATCCATTTGGGAGCCATAAGCCAGCACTACTAGTTCATGTGAATCTACATTAGATCATCGACATTCAGACCACTTGCAGCTAGAACGAAGTGAATAGGAGTTTTTGCCTTTGAATGCTTATGGCCAGTTGGTTCCTAAGAGTTCTGGGAAGTGCAGAGAGGTGGGACCCAGAGTTCAGAAAAGGAAAAAAGGAAAAAAGAAAGGGACTCTAATTTTCGCAAACAAAAGCACACACACACACACACACACACACACACACACACACACACACACACACAAAGACCCACAGGGAAAAAAAGGAGATTGCTTAAGAGTCAACATCTGCAAAGCTGAGCCCAAAAAGAAACAGTCATCAAGCAAATGAGGGCGGCTCCTATTCCACCTTGGCTTCTAACAATACAAGTGGATGCTTTTGCCAGGGCGAGTGGTGTCTGCCAACACAGATCCCAGCCAGCCCTCCCAGACTCCTCTCTGGCCGCCAAGAAGGGGCCGCATGGGGCGCTGTGGGGGATGCATTTCTGCACGCAGCCCTTGGGGCTCTCCGGAGCATCCGGGCCAAAGCCAGAACCCCTTAGGGCGGTTCCTACCAAACATGACCATGTCACTCTTCAGGAAGGGCCCTCCAAAGACAAAGCGGATTTCATCCGTGTGGTCAGCTTTCACGAAGGCAGGTTTCGAGTCCGCAAAGCAGAGGGGTCGGTGCTGGAATTCGTAGAAATAGACTGGCGTGCCGGAGTCTGCAGGGCAGAGGGGAGAGGGTGCGGGCTGTCATACAGGCTGGGCCGGGCAGAGGCTAGCCCTGCTGGCCCCCACCCCTCCCCCATCTAGGCCCCATCACCATCACCAACCCAGCCACAGGAGAAGGGGACAGCCTAGGGACCAGAACTCTCCTTATCATTTGAGACCAGCCTTTTCTATTCTCCAACACCCAGGGCAAAGAACTCTACCCTTCCCCCCCACCCCCCATTCCTCCCCCAAGGGACAGCCAGAGGGAAAAGAGCTCGTTCTTCTCAAAATTCCCTCAAACTGGTCAACATCTCCCTCCCCGAGACCTCTCCTTGACCCTGGTTCAACTGTCTGCAGACAAACAGAACCAAGTTTCCCCTGCTTCTGTGACATTGAGTTGCCTGCATTCCTTCCATTCTTCTCTGCTAAAGGTCTCTCTCATTTTGACCTTCTTTCCCTGAAAAATCAACAAGTTTTCTTGATTGGACCATGGCCACTAGGAGCCAAGTGTTTTACAAAGGCTCTCACTAAAGCGCACACAGGTGCACACACAGACACACATGAGCACACAGGGATACACAGGTGCACACGTGAGTGCACACAGCTGCACACACGTGCCCACAGGCGCAGAAATGCTTCTGGTCTTGGCCCCAAACTCCCAATCCGGTTTCTTTTGCTCCATTCTAGCAAGACCCCATGCTACAGTTGCTCTGTGTGCATTATCTTGGCTTTAACTGGAATATCATTTATGGGCAATACAAAACAGATTTCAAGGGTACAGTCCAATGAGATCTCACAGAGATATATTCTATTCCTTGATGTGCCTGCATCAGGACACAAAACATTTCCATCACCCTGGAAGGTTCCCTTGTGCCACTTTCTAATCACATTTTGCCAAGAGACAAGCGAGATTCCCCTCTCTGATCACCATTTAATCGTGCCTGCTCTTGACCGCCAAACAGATGTCATCTCTCTGCATGTCTACTCGGGCATGGCTACTTTTGCTCAGTATAATGCTTTTGAGATTCACGCATGTTTAGCATGTATGTTGCAAGATGACCTTTTTATTATCAAGTAGTGTGCAATTGAACAAATATACTATGATTTATTCATCTGATAATAGGGTTCTTTTTTTCTTTCTTTTGGCTTTTTGAGAGCCCGGCAAGCTGCCGAGAGTATTCGATATGTCAGACACAGTAACAACAAAGTCTCCAATGGAGACGTTACTGGGCCCGCTCGAGCAAATCGATGATCAACGGGAGGGCCTTTGGCTTTTTGAGTTACAACCGGCAATGCTCAGGGGTTACTTCTGGCTCTGCACTCAGGAATTATTTCTGGCAGTGCATGGGGGACCAAATGAGATGCTGGGGATTAAACCCAGGTTGGCCGAGTGCAAGACAAACACCCTACCCACTGTACTATTGCTTTGGCTCCAAATATGGTTCCTTCCTTCCTCCCTTCCTTCCTTTCTTCCTTCTTTCTTTCCTTCCTTCCTTCCTTCCTTCCTTCCTTCCTTCCTTCCTTCCTTCCTTCCTTCCTCTTTCTCTCTCCTGTCCTTCCTTCCATGCATGACTTCTCTCTCTTTCTCCTTGTCTCTCTTTCTCCCTTTGTTTCTTTGCTCTTGGATCACACCCAGCGATGCTCAGGGGTTACTCCTGGCTCTGCACTCAGGACTTACTCCTGGCTATGCTAGAGGGGCCATTCCTTTCCTAGGTATGAGATGCTGGGGATTGAACCCGGGTTGATCTCATGCAAGGCAAGAACCTTACCCACTGTACTATCTCTCCAGCTCTAATAGGGTTCTTTCACCTTGGGGTTATTATGATTTAAATTTGCTATGAAAAGAGATATTCAAATCTTTGTATAGCTAGATGCTTTTATTTCTCTTCAGCAAATATCTAGAACAGTAAAATAATGGGGTCAGTGTGCCTTCAGCTTTATAAGAAATTGACATTTCACAATTTTACATTCCCATCAGAAGTATATAATGGCCGTGAACATTCTGTGTCCTTGGCAATAATACATCTTTGTATGGTCCGCGTCTTGAATATTAGTCATTCTAGTAGGCGTGAATGGTTGCCTCATTTGGGCTTTATTTTACATTTCCCTGATGACTAATGATATTGAGCACCTTTTTGAGTACTTTTGGCTTTTCTGTATCTTCTTTTGTGAAGAGTCTTTTCAAGCCTTTCACTCATTTGTAACTGAATTGTCTTTTCATTACTGAACTGGGAGAGGTTTTCTAGTCTGCATATGAATTTATTGACAGGTAATTGTATTTGGAATTTGTTATTATGTTCTATGGCTGGTGTTTTAAAAAACTTTAAATGGTATTGTAGGTAAAATTCACAGTGTATAACGTGCATAGCTTTAATTATTTCAAAGTATATAATTCAGTGGACTTGAGTATAGTCAGGATACTGTAAAGCTGTTCTCTTCATCTAAATCTAGAAATAGTTCACCACTCCAGAAACCCTAGTCCCTCGCCCATTTGTCCCTCCCCTTTGACACTGGAAATAATTAATGTGCTTTCTGTAGATTTTCCTTTCCTAGGTATGTCATATATACTGAACCAGACAACACATAGCCTTTTATATCCAGCTTCTTTAACTTAGCATAAGGTTTCTAGCCTGTGCCAATACTCACTCCTTTTTATGGTCAAAAAATTATCCATTGCATTTATAGACCAGATTTTGTGCATCTGTTTATAAGTAGATGGACATTTGGATTGTTACTACTTTATGGTTACCATGAAGATGAACTCCATGAGCAATTTTTGTTTAACTCTGCTTTTAGTGCTCTAGCATATATTCCTGGGAATGTTGTTGTTGGATTCAAGAGTAATTCATGTTTCACTTTTTGAGAAGCAAAGATTTTCACCATGGGAGAGTAATTTTACATGTCTACAAGAAATACATAAAGATCCAGTTTCCCCATCACACTGGTGTTTGTACCCCCATCAGTTCAACAGCATCACTTCTCTCTCGTGGACATTAAATGGCATCTCAGTGTGACCATGATCTGAGATGCTTTAATGCTTAGTACTTGAGCATCTTCTCATGTATTTACTAGGCATATGCACTTTGTCTCTGAAGAAATGTCCCTTCAAATTCTTTGCCCGTTTTTGAGCTGAGTTGTCTGTTTTTAGTGGTAAGAATACTTTACATATTCTTAATAACAAACTCAGGCCAGATACATAATTTGCAAATATTTATTCCTATTCTGTGGATTGTCATTTATCTTTCTTTCTTTCTTTCTTTCTTTCTCTCTTTCTTTCTCTTTATCTCTTTCTCTCGTTCTCTCTTTCTGTCTGTCTGTGAAGCAAGATATATTTTATTGAACAAAATTTACTTAGAAACATGTGAGAAAAGAGAAAGAGAGAAAATATATGTTCAAGAGAGAAAACAGATTTTCCCAGAGTGGGAAAAAGGCAGCAAAGATACATAGAAAAATCAAGTGGGATCGGTGTTCAAAGAACACAGGCTTGAAGAACAAGTTTTTGGGTTGTCATTTAATTTTATGTTGTTCTTTGTTTTGTTTGGGCACTACACCCAGCAGAGCGTAGGCTTACTCCTGGCTCTGCTCTCAGTGATCCCTCCTTGGCAGGCTTGGGTAACCGTGTGGGGTGCCAGAGATCAAACCCAGGTCAGCTGTGTGCAAGGCAAGTGCTGTTTTTTGATGCATAAGCAATTTTAAGACAGTCAGCCAGAGATCCAGGGACCTTTTTTTTTTAATGTCTTTTCTGAGCATGTTGCCCACACTGGACATGAACATGGCCTTCCAGATACCCAGGGATATTAAGAAGCTTTTAAGCCTTCATTCCCCAGAGCATCTTATGCTCAGTTTTCCCTCCTCATCTTTGTTCTATTGTTGCCCAAACTGCCCTGGTCTTCAGAGCAGCTGCAAAAGCATTGATCTTCAAATATTTGTGGGAAATGTCCTCCAGGTAGTGCCTCAGCCCTAATGGAGCTCGAAGTTGGATGAAATAAATGCAAGTCTCTTCAGTCAGTTGTTTGGGGAGCCATCAGGCAGTTCAGAACAGACCCACATTTCTTTGAGAATAAGAATAATTCTTCTCCCTCCAGTAGTAAGTGTTTTCTACAAGTGTCGCTTGCTTCCTCAAGGCTAGTCAGTAGTAGCTGAGTATCAGAAGGTCATGTACGAGTATATTAAGACACGGGAAGTCTTTCTGAGGCCCAAGAGTAAATGTCTCAGTAAAACACTTGTTTACTTTAAACCCTTGATTTGTTTCCAGGATTCTGCTGAAATTAATTCTCAGAGTTGTTTCCAATTTCTATACTGCTTTTATAGAAGCACAGTTTCCTCCCATCACCATTTTCACTGTTATTATTAACCATGTTTCTTGTTATTGTTGCTAAGTAAAACTTTTAAAGTTTCCTTAAGTATAATTTTAGCTTTTACAATTGGATTTATAACTCACCACAAACTAGTTTTTGTGTGTCATATGAATTAGAGGGCTGAGGTTCAATTTTTCTACATAAATGTCAAGTTGTTCCAACTCCATTTGTTGAATGGGAAGAATTTTGTTTCCTTACTAAATTATCTCAACAATATTATTGAAAACCCATTAACCAGGTCTTTTCAGAACTCTGTTCTCTTTGTCGAGGTTTCAGCTAATACCAAACTTTCTTAATCATTTTAAGTACAATACTAGTCTTGGAAACAGGTGATGTATAAGTTCTCTGATTTTGTTATTCTTTTCCAAGATTGTTTTGGATATCCTTGTGTTTCTATATACGCTTTGAAATCAGTTCATTCAGTTCTTCAAAGCCATATTGCAACTGGGTTGAGATTGGGATTGTATTGAGTCTAGAGATCAGTTTGCCCCTTTTTTTTCTTAAACCATTTCTAAAAAGGCTCTCACATTCATCATTCCAGGAAAATAATTCTTGTCCAGGGACCTCCGGGTCACCAGTTCAAGAATCGGTTCTCAGTGTCTATCTTACCTGTCATAGGAATGGCTTCTATGACATAGTTGCCTCCCATAATTTCCTACCATTGCCAGCCCTACTCTGCTTGATAGCACTTTTGGACACATAACAGTATGCAGTCTGCATTTACTTATTCAATACCAATCTTCCTGAAAAGAATAGGAGCTGATTTTTAATTTTCAGAATGTGAGTTTCATGGTGTCCAGAATCTTTTCTTCACTCATTGCTGTGTCTCCAGAGCATAAAAGGCTGCCAGGCACAGAGTATGGCATTGCTAATTATTTATGGAAAGGAAAGGAAAGGAAAGGAAAGGAAAGGAAAGGAAAGGAAAGGAAAGGAAAGGAAAGGAAGATGGAAGGAAGGAAGGAAGGAAGGAAGGAAGGAAGGAAGGAAGGAAGGAAGGAAGGGAGGAAGGAAGGAAGGAGGAAGAAAATAATTTTCATCCTCACCAGTAATCTCTAATTGTTCCATTACCCCTCGCGCAGAGCTAAGGTATTTGAGACAATTCTACAAAAATAAAGGACTGGGGATGCTCCCCAAATTATGGGGAGGCTGCAATTTTCTACACTGTAGGGGAAGGAGTCTAAATAACTGAGCAACATTCCTTACCTCTGAAAGCGGGGCATTCCAAAGGTTAGCATTTGCACATATGCCCCAGACCACCTCGGGAATTCCCTTTCAGTGAGGAAAGATAAGGCAGAGCAGGTGACAGGATGAACAGGCAATACCTGATGCCTCCCAGCACCCACTGGACTCTCTGGCTGAGTCTGGGGAACTGAGGGTATGCAGAGACTCACCTCTATGATACTGAGCTGTGACCAGTCCAGGAACCGTGAAGAACACATCTCCGAACAAGTCCAGGAGAATATCCCGTGTTTCCAGCTCAGATTGCTTGTTCTGGAAGTATTCTTGAGCCACAAGCTGCAAAAACTGGGTGGAAGTGCGCTGCAAGGAATTGAGGATGGGTGGATAAGCAAAGGCCAGCCCGCTGAGAATGGACCCGGTGCTCACGGGGCTGAGAGCTTGACGGTCTCTGCCTCCCTGCATCCACCTGAGCCCCTGGGGTTAAGGATCACAGTGAACTCCCATTTCCCTGGCAAGAGCCCCAAGGCTGAGAGGTGAAGTGGGGGTGCCTGAACTCCCAACTGATAGATGGACCTGCGAACCAGAGGGTGGAGCAGGGGTGTCCTAAAGGTAGGACAAACACATTGTGGTTCAAACACTTGCCTCCTCTCTGCTCTTCAGTTAGTAAAACTGTTGTCTGACAAGGCCACACGCTGGCCCAGGCATGAGCTCGCTTGAAACCTAATGGGTATCATTGGGGCTGGAGCAATAGCACAGCGGGTAGGGCGTTTGCCTTGCACGTGGCCAACCCAGGTTCGATTCCCAGCATCCCATACGGTCCCCTGAGCACCACCAGGAGTGATTCCTGAGTGCAAAGCCAGGAGTAACCCCTGAGTAACCTCCGGGTGTGACCCAAAAAGCAATAAATAAATAAGTAAATAAATAAGGGTGTCATGAAGGTGGGATGGTGAGGTAGCACGGTCAGCCACTGGGCATGAGTCTGAAATGTCCCCGCTGCTCCCAGCTGGCAGCTTTGTCCCAGCAGTGGTGCTCTTCGAGTGACCTCCTTCCCTCCTGACTTGTTGTAAGTAATGGACGTTTACTCTCAGCAGTTCCTTGGGTGTGACTGGCAGGCAGCCACACGCCAGGATGCAAGTCCCCTGCACTTGGTAGCAAAACCTCGAGGCTCCTGCAAGTCTGCATCCAGAGCAGGAATAGCGACTTCATAACAATCCACTGAGCACAGGGCCCTTCTGAGAAGCAGATCTTTTTGTGAAAACACAGGACACGCCTTTACAAAACTGGTACATCTGGGTGCGTATATGTGTGCATGGGGGGGAGGGGGGAGTGATGGAGGGCGCAGGTATCAGTAGATGCCTTCAAGCCTTGGTAGCTTAAGTTAGTATCAATGTGAGAATAAAACAGTGTTGAACAAAACCCACATGGTCCAAAGACCTGTTGTTTTTGACATCTGAAAAACAGCTCCCAGGATCCCTTTGGGCTCCTTTTCAGTCTCCCGCATCTTCCCACACCATCTCCTTCCCACCCCCGGGTCCAGCTCAAGGCCCCACAGTTGACAGTATTTCTCCTTCACTCAGGCCTTGCTCCAGCGAGACCTTCTCTCTCCTGGCCTGAGCCATTCCACTACCTGCCTTTGTCTAAAACAGCCCTCGCCCCTGAGCTGCCAGAACAGAGAGCCCCGACTCTCAAAACTCCCCACTCATAGGGTTCTGGGGGAGCCTCTGCCTCCAGATAGCCCCTGGCAGCCATCCCCTTTTCTGTGCCATGCCTTTTTCTCTAAGGGGTGCAGAATTCCCTACCTCTCCAGCATAGACTTTGCATTCTTCTGTGGTGTCTCGGGGCAGTGCCCATGGCCCCTCGGCATCCCCACCCAGCTCTGTGTTTGCAGATCACCCTACTCCCCCAACACCTTGCACTGGGAATTTCTCCTCTAGGCTCCTTCAACTTACCCCCTACACCCTCCTCCTGTGGCAGCCAGAGAAGTCCAATTTATCACCAAACCCCACTCACCAAGGAGCCTGCTGACCTGGGTTATGTTGTACATCACGTCAGCTCTGCCACCCAACAGTCTACATGTTCCTGTATACAGGGGGCATCTGCTTATGGTCAGAGGGGCTCAGACATTGAGACTCTGAGTAAACGGCTTGTTGAATGAATGAATGAATGAATGAATGAAAACCAAGCAGGTGCTCTGGGGAAGGCCACCTGTTCTTAATTACATCCCCCCAACCCCAATTCTTCTGTGAAAGCACTATGGGCCTCAAAATATGGCAGGCAGGAATGAAGACAAGCTATCTCTTCATCCTTGGTCCTTGTGTCTAGGAGGATGGCTCTCAATCTTTTTAATCTTGTGCACTGGCCGGGTCTGCAGGTTGGTAACCACAGGTCTTGGAAAAATTTTTGTGTAGAGGACTAATGCATAAAATGACAGGGCTGTGGCCCCATACTAATTAGAGCCTAGAATCGAGCTTGGCTGGCATGTACAGTATACAAGCCCTCGTCCTGGGCACCTTGACAATTCGCAAGGTCTCAGATCCTCAGTAAGCAGGACTTAGGCTGCATAGTCTCTGCCAGGCTCAAAAGGGCGGGAGCAGGGCTGCTCCCAGCACACACATTCATACACCTGAAACCTCTGAACAGGGGATCAGCAAAGGGAGTGAATTTGTGGGCAAAATGGCTAGTTGGGCCGCCATGTGTGTTACCAGAAAAGCCTTTGAGTCCTGAAAGCTCTTTATATTTAATTTTATGTTATTTTGCTTTTAGGTCACACCTGGCAATACTCGGGGGTTACTCCTGGCTCTGCACTCAGGAATTATTCCTGGCGATGCTCGGGGAACCTTGTGTGATGCCAGGGATTGAACCCAGGTTGGCCATGTGCAAGGCAAGCACCCTACCTGCTGGACTGTTGCTCTGGCCCTTCTTTATATTTTAGGGTTGTGGATAATGAATGGCAGAACTATACCGACTAAAGATCTACTGAATGAAGGAAGGAACATCTGTGAGAAACATCTGTGCCCTGAGCCCGTAGGCTTAGTTTGCCCCTGGGAAGTTTGTTAAGTGAACAGATCTCCGGAGACCCATCACCCACGCTCACTTACCAGGTTGATTTGCACCAACTTCAAGGCATAAGACTTGTTGACACCCTGGAAGACTTCAGGAAACTCTTTCTGTGAAGAGAGAAGGTGGCTTTTTAATTGATTTTATTTTTGTGAGTTTATTATTATTATTATTTGTTTTTGGAGCATGTCAGGCCATCCAAAGGGAAGTCAGCTTTTAGAGGGGCAGTTGGGGAATGAAAATTTTTTCAGCCCCTAGGGCACCCCAAAGCTCAAGCAGTGCCATTTTTGTTCCACCTGCAGGATGTGGGTCCTGAGTGCCTGCTTCTGGGAAGGCCACCTGGTGGTCTGAATTACATCCTTCCTCCCCATTTCCTATGGGAAAGTCCTAATGACCAATGTCTCAGAATGGGAGCATATATGGAAAGAGATGCTCTTCTTTTCTTTTCTTTTCTTTTTAAGAAACAGGATAAGTTTATTGGGGTGCACTTCTGGGTGGACCCTTTCAGCCCCTAGTGAGGCTGGGGTAGAGCCACACCTCAGGAGAGGCTAGGCAGGATTTTAAGAAGTCTTAGTCCTTGAAACCAAGTACCTGGATTTTGCTTCTGGGAGCTTTTGGCCATGGGGGTTTCATCTGGAGTGGGAGGAGAGGGCACACCCAAATCCATCTGAGATTTCTTGGAATGGAATTGACTTGGTATGGGGTCCTGAGAGGTCTCTGATGAGCTGCTGTCTTCTGTGGATCAAGGCCATTGATGCACTGAGATGGCTCCCGACAGGTTGTGGGTGTGACAACCAGGACCCCAGGCAGGCGGAGAGATGGGAAGGGATGGCCATGGTGGCAGGGGGGAAGTCTGTCCCTTTCTGTCTTCCCACCCACCTAGGGCTGTCACACCCACAATTTGCCTCCGGGTGCCATCTCAGCACATCAACAACCTTGATCCAGAGACTCCCAAATGAATCTCAGAATGGATTAGCTCCCTAGAGAGATGTCTCTGGACCCCAACCATTTACAATTTTAGAATTCCAGAAGCATGCAAGCTCTCATGATATTCATAGTAAGCAACAGAAAATAAAGTATCCAGCATCTGTCCCTGGCAGACAGGCTTGAATGGTGGTGGAAAAATTTGAAATAATGGTGGTGGGATTGGTGTTGAAATATTGAATGGAATCAATTACTGTGAATAACCTTATGAAAATAAAATTTTAAAAAAAGGAATTCTTGGTCAGGAAAGGTAACAGAGACCAGCAGAAGTGGTATACTGGGTAAGCACAGGATATAGCCTGGGGGCTACCAGACTTGGGATGGGCCATAACCTCTGTCTTAGGTACCAGTGCCAGGGTAATCTTTGATTCTGGGAATGTCGATATTTCATCAGCCGGCCACCATTTGGATCCAGGCAAATCTTACATAATAGATGGCCTTTGCAGGGGAGAAGTGAGGGCTAGAGAGAGAGCTCAGCACACAGAGCAAGGCTTTGCATACTTGTTTGATTCCCAGAACTGCATGGTGCCCGGAGCATGTCCGGAGAAACCTCCCCCACACCCCAGACACAGTGCTAGGACTAGCTCCTAAACATCACTGGGTGTGGGCTCTTAACAAACAAAATACAAACTTAAAAATATAGACAGAGGGGCCAGAGCAATAGCACAGTGGGTAGGGCAATTTTCTTGCACATGGCCGACCCAGGTTTGATGCCTGGCATCCCATATTTTTTCCCAAGCACCGCCAGGAGTAATTCCTGAGTGCAGAGCCAGAAGTAACCCCTGAGCATTGCTGGGTGTGACCCAAAAAGCAATATATATATATATATATATATATATATATATATATATAGACAGAGGGGTTGGAGCGATAGCACAGCAGGGAGGGTGTTTGCCTTGCATGCAGCTAACCCAGGTTCAATTCCCAGCAACCCATATGGTCCCCTGAGCACCGCCATGGGTGCTGAGCCTGAGGGCAGAGCCAGGAGTAGCCCCTGTGCATCGCTGGTGTGACCCCAAAAAGCAAAACAAACAAACAAACAAAAAAACCCCAAAAATATAGACAGAGAGGCCCTACTGCAGCTATGTGTCATCATATGTTATTCATAACCAGCAATAGAACACAAACTGTCTACTGTTGCCTTTTCAGCAGATCTGAGTGTTGGGGTAAAATCTCAAATAATAATGGTGGGTCTGGTGTCAAAATATTGAATGTGATCAAAGTAGAGAAAGAGTGATATGGAAATCATCTGCCCCACAGGTAGGGGGAGGTTGTGGGATGGGGGTATACTGGGGATTTTGGTGGTGGAGAATGGGCACTGGTGAAGGTACAGGTGTTTCATTGTATGACCGAGACTTAGACTCGAAAGCTTTGTAACTGTTCTCATGGTGATTCAATAAATAAAATTATAAAAAATGAAAAAAAAGGTAAGGAGTTCATGCACAATTCAATCAGCTAATCAGTGGCTGAATAAATAGCAGTACTCCTACATAATATATATATATATATAGACAGAGATTATTAAGCTAACCGAAGAGGACAGCAGGGTGGGCCTAATCCTACCAGACCCAGTGCCTTTACGAGAGGAGAAGGTTTGGACACGGAGAGGCATGAAACAGTGCAGACCCAAGAGAGACACAGGAGCGAGCATGCAGAGAGATGGTGGCTGCCCGCGAGCCAAGGAGCAGGTTTGGGAGAAAGCAAATGCCCTGATGCACTGATCCTGATCCTGGCCCAATTTATTTATTGAGAAAATAAATTGAGGTTGGTTGAGTTGCCCAGTCTGGGGTACTTGATAACAAGAGCTCAGCAAAAAAGTACAGCAAACAATGGACCTTCAACTCACAGATTGAGGAAGAGACCAAAATCATCTCAAATCTAGTGGTCTGATGTTCTTTCCAAAGACTTTGGCAATTAGAAGCCAGTGATGGGACAATGGTCAGCAAGGCTGGTGGGTGAGAACACAGGTGGGTGCTGCTTGGTACAAGGGAAGAGCAATGTGTCATTTTGTGTAAATGCCCTTCCTAGGAAAAAGAACATCTTAAAATATGGTCAAATGTCTTTCCCTCCTGCATTTTCTGCTGAAAATCTTGGGGGTACTTAATTGCTAGGGGAGATATTTAAGAGAGCAGTCTTCTGGAATCTGAGGAAATGCCCCAAACAATTCAGGGGCTGAGACTCATACGTGGGGATTTCCCGTGGTCTCTTACCACCACCAATGAGCACCCACAGAAGGTTGGCACCATCAGACTCCTCAGTTCTGCATATCTGGACACTAATTCCCACCCCACCCCCCACTAATAATTCCAGTAGTTAACACTTAGTTCGTGCCAGCACTGACTGTATGCCAGGCTCCTTGGAATGTATTTATGAGAAGGGAAGTAACATTAGCTCTATTTCACAGACACAGGAAAGGAGGTTCTGAAAGTTTGGCGACTTACTCAAGGTCAGAGAGAATATCAATAAAGAACCCTGTATAGAGGCAGAACCAAAAATGCACACATTTGAAGTGCCATTGACTCTTCTATCACTTGGGAGACTTAGAAAAGTCACCTCAGCTCTTCTGAGCCTCAGTTTCTTTACTTGCCAAATCAGGACACTAATGCTTGTGGGCAAGCTGTCAACCAGGTGAAAGAGTACATGGCACATGGAAGGCATGTAGGGCTGGTCCTGGCTGTCATATTGGTGAAGGCTGTAGCACAAGCCATCTTTCCATCACAGATTGATAATATACAAGAGAGTGGTGACATGTGTCTACCACTCAATTTAAAGGGCCTCCTGTTCCCATGCAGAAAGTATTGGAAGATCTCAGTGAGACAATAGTGTGTGACCCAATTGCCTTATTTACACTGTGAGGAGAAAAATCCATACCTGAATCAGTTCCTGAACCAATGGCTCTGTAGGTCAAATCATTAATGGCAATAAAAACTCGTTTTTAATAACCCAGTCATCACAGGATTCTGGCTTTACATGGCTAACAGCTTGGCAGAAGTGTATTTCTTTCTTTCTTTTTTTTTTTTTCTTTTTTGGTCTCACCCGGCAATGCATGGGGTTACTCCTGGTTTATGCACTCAGGAATTACTCCTGGTGGTGCTCAGGGGACCATATGGGATGCTGGGAATCAAACCCGGGTTGGCCACATGCAAGGCCACCTCCCTACCTTCTGTTCTATTACTCCAGCCCCAGAAGTTCTTAACTCATTTCCCTCCTGGAAGGAGACTGGTCTGTATTAATGAGCTCTGGTGGCTCTATGACTGAGTTATTGACTCTTCAGAGGAGTTTATTTAGGAAGAGAAGGGTCTTCTTGAAGCACAAGTCAAGAAATTGTGGTGCTCCAGCATTTAGACCTCAGCCCAGACAAGAGAAGGGGTCCTTTTTCCTCCTTCCCCACCATCCTCTCATCCCTAATGTAGTCTTCTCTTTCCCCAACTCCTTAGCTCTGCATTTCATCTCTGTCTACCTCTGGGAATGAGCACAGGAGGCTGGAGCTGTGTGGTTAATTCACTGTCATTGCTCAAATTTTCGCCGAGCATAAAGCACACACTAAAATATATAGTACTTTTACCGACTTTCAGCACACAGTTCTTGTCTAGAGTGATCATTTCCAACTATCATTGTCATAGTGGTCCTTTCTCTATCCCAACTGCTTCTTCCCCAGCACTTGAGGTAGGCTTCCAGCTGTGGACCAATCCTCTTGGCCCTTGTTTCTACTGTCCTTGGGTATCAGTTTCATACTACATTTTTTTGTATCCTACAATTAACTGCATTGAAACCATAATGCCCAAAAGGAGAGAGAGAGAGAGAGAGAGAGAGAAGTGCCTGCCATAGAGGTAGGCTGGTGGGCAGGGGGATGGGGGTTTGGCAGGAGGGAATTGGGACATTGATGGTGGAAAATGTATACTGGTGAAGGGACAGGTGTTGGAACACTGTATGACTGAAACCCAATCCGTGAACAACTTTGTAACTGTGTATCTCTCTCTCTCACACACATACACATATATGTATATGATATCTCTATCTATCTATCTATCTATCTATCTATCTATCTATCTATCTACCTACCTACTCAGAAGAAGAACCACCAGGCCTGTCCAGAAGAGACTCAAGATACTCAGGATTGTTTGCCATCGTTATGGTGGTAGTAGTCACAGTCAGGGGCACCCAAGTTAAACATCCTCTATTTGATCATTTGAAGGGGAAATAATATAGTCAGCTCTAGCTCTGTAGAGCAATTTGGGAGTATTTATTCTGAAATACCTTCTCTGCTGGGAGTGTCCTTTACTCTCTCTCTCTCTCTCTCTTGTCTCTCTCTCTTTATGCTCTCTCTCTTCTCTATCTCTTTCTCTCTCCCTCCAATTTCTGATATGAAATCATTTTTATTGTCCTATCTTATCCAGAGGGCTGGAGCGATAGCACAGCAGGTAGGGCGTTTGCCTTGCAAGCGGCCAACATGGCTGACCCGAGCTCGATTCCCCTGCCCCTCTCGGAGAGCCTGGCAAGCTACCGAGAGTATCTCGCCTGCACGGCAAAGCCTAGCAAGCTCCCCGTGATGTGTTCGATATGCCAAACACAGTAACGAGTGTCACAATGGAGACATTACTGGGCCTGCTCGAGCAAATCGATGAACAATGGGAGGACAGTGACAGTGACAGATCTTATCCAGAAATTCTTTTCTGTGGCACAAAGAGCCTACATTGGGGTCGAGACTGGCACTGACTTGTTTTGGGGACATGCTGAGGGGCAACTCCTAACTCTGTGCTCAGGAGTGCTCCTCGTGGTGCTCAGAGGACCATGCAGTGCTGGGGATTGAACCCAGGTCTCCAGCTTGCAAAGCCTTTGCTCCACCCTTTTAGCTACCTCTCCAGCACCGGGACTGACATTGTTTTTCCTGATAAGATCATAACCAGCATTAACTTGAGAACCACATGTTTTCCCCCAAATTTAAGTAGGGGGAGCCAGCTCCCATGTCATGAGGATCCCGAGCTGCCCATGTCACGCAGGAGCTCATGCAGGCTTTATCAGCTTTGAACGTCCTGGGCATTCACCCCACCAACAGCATTTTGGAAAGCCAGCCAAGAGTGAGGCGGCTCTTTCTATTGTGGTCAGCCCCTCCAGCTCCGCGGCTCCTGTTTGCACTCATGGGTGACATGATTCGATACTTTTGCAAGTTGCCCAACAACTGATCAAGGCTTTCTTGAAGTTCAAGTGCCTGAACTGAGGCAGAACATATTTTCCAAACTGAAGCTCTCCAAAGATAGCTCAATTGCATCTTTGAAAGCGTCACTGTGATCCTTTAAAATAATTATTTGTGGTGTTTTGAACCCAGGTAAAATGCATAGAATCCTCTCCTCCAGTTTTCTGAAAAATAAAGTTGTTTCTTTTGTTGTAAATATCTACAAGCAGCCAGGCGCACTTGCTTATGGCTACTGCGTCCTCAATTATACTCTAAAAGAGAGACGAGAGCTGATTTCTATGAACTTGGCTCCAGTCTGCACAAGACTCGATGTCATCTCTGGGAATGCCCAGCTGTGAGGCGAACAGTCACCTCATTGTCGCTCCATCGGCAGAAAACACAGTTGAAATTCTTACCATGGGCAGTAGGAAGCCACACTCGTGGTTATTAACTCCAATGATAGAAGGAACTGGATGGTATGTACTCTGAGACAAGAGGTCTAGAGGCTCATGAGGAATGACGAAACCATCAATCACTCGAACAAAAGACTTGACCTTCTGGAATAAGGAAGGAGAGAGGGATCAGCAGCTGTTTCTGCTCATCAAATCTGCTCACAGGCTCCTGCCTCACTTCAGCTAGCCTGCTCTAGCAGTAGCTGAAATACAGTAAGAGAGGTAACCAGGTTTCTATCGTCCAAACTGGGTGAATCCTACCATTTATTTGGGAAAAAGGTTTCAGCTTTTCTTTGCCATACTCCCCTCACCTGCTAATTAGGATAACAAGTAGTATCTTCCTAAAAAAAAAAAATTGAAGTGCATTGCACCTTTGAAATTGTCACTGTGCTCCATTAAAACAATCATTTGTGGTGTGTTGAACCCAAATAAAAGGAATAGAATCCTCGGTCCAGTTTTTCTTTTAAAAAAAAGTGATTTCTTTTGTTGTAACTCTCTAACACATTTTCATAAGTAAGTATCCGACTCATTTTCATATGATGAAATCAGGTGATTCTGACACGTGGTCAAGTATGGACAAATGGAACAGGAAGAGTGGGAAGCAGAAAGAAAGGCCAGGTGAGTGAAACTGGGAACATCTTCCTGAGATGTCTCCCTCACAGACCTGGGGCTGTGCTGTGGGGGGTCAGGAAACAACAGCTGGCTCTAATAATGGGTTATTTTAAAATCTCTTTCTTAGAAAGTGGGGAGAGAAAGATGTGAAGAGAATAGCCATTGCACTGTGTTGGGTCAAGGACTGGGTGTTACCATTGCTCCAGATTCTAGCTCCGGCCACAGCAGATGCTTAATGCCTGCCAAACAACTACTGCGCAAATCCTGTCATCTGACCGAGAACAAGTCTTCTCTGCCAAGGGCAGTGGGAGGCTCTCAAGATTGGAAGGTGACTGAGACTTCTCCAACTGGAGTGAACCTGGATGGAACTTGGTCTTGGTCAGCTCGACCCCACCTGAATACCCACAGAGCATCTCCCTGATTCAAAAGGAGCAGCTCTTGCTTTAACATGGAGATTGTAAAGGAATTTCGACTCTTCCCTGGCCCAAACGGCTTCCTAACAGAACATCTCTCTCCTGCTGCTGACTTGAGCTCCTGGTGTCAGATGAAATGGGGGATGGGGTGGTGGTCTTTCAATGAGGACAGCCTCTGGATTTAGCTGGATCTTCTCCAGGATAGGCAATAGCCCACTCTTCAAGTTTCTTAAATGACTTGGAAGAGTTCTAAATTCTACCCTGCCTCCTCCTCCTCTTCCTCCTCCTCCTCCTCCTTCTTCTTTTGACAGCTTTGACTACGAAAGCCCCAACCTCCATCTTTCCAAGTTCCCAGTCAAAGGGGATGAGAATAGCAGAAGTGGTCTTCCACACCATTTCAAAGCGACCCTAACCACAAACACTCCCTCCCCTTTTCACCTTATTGAGGCTCAGCAGCTCCTGAGAGGATTTCGCCCTCAGACACTTGAGCAGAGCCTTGGAGTCCGACGCCTTGCAGTCACATATCTCCGCAATCACTGCCAGCTATTGCCAAGAGAAGGTGCAAGTCAGACTGGGAAAGCCTCTAGAAAAATCAAACTTGGAAAGAGCCATTAATCCAGTCACAGACTGGATCTTTATGCAAGACCCAGTCTTTCCCCCAACCCCTGCCACCACCATATGCCTATAATGAAATTGAGGTTATAGAGGGGAAGTTGACACTGAGAGTCATGTTCTCTCACCAGACCCATTTGTCCATCTGCACCCACTGCTGATGCTGGGGGAAACTGTTGGTCAGCTCATGCCACGATGGGAGTCTAGACTTCTGATCCCAGAGAGACTAGTGAGGGGGTGTTGGCACCGTGGACTAGCCCCCCAACCCCACAGATCCCAGAAACCCAAACTATGAGAGTATCAATGAAGCCACCACCCCCAAGACTGAAGAGTCATTTTGCAAGAACTGTTTGTGTCAACTGAGGCTTAACACTGGGTCTAAGTCCTGCTAGGTCTCCTCAAACCTCCTCTCCAGTCCCTGGCCCAGGATGCCCTGAATAATTTTTTATTTTGACACCAATTCCCACCCTCTTCTGAACGTTTCTTTGGGTTACTACAGTTCTCCTGGGCCCCCTTCCTCCTCCAATTTCCTGTCCTCCCAGTGAGGGCTGTCCTTTTCCTACCACCTGTTACTCAGCACCTGTTCACCAGTCACACTTGCTACATGTAAACTTACCTCTTGAAAATGGTATTTCTGGGGCCAGGTGATAGGATAGTGGTTGGGGCACAGCCAGCAGGCACCAGGTTCAATCCCTGGCTCAATCCCCAGCACCCAGGGATTTGGATGCCAGGATATGGCCCCTATGCCAGCAGGTGTGGTCCTGGAGGCGCCCCCTAAAGCATGCCAGAGCATTCTGGGTAATCCCCAGCACCCCGTGGTCTGAACAGCATGGCAACCACAGCCCTCACAGTCAATGGCAGGCCCAGCTGGCTGAGAAATGCTAATGGAGTCTCCGGGCCTCCAGAACACCACGTAGGAGCACCCCTCCCCACCAAAAAATAGAAAGTGGTGATCCTGACTGTTCTCTAGAGGTCATGGATGCTCTGAGCAGTTCGTGAACATTGCAGATCTCCTCCATGGGAAATGCAGAAGCTTTAGAAAGTCGCCATAGAAACGGGCAGAAAACGCCCTCTTGAGTGGATGTGGAGTCCTTTCTACACTCCAACCTGCATAGCGCCCCATCAGCACAGCAAGAACAAGTAAGATCACTCTGCACACATCAGAAGGAGCTTGCAGGGAGCAAACCCAACCCTCCTTTGGGTCACCAGGAAAGGATTTTCACAGTGGTGGGACTCTGCGTTTCTGGTCTTGCAGTGCCTTGGTATTTTTGACAAGTTGTTAAAGGAAATGCAGTCCCCAAACAGAGACTAGCAGGAGATGGGTTCATAGCCCCGTGCTTAATTGATACCCAGCAACAGCATCAGCGCCCGCCGTGACTCATTCAACCTGCCAACATGTAAAGTCGCCTGCCACACCACAGCCGCTATGCTGGGAGACAGACAGACCTCACACCCTGGGCCTCACTCTCTGGTAGAACTCCAAGGCAAGATGACAGATGACAAATATCTGGGGCACAGGCCTCTCCCCCGCCCATGCCCACCCCCCAGTCTCTCATCAGCCATGGTGTCACTTCCCACTGAGCTGCTGTGTCTGGGTCCCCCTTGTCATTGTGTTCTGGGTGGAGGAGAGGAAGTACAGGAGGATTCGAGCTAATACAGACAGCTGAGAGGAGACAGCAGGGAAGGAGCTTGCCTTGCCCTCAGCGCCACAAACGGCACCACGAGCCCCACCAGGAGTGATCCTGAGCACGGAGCCAGGAGGCGACTCTGAGCAGAGCTGGGTAGGGTTCAAAAACTGAAACTAAATAAGAATCAAAAGATAGATCAAGGCAAGAACACCGGCACACATATAGTACACAGCCACATCCATGCATCAGTGCCACTGCATTGTGTACCCAGTACCCAATCTTTGGGGGGGGGGGTCACTGTGGACCAGCACAAGATCCTCTGGCCATGGTTGGTCAAGAGGGTCCAGTACCTGATTTAGGACACCTGACCACTCTTCTGTAAAGAAGGAAAGAAAGCATTAGAGCAGTGTTCTTAATATACTTACATCTTCATCCCTCTCCTTTTTCGAGGCCCTCAGGTAAGGGATGATGGCCACCCCGCTCTCCATGATGGCTTTATGGAATAAGCCCTTGGATAGAGGGGACAGGATCTGCAGAGAGAACACAGTTAGCCACAAGACTCCCCAGCCATCATCCATATCTTTTTCAAAAATCAAAACTCCCAGGCCAGAATTTTAGATCAGCAGATAAGGTCTATCTTGCCTGGCTGACCCTGGTTCAATCTCTGCCACCCCTAGGGTCCCCTGAGCACTGCCAGGAATGATGCTAGAGCACAGAGCCAGGAGGAAGCCCTGAGCACCTCCAGATATGGTCTCCAAACCCAAGCCAAACCAACAAAATGGAATGTCTCCAGAGAGCTGCCTCAAGAGATCTAATCTTGGAAAGAAAACAGAGGACCTGGTGTGTGTGTGTGTGTGTGTGTGTGTGTGTGTGTGTTTGTGTGTGTGTGTGTGTGTGTGTGTGTGTGTGTGTGATGGAGGTAGGTGCTCCAGGTCCCTCTGAACTTTAAAGCCCACCACACTGCATGTGTTAGTGGGAAAACTTGAGGCCACAGGCATCCTAGAAAACCAGTCACAACTGGGCCCAGATCAGACCTACTGTAAGGGAACAGGTTTGGCACCATGTCTGATAGTGGAGTAGGCATAAGTGGCTGTTGTCACACGTGGAAAGTTCAGTCGCTATCATCCACTTATCAAGTGATTTTGAAAGCATGAAAACTCTTTGCCCATTGTCCAGTGTTATGCCCAGTGGAAGCTCTGTGAACCCAGGTGCATGAGCTGACCTCAGCAATGGGCAGGTTTGCTGATGTTCAGCCATACAGACCACACACAGCTGGAGCAACGTTCCAGCAGACCATGTCTGCTCCCATCATCTGCTTCCTGAAACATGTCAATCCATCTGCCTTCACCCTTGTTCTATCCACTTATGCTCATGGTTGTAATTACATAATGAAACATCAAGGGACCCCTATGAAAGAGTCATGTGGAAAGTAAGCAAAATTGTGTTTAGGGGAAAGTGTGCGCATAAAGACAAGTGAAGACTACTGCTATCAAAGGTGGTGTGAATGAAATGTAAGGGAGGAGAGGAAACTCCAATAGGCCACATCTCTGAGTTCAAGCCATGAAATCTGTGGGTGCTTTTAACTAGGGATCCCACGACAGCCTTCTTGTTGGAAACCAGCTCTAAAAAGGAAGGATCCTGTTTCAGAGAATAAAGGGATGGACCTTCATTTTTCAAGTGAAAATGGGATTCTCCAATCCTCCTCCATTATTTGGGGCATTCACTGAGATTTTCTATTAAACAAGTCACAGTTGTTCTTGGCCTCGGTATACCAGGGTTCCAAACTTGACAAACAGAAGTGACTTTTCCCCAGACAATCACTTGCCTTGTGACAGCTCTTTCATCAAGAGCTTCCCAAAACTTATTTCACCTACAGTCTCATTTTAAGAACAAAAAAGTTACCTAGAAGCCCCTTGGAAATCTACCTTCTTTAGATAAACAAACAAAAGGAGACCCCAGCCAATTGCACTGGAGGCTTCAATTGCCCCCCAAAATCATTCCAGCACCCCCAGGGGTGGTATCAGCCACTTTGGGACACAGTGATGGATCTTGATGGCAGTGTTCATCCATGACATGAGACCAAGCCTCTATCTCTATAGGGTAGACTCAAGGGAGAGAGCCTGAGGGCATGTTGGAAGTGAGTCAGATATGAAGTAGTATCAGTCTCACCTACACTTCCCTGAGCCCCCATTCCCCCAGGCTCCATCCAGGTAACAGAGGAGGGACTCACCAGGCTAGAAACACTAATAGCTCCTGCAGACTCGCCAAAGACAGTCACGGAGTTGGGGTCCCCACCAAAGAACAGGATGTTCTCCTGGACCCAGGTGAGGGCTGCCAGTTGGTCTAGGAAGGCCCAGTTCCCCGGAGCATGCTGGTCCCCTGTGCTGGGAGGAAGAGAGGGGCAGTGAGCAGGCTCAGTGGTCACCGGGACACTAAGCTTGGGGTTGGTTCTTAGGTGGGATCTGGAGTTCTGTGCATTTTTGTTTTGTTTTTGCAGGGGTCACACTGCCAGAACTCAGGGTTTACTTCTGGCTCTGTGCTCACTCAGGATCCTCTGGCAGGGCTCCAGGGACCCTATGGGGTGCTGGGGATCAAACCCAGGCCAGTCCCATGCACTGCAAGTGCTGTACCCACTATACTATCTCTTCAGCCTCCCGTTGGGTTTCTTTGACAAATGGTTGGAAACTACACACCCCAGAAAAATGCACCTCGGATGCTCTGATGTCCCCTCATTCCATAGATGCCAGAAACTTTCTGCTCCTGGGGCTTGATCTATCAAGGCCAGAAGCTTGACACTCGCTGGACACTGAGGATCTAACAAAGGATGAAGCATTCCAGATGAGCCAAAGGTTCTGCACCATCACCCTTCCCCACAGTCCTTCCCTGCCCGAGCTACTACGAGCTGGTGATTTTCTCCCCTGGTCCACCAGGGACCTCAGTCTATGTGTCCCAAAGGCTGGCTTCATAGGCACTATAACACCCCAGCTTCCATGTCTGGTCAGTGTGGGGGCAGTGGGGGGCTGAGGGTGGTCTGACAATGAACAGTTCTACCCCCCCCAGGACCCCTGCACTGGGAAATGCTATGGGCAGAGGTCACACTGTCCACAGCCACACTCATGACCCCCTTCCGTTCAGAGGAATTTGGGAACAAGTGCTAAGGGACCCCGGGGGTATGTGACCTACAGGGAAAGATGTTTGGTTTCTTTGGAATAAGGGGTACAGCCAGCTTAGTGCTTGGCGGCCACTGCTGGCAGTGCTGGGGTCTTTCTCTAACCAAAGCTTCACCTTCAGACGGATCCAGAAAGGCCTTCCCCTTGTTGGCCAGAGGCAGAAGATCTGGGGTGAGGGGGCGGGGGTTGGAGGAGGCAGGGTCATAGGATAGAAGGGGCTCGGGTCCCATCTGTATGGAGGAACATCTCAGGACTTGATTCCGTTGAGAGAGTTTTAGTGTATGAATCCGTTGATTGTGGGTGAAGGGGACAGGTCAGAGGACAGACGATTCTGACAGAGCTCACTCTGGGCCAGGACTAGGTGCTGAAAAGGGGGTACAGTGGGCTCACTCTGGGCCAGGACTTGGTGCTGAAAGAGGGTATGGTGCCTGGCACGATGCCCTCTCAGTCACGGTATAGGAAACCACAGTGCCTACAAGGAAGGAGAAAAGGGAAAAACAGAAAAAGAAAAGTGTCTTTCATAGAGGCAGGCTAGGAGGCGGGAAGGAAACCAGGGACACTGGTGGAAGGATCCGTGCTGGAACATCATACACCTGAAACCCAGATGTGAGTAACTTTGTAATTCTGTAATTTGCAGTGATTCAATTAAAAAAAATTAAAACACAGACTTTGCATTGGATGGGCCTTAGGTCCTAGAACCCCTAGACTCGGGGTCAAAGGTGTTCAGAGTCATTGAAGACTTACACCTCCTGCTGTCACCCACTGCCCCGTGGCCATCTGTTGCCTGCAGCTTCCTGTCCCCATGGACACTCACTTGAAGAAGCCAAAGATGCCCAGCCGGTACTGGGTGGTCACGACCAGCACGTCTTCATAGGCAGCCAGGGCGGAGCCATCAAAGATGGAGGCTGAGCCTGTCTCAAAGGAGCCGCCCGGGATCCACACCATGACCTGAGATGGGGAGGGAGATCTCGGGTCAGCTTGCTGGACACCCATGGGCCCTGCCCATCACAAAAGCCAGGATGATGTTTCTTTACAGAAGAAGGATCTCTCTGTACCTTCTCAGTAGCTTTAGAGGTTTCTTTTTTGTTTGGGTTTGTTTGGGGTTGGGGTTTTGTACCACACCTGGCGCTGCTCAAGGGTGACTCCTGGCTCTGCACTCAGGAATGACTTCCGGTGACTGTGAGGGATGCCGGGATCAAACCCGGGTTGGCTGCATGCAAGGCAAATGCTCTCCTCTCTGTACCACTGCCCTGGGTTCAGCTTTTAGAGGTTTTGTTCTTTTGAAGAAGGCTCAAGATTTAGCTGTCGGACTCTCTGCCCTAGACCCGCCAGGTTTGACCCTCTGTCAGGGCCTGGCTGTGTGAGCTAGGGCAGGAAACTTGACTTCTCTGAGCCTCGCTTTTCTGTCTAGAAGGTGTGAAGAATGAAAGCATCTCCCTGCAGAGGCGGCCCCAAACAAGATGCTGCAACTCAAGGTCGCAGAACAAGGCAGGCCCTTTTCAGGGACTCAGGAAGTGTCAATGAAGCATCACCCTCTCCCTCACCCCAGGAGGAGGGACCCCACTGACAGCCTGGTGTAAGCTAAAGCTATTCGGGCTCGTTCTGATCTCAGGGGTCCCTGTGGGCAGAGAGGAGTGAGGGAGAAAGGAAAAGACATGCAGGAACGTGATGAGAAAAATTGGAGCCGTAGTGGCGAATGGGAGGAGCCTATTTTCAGCTCTTTGGAGACCTCCTAGCAAAGCCCTTCCGTGTGCCGCTCAAGGCAGGTCAGGGACTCCAGCCCTCACGTGCTCTCCCCACGCAAGACTGCCCCATCTCTGAGCATGGACCCAGGAGTCCCAAGCACAGCGTGACTGTCTGAGTCCAGGCACTGCCTTAGGTGTGACTATTGTGCTACAAGACAGCGAGCCTCCTGCTGGGGTGGAATGAGGGAGGGGGCTGGGGGGCACCCGGGGTTCCAAGCCCAGTGGTGGAGCACACATTTTTCACTCGCTCACAACGGGGGTCTTTTTCATCTCCAATGCCATCTTTCACTGCCTCCAGGGCAAGCTAAATTATTGGCGGATGCCAGGGGCCTCTTTGAAAATGTATCTACTTCTCAAGCAGGGAAAGAATATCTGAGACCTTTGAAGCCAAGTCTTAGGAGAAAAGTTTGCAGAAAGCAAAATAAAAACCAAAAAGATATAACCCAGACAGGTCCTTCAAGTTGGAAGGCATCACCCCAAGTCACTGCCAAATACAGAAGCCACTGGACAAGATGAAAGGAATCTGCTATTGGAATGACTTTTAAAAAGTCGCTCATGTGAGGCTGGAGTGATAGCACAGCAGGTAGGGCCATTTGCCTTGCATGTGGCCAACCTGGGTTCAATTTCCAGCATCCCATGTGGTCCCCCAATCACCGCCAGGAGTAATTCCTAAGTGCAGAGCCAGGAGTGCATCTCTGGTGTGACCTAAAAAGCAAAAATAATAATAATGCACTGTAGCACTGTCTTCTCGTTGTTCATCAATTTGCTCGAGTGGGCATTAGTAATGTCTCTATTATTGAGACTTGTTATTGTTTATAGCATATCGAATATGTCACAGGTAGCTTGCCACGCTTTGCCATTGTAGGTGCAATACTCTCAGTAGCTTGCTGGGCTCTCTGAGAGGGGCAGAGGAATTAGAAGAAGGAGAAGAAGGAGAAGGAGGAGGAGAAGGAGAAGGATAAGGAGAAGGAGAAGGGGAAGAAGAAGGGGAAGAGGAGGAGGAGGAGCAGGAAGAGGAAGAGGAGGAGCAGGAAGAGGAAGAGGAGGAGGAGGAAGAGGAAGAAGAGGAAGAGGATGAAGAAGAGAGAGGAAGAAGAAGAGGAAGAAGAGAAGGAAGAAGGGAAAGGGGAAGGGGAAGAGGGAGAAGGAGGAGAAGGAGGAGAAAGCGAAGGAGGAGGAGGAGGAGAAGGAGGAGGAGGAGGAGGAGGAGGAGAAGGAGAAGGAGAAGGAGAAGGAGAAGGAGAAGGAGAAGAAGAAGAAGAAGAAGAAGAAGAAGAAGAAGAAGAAGAAGAAGAAGAAGAAGAAGAAGAAGAAGAGAAGAAGAAGAAGAAGAAGAAGGAGGAGGAGGAGGAGGAGGAGGAGGAGGAGGAGGAGAAGAAGAAGAAGAAGAAGAAGAAGAAGAAGAAGAAGAAGAAGAAGAAGAAGAAGAAGAAGAAGAAGAAGAAGAAGAAGAAGAAGAAAACTCATGTGTTCAGTGATGAGGCAATAGGGGACCAGGTCAAATCCCAAACATCCAGCCCCCCTGCCCTCTTACCCTTGTCCTCCTGCCCCCTGCCCCCAGTCCCTCTACCCTCTGCTCCCAGTCTCCTGCCCACCTGCCCCCAGTCCTGCCTCCTTGCCACTCTGTCCCCTGCCCCCTGCCCAGGCCCCGCCTGACTTGGGCCTCTCTGTGCTGGGCACTCAGCCTGCAGGAGCCTCACCGGGAGCTTGGAGCCAGAGCACGCATGTTCGGGCGCATAGATGTTGAGGTACAGGCAGTCCTCGGACACCTCCAGCTCAGGGTACTGCATCTTGACTAGGTGACGATCTGCGTGTAGCCACTGTGTGTTCTGGTAGCACCTGGGAGAAGAGCGAGGCCCCTTGAGGTGCCGGCCCTGAAACCCCGGAGAGGGACGGGCTGCCCTGGCACTGTCCTTGCCCAGTGTGCTGGGAGGGGTCCCCTGGAACATGCCCCCAAGAGCATCTTTGGAACAAAGGCCAGACAAGCCTGTCGCAGAGGATCCGAGGCCTGAGCGGTCTTCAGTCCACAAGCCTGGTTCTAGAACATTCCTGGGGCTGGTCCTAGAACATTCTTGGGCCTGGTTCTAGAAAATTCCTGCACCTGGTTCTAGAAAATTCTCAGGTCTGGTCTAGAAAATTCCATGATAGTCAGGGAGCACAGGGAATCTGCCTCTGTGCAATGCCCGCCTCACTTCTGCCCTCCATCAGGATTGAGTGGGGCATTGAGGGCTGAAGTTACCGATCCATTCCCACCAGGTTTCAGAACCAGCGTTATTTGGCCCTGCAGTGCTCCACCCACAATGCTCCACCCTGCAATGCTCTATCATGAAGTGCTCCTACCACAGTGCTCTGCCCACAGTTCTCCACCTGCAGTGCTCTGCCATGCAGTGCTCCTACCATGGTGCTCCACCCACAGTGCCCTTACCCCGGTGCTCCACACAAGTGCTCTGCCCCAGACTCCCAGAGCGCCCTCTTACAGTGCAGGGTAGGTTGTAGCATCTCGGACGTCCTCCCAGGGCAATGCAGGGTTAGGTTTCGCAAATCGTTGCCGTCCCACAGGGGGCGCGGCGAAGGGGACCCCCAGGAACACGTTCACCGACACGGAGCAGCCCAGCACGCTGACCCGTTTGCCCCGGACCCATCCCAGCCTGGAGTTCCTCAGTGGGGCCTCCACAGACTCAGGAAGCTCCGGGGAACCTGAGGGAGAGGCAGGGATGAGGAGCCGCGAGCTCGGAGCGCCCCCTAGAGGACGCCTAGGGCCTACCACAGCCACCTGCAGCCACCCTTGCCTCACCCTTGCCTCACCCTTTCCATCTCCGGGAGCCCGGCCCGGAGCCCCCACAGGCTGCCAGTGCACCAGCCACCCCTCAGACCTCACTCTGTCCAGCCCATGCCCTCTGCAGTCCAGGACCCCACACAATCCTCAGCTCCAGCCCTCCAGGCCTGGATGATCTTCCTCACCCGCTTTTGGACAACAGACTCTTTCCCGGTGAAGTTACATCTAATCGAGTGCCGGTGTGACGAGGCATTCCCAGGCCTCCTCCACCACCACCACCACCATGCCACGGAGTGTGGCTTGGCAAGGGGAGGACCATGCTTTGGATGTAAATGAGTGCATCGACATGCATGACCGCCTGGGCTGTTGACGTCAGCTCCTCCACCTCCCAGCCCTGAGGATGAGCCTTTGGGTTTCTACGTCCACTAAAGGAGCCTTGGTGACCTGGTAGGACCCTGTTATCTTGATGACCACCTGCCTAAATGTTCTTTCAACAGTGCAAGAACCCCCCCACCCCAATTCCGAGACTCAACCATGCAACATCACAGGATCACCCTCTGCCACTAAGTCCGACTGACCCACCCACCCAGTCCCCAGGGGGGCTTCCCAGTTAGTACCCTCTCACACTCACCAAGGAGAATGTGGCTGCATCTGTTCTCTGTGCCCAAGGAGACTGTGACTCGGGGGCTCCGTGGGTCCCCGAGGGTCCCCAAGAACCCTACACATACTACGTTTATGTTCACCCATGCATGACTATTCGGGTAGAACAACCCCTCTACCCCATCTTCCAAGACCACCTCGCCCCACCACCAGCCATCTCCCCGTCCCCCCCCCCCCCAATGGATGTCTCACCCTCAGTGGCAACTGCAAAGACCCAGGCAGCCCAAAGCAGGGTCAGGCCTGAGTACACACTCTCCCCACTCATCTGGCCGGACCGCTTGGCTTCCTGATGGCCACAGTCACTTTGGGTTCGGGCAGCGAGAAAGGGCTTCTGGTCAGCGGGCAAACGCAGAGCGGGCAGGCACAGAGTGCAGGAACGCAGAGAGCAGCATCAGCTTGATTTTTCGGGGAGAAAATCGGCCAAACAAGACTTTCCTGTTCTTATTTACATAAGGTGAAGCTGATGATTAACTCCAAACGGGGAACAGGCAGACTCCGGGCACATAGGATGGCATCAGGAGAAAGAATATTTGGGGTCCAGTAAGTGAGAAGATTCAAATTCAAATGCCGATTAGGCAAACAGCTGATAAAGCTGCCGGGGAAAGTTGGGGATTGTGATTTCCCCAGATCTAGTAAATATGCGTTTTAAGCAAAGGCAGTAGGTCAGAACAGAAACTATGATACCTCTTGATTTCTTGCATAAAGAATCATTTTTTTTAATGCAAAGTTACAGCTGGAGTGATAGTAATAGCAATAATCACAGGAAGTGGTCCCTGAGCAGTCATGAGTGGGCCTATGTTTCGATGTGAGCCCAGTGTGGCATGACCTGGTTTTGGATGAAGCCTCTCCTATCTGACCCACATCCTGGAGGGAAGTAAAGTGATGAGCTCAGGCAGGTGAAGCTACTCGAAGCGGTTCTGGAGGGGCCTGTTCTCAGCAGCCTGGGTGTCTGCAGTGCTCTGTTTCTTGGAAAGTTACGCTGAGACACAGTTGGTCACGCGTGATCTGGAACAGTACCCAGAGTTCCTCCCAGTGGTCCCCTGCAGGCTTCCCGCCTCACTTGGGAGCACTGACTGGCCAAGGATGGGACTTTCTAAACACTTGGGGCCAGACTGATAGAGGCGTCCTTCTCTCTCCCTGGAGACAGCCAGGGGAGCTTGAGACATAGCTGTTTAATGAATGGGCAGTTTCCTGGGGTCGGGCTCCTGAAAGGCACACAGGAGACACGAGCAGGTTTTATGCACCTGCTGGATCCAGAGTTTAGTGCCACAAGCAGGGCAGACCTACCCCATGGTGAGGGTAAGCGGTGCAGGGTACGCTTTGCTCAGTGCTCTAGAAACCTTGGCAGATTTGCAGTCCTCTAGTGAATAATCTCTCCCAGCTTCATTTCTGACATGCCACTCGCAGTGCCATGCATTAGGAAAGGAGTTATGTGAAGATGCAGGTCTGGGTTCAGTAGAGAGCAGAGATGTCTCCAATTAACCTTGAAGTCCCCTCAAATGCCTCCTAAAACGCAGAGAACATCCAGTAGTCCCCATGAGTGACCTAGGCCAAGAAGTCCTTGCACTCCAATGCACTCTAACCCCATGATCTCTTCTGCTGGGACTAAAGAATAAAGAGAAAGCCTTAGAGTGGACATCCAGGTGGACAAACAGTCCACCTTCAAGGGCACCATAAGTCCTGGGAGGTAAAAGGAGGAAGAGGCAGGGAACTCTCATGTTTCCAGTTTGCCTACAGGGTTTACACATGCAGGCTTCAGATGAAACACAGAAAAATTTTAATGCATATTTATTTGGCTGCAGTGGGGAGACTCAGACATTGAGGACCTTTGGAGACCAAAGCATGTAGCTCTGGCCCATATAGTAGGTGGAGGTAGGACTCCATCTTGCTTGCTGAAATCACCGACATTATTGTTCTTTGAAACGCTGCCAAGCACAGTGCGATTTGCCCTCCTGCCTTTCCGCGTGGGCTTACCACGGTGCAGGCTCTTCCTTGTGGCCTTGAGAACCTTCAAAACAATCTGGATTTGATCACGGTTCTTGGAACAAATTCTTTCTTTCCTCTGGGCCTCAGGCTCCCTACTCTATCATCGTGCACACATGTTAGGATTATAAATTCCAGAGACCCGAGTGGGACTGAGCTTTGCAGACTTGCTGGCCAGGCATGAGAACACGGAGGCTGGGGAGGGTCCTGAGAAAGGGCAAAGCTGCTGGTGGGCAGCTGAGTGGCGCTGAGGGCATGTCTGTCCAGTGTCTCCGTTGGGTCCACCCATCCATATCTTCAGTGGCCTTTATGTCCCTAGCCTGGACTATCTTTCTCCTCTGGCCCTGTCTAGTTTCTTCCAGAGCAACCAGCAGTAATAGCTCTGTTCTCCACAGCAACTCATTCAGCAATGCCTCCACGGGTACGATCACACATAACACACAAACACACACACACTCACTCGCACACACATGCACACACGCACACACACACACACGCTCATGCATGTACAGGCACAGGTACACGCACACACGTAAGCACACACATTTGAGCATGCACACACATTTTAGGTCTCTTCTGCTTTATTTTATTTTTTTGCTTTTTGTGTCACACCCAAAGATGCTCAGGGGTTATTCCTTGACTCTGCACTCAGGAATTACTCCTGGTGTTGCTGGGGGACCATATGGGATGCCGGAGATCAACCTGGGTTGGCCAAATGCAAGGCAAATGCCCTTCTTGCTGTACCATAACTCCAGTCCCACTTGCTTTTATTCTTTAAAGTGCAGTTCAACTACCACCTCTTCAAAAGAAACTTTCCTGGGTTCTTTTGAGTGCCTCGGTGCTCTGCTTTTCTAGGCCTTCCTGTTTCCTGTGCAGCTGTGCACACACGCATCTTCCCTTGGAGGTCCGTTTCACAGATGCTGATGGAACCACCAGATTTCACAACTCTGAGTGGTCCCCAGCCCCCTCACAGACCCTATAGTTTCATCATGTGGATCACTACCGCTACCAAGTTGCCTCTCGATTGACTTGACTTACTATTTTCTTCAAGTTGACCTTGGTAAGTTATTTACGGCCAAACACATCCTTATAAATAGATCCTTATAGGGTTAATGGAATGGGAATGAGATAGTGTTTTGACATGTTGAGGGGTGGGGGTACACCCAACAGTGCTCAAGAGAAGAGGGGCCCTGTGAGGCCAGGGATCAAACCTGAAATGAAATCCATGCACTCCAATGCACTCTAACCCCCTGAGCCATCTCTCAAGTCTGCGATGATGTTTTGAACAAAACAAATGTGTGCGTTTTTCGTTTCTAGTTCATAAAATCAGTTTCCCTGACAACCAGTAGGAAGTAGCTGGGTATGGTGTAAATCAGTGTTTCTCAACCGGGGGTGGAGTGGGGGCGGGGGCAGCTATACAACCTCCCTGAAAGCAATATTCCAAGGGGACCACGGGTGATAATTGTACTAATAGGGTGGATCTTTGAGCCTGGGGGCAACTGCTAAGACAGGAAGGAAATAAGGTGGGAAGTGTCTGTGGTCGTAAAAGGTTGAGAAACGCTGATGTAGAGAACCCCAAATCTGAGAGCAGAGATTGGACCATGAGAACCGGCTCCTTCTGTACTGTTGGTCTTGGGAATCAGAGGGAGAGAAATCAGGGAAAGAAGATTTGATAAGAGGTGCCCCAAGTTCCCTCCCAGGCAGAATTCCGAGGCAGCCTGGAGATACTAGGACAGTGCTTCTCCCGGGTGGGGGGCCCTGGAATCTCGTAACCAGGTTCTGACTTTGATGTTGGGGCAAGAGCAGACCTGAAGTCTCTATTTCCGGGGCTCTTTCATTGCTCTGAAGGACCCTTGGTCTTGAAGGGCACTTATGGATATGGAGCAGCTGGCTGGGAGCTGGGTATCGAGTACTGGGAACCTCTGAGACCTGAGAGCGAAGGGGAACCACAACAGAGCTTGGGTATTGAGTGCCCAGGATGCAACCACCGATTTCGAAGAAGACGAAGGTCTTACCACGTTAGAATTGGAATTCTATTTCCACCCAAGAGCTGAATGCAGAGGGCTGGGCGGAGAGCAAGGTGACATGGGGCCAGCCCTCTCTGCTCCCCCAATCATGGGATCAGATATATGTACCTCAACTTGTGTAACTAGATACAAACCCAGAGCATAGCATACAGTGGGTGAGAAGTAAATCTGAGGAATGATGCGTTTATTTGAAGATGCTTATGTTAGTTCTAAAAAGAAATAGTCCTTTAAATGATCGCATAGGACTTGGGAGCAGATTGAACTCAAAGTAATTATGCACAATTTACCAGGGGATGAGGCGTTCTTTTCTTTGTTAAAAAGGGGGAAATGGATGAGTATTCTTTTGTATACCTGAGACTATCACCAAACTGAATTAATTGCTTCTAGACAATTAGTATGAAAAGAGAACTATGATTTTCCAAGTGTAAATAAAGCCTCTCTTTTCTCTTCCCTCAAGGTAAGTCCTCTGATTACTTCAGGTGACCCCAAAGTTTCAGGTACTATGTATGGGGGGACTCTAAAATGCCAGGAAACAATAATAGCTATTATGGAACGCTCTTGCAGGTATCAGGCAGGCCCTGGGTGAAATGTTAGGTAACTAGGACTTAATAGAAATGCGGTTATTTCCATTTTGCAATGAGCAAACAGACTCAAAGGGAGGATGAAATGTCAGCTATCATGAGACTCAGGCAGAGCTTTGTAACTTGTTCCGGGAAACAAGGAGTCAAAGACAGGTTGCTGAGAGGTAAATTCTGCAGTTGCTGGACCATAAACAATCACCTCATCTCTGTGCCCAGAGGGCATTATCTCCAGGACTGTGTTGCCCGGTCACACAGACTAGTGGCCTGGGAACTTCAGGAGGTCACTGGCCTTTGATGAGCTCTCTCTGTCCTCCTGGGTGTTCTGCTGATTGTCTCAGCGGGAGAGGAATGAGAGACTCTCAGACTAGGCTCGCCGAGATCACGTGAACATCAACCCTGCTCCTCCAGGTCTCACTGGAGGCTGAAGGGCTGACGGCACAGGTGAGGGCACTGGCAAGTGAGCTGAATTACCAGGCAGTGCCCATCTCACAGTGCCCTGGAGCAGGATCCTGAGAACTTCCTACTTTTAACTTCCTTCAAACCCACCTCCCATTACTTAGTATAAACACTTTAATGGGGAGTTCCAAACTTTCCCACAGATCCCATCCTGTCTTTCCAGGTAAATGCCTTTATTCACCCCACCAAGGCAGCCATCGCTGGACCCATAGCTCTAT